CTTAGGATTACACAAGGGAGATACATTTATGTATTTTTTCTTATGAACCCAAAGAAAAACTCACAATTATAATCGTAATCCATCTCATTTCTTCGTAAGGGATAAAGGTAATCTCCAGCCAAAAAAGAAAAACAAGGTAGCCAAAGCAAGTCTACTTCAGTCTTTTGTAAGCTTCATAAAAGTAGCCTAGGATTACAACAACATCATCAATTACAGCTCTTACTGCACCTTATGTCAATGTCACAAGCTTTGATAGTTTCTTATTATGTAATTCAACATAATCTCTAAAAAATTTAGGATTAACATCAAAAGACCCCCTTAAGATTTGAGTTCATTTTCAATATGGGTTATGGGATTTGAATTTCATCAATTTCCCTAATATTTTCAAATTTGACCCACCAACCAACCAATCCAAAAAAAAAAGTATATAAAAAATAACATTAAAAAAAAATAAAGATTAATAAAAAAACCCAGCGCCTTCACCACCCCCACCCCCTCACTCCAACCCTAGCCCCTTTCCTCCTCTGCATCAGCGCCGACGACATCGACACCATCTACCTCTGCACCCTCAGAGGCATCGGTTCCAGTCCTACCCATCGGGATCGCGAGAAGAACCTTAAAAAAAATCCAGCCTCTTCCCTACCCAACAACCCAGCGGCCCCACCACCACCCCCTCTCGCACCAGTTCCAGTCCCACCCATCAGGATTGCAGGTGTTCGTCTTCCTTGTGCTTTTAGGCCATGAAATTCATAGACAAGAAAGGCTCTAGCGTTGAATCAGAAGGCCCACAGAGCCAAGATCGAAAATTTTGAATATTCCTCCATTTTTCTCAGATATTGAATTGCATAAATTTCTTTTTATTTGATTTTTTATTTTCAAAAAAAGAAATTTAACTAGGACCTCTATTTTCTGTTTTTTGTATTCTTGTGCTTACAAGGCTCGGATGAGATCATGAGATGTTCTAATCTTGTCTGCTTTATCTCTCTGCAAAGTTGTCTTCAATCCAGATTTTTTTAAAAATTTTAAATCGAAAAGTGCTAAAGCTTTCCATATTTTATGTTGCGGAAGTTCTGGTGGTCTTGGAATACCTTCACGTGCTGGGAATCATCTACATGGACCTAAAACTTGAGAACGTGCTGAATTTATGGGGATGTGTTGCACCAATGAAGAAAGGACCTGGCTTGAGACTGTCATTGGGTATATTTCTGGTTTTTTCATGGCTTTTGGTTGTGCAGAGAGAGAGGGAGGGGGCTGGGGTTAGTGCGAGAAGCGGTGGGAGCTGGCGGAGGGTGGGGAGCTGGGTTGTTGGGAGGGAAGGGTCTGGGTTTTTCAAGCTTTTTTTATTTTTAAATACTAGTTTATATAATTTTTTTTTGAATTGGTTAGTAGATGGGTACCAGACACGTCATCAGTTAATGTCTGACCAAACAATCAACTTAAAAGAATGTTTAAATTGGTTAGATTTGAAAACGTTAAGATGTAAATTGATGAAATTCAAATACCAGGGCCCACATTAAGAATGCCCCAAACCTTAAGGGGGTCTTTTGATGTTAATCCAAAAATTTATTAGTGAAGGTTGTATAATGGTACCTCTCTTTGTACATCTCGAAGGAGTATTGCTTGTTGATGGTTTAGACAATGGGATTGTAAATGTTTACAAAAGGGAGGAGTTTTTGGAGGGCTAGTGGAGGTAGAGGTGGTTGGGGAAGGGCTGCAAGTTTAGACTGAAATGCCCCTCAATAAGTATCAGAAATTGAGAATTGTCTTTAAATTGCATCAAATTGAAACCACATGGACAAAAGTGACAAAATTGAAACCACAGGGACCTTAATGATAAAAGTGGTAAACCATAGGGACCAAAAGTAACTTTTTACCAACTACACATAGAGTAATATAAGGCAACACATACAACTGTAAGCATTGACAATTGTAATAGTCATTATCATAATTATTAAAGTGAAAGAAATGAAAATTAATAATTGCTGATGTTTCCGTGGACTTAATGCAGATGTGCAATCTTATATATTAAGTCTTCCTGCTGCAAATCCAATAATGCAGAAAGTGTAGTTAAGAGCTAGAGCAATCCTATAGGCTATAGCAGGAACAATAAATGGCCCAGGAGATGAAAATTGAGATTGTCAAGAAGGAAACCATAAAACCATCTTCCCCAACTCCCCACAACCTCAAAAGTTTCAAGCTCTCTCTTTTAGATCAGCTTTCTCCTGTAGCATATGGTCCTTTGGTTCTTTTCTACCCCAACAATGTCAGTGAGGTTACATTAACAGAGGAAAGGTCGCATCAGCTAAAGAAATCACTCTCAGAAGCCTTAACTCGCTTCTATCCACTTGCTGGAAGAATCAAAGACAACCTGTTTATTGAATGTAATGATGAGGGGGCTGTCTATGTTGAAGCTCAAGTCAACGCCCTTCTGTCGAACTTCCTCGATCAACCCAGCTTGGAAATACTAAAATTGCTCCTTCCCATTAAGGTTGATTCCCCTGAAGCAGCCACAGGGTGCCTGCTGCTTGTTCAAGCCAGTTTCTTCAAGTGTGGAGGATTGGCCATAAGTGTGTGCATGTCACACAAGCTTGCTGATGCATCAACTTTGAGCACATTCATCAAAGTTTGGGCTGCCACAGCTCTTGGCCTTGGTCACACTGTGGTACCAGATTTCAGCGCAGCAACCCGATACCCGCCTAGAGATTTCTCAGCGCAGAGTCCTGCAGCTGCTGTGGAGATGAAGATAGTCAAGTGTGTCACAAAGAGATTCGTGTTTGATGGTCCAAAGATGAGAGCTCTTAAAGCTAAAGTCACTAGTGGAAGTGTGCAGAGACCTACAAGAGTTGAAGCTGTAACAGGCCTCATTTGGAATTGTGCAATGAAGGCGTCAAAACTAAGTTCAGGGATTTCCAAGTTATCAATGGTGTCACAATCTGTCAACATACGCAAAAGGGTTGTGCCACGATTGCCACAAACCTCAATTGGAAATCTTGCGGGGTACTACACTGCAATGGCAGAGGAGAGTGGAATAGAGTTGAACTCCATGGAATTGGTTTCTCGACTGAGGAAGGGGATGGTTGAATTTAATGAAAACCATTACAAGAGATTGCAAGGGGACAATGTGTTTGAAGCTATATGCGAGTATTTTAAGGAGATAGGAAACATTATGAGAAGAGATGACATAAACTTGTTTATCTGTACAAGTTTATGCAACTTTGGAATATATGAGATTGATTTTGGGTGGGGAAAGCCAATTTGGGTGAGCATCCCTGGTGGTGTGGTCAAGAATGTTGCTATTTTGATTGACACAAAGGAGGGTGATGGAGTAGATGCATGGATAAGTTTAAGTGAGGAAGACATGGCCTTATTTGAACGTGACCCGGAACTTCTTGCTTTCGCTTCTTTAAATCCTAGTGTATTTGGACCTGTAACAAGGAGATCTTCTCTTTAGTTTGTTAGGATTTATTTGGACCAATTCATGTTCCTCAAAGATAAAATGAAGGTTCAATTAGATTCAATCAATTTGAAACTTGGTTTGCTGTTTGTGGTTGGTCTTGTAACTCCAAGTTGTTTTCTGTCTGTTTCAAAAAAAAATTCTGAATGTTTGGTTTCATTTTTCTATTTGACTGTGATAATAGGATCTAGGCAGATTTTTTTGTCCAACATTGTTTGCATAATTTTGTTGTTATCGATGTAATAAAGTGTACTAATGTCCACTCCAATCCCATGAAGTATTAGTATTTGTAGAGAAACTTGGCATTCCTTGAAAATTTTCAGTGTTTCTTGCTGCTATTGATCTTCCCCAGTGCTTTGGGTAAACGTTGTAGATGGAAGATCATAACTTTCAACCTTTTACAATCATTATCTTCTCTGTTCTCCTTAGATTGCCATGAATTAACATTGTTGATAAATAAAGTAAGATTGGATATCATGTTCCAAATCTTACCATCTACTGAGATTTTTGGGAAGGTAGCTTGAAATTTTGTTCCTATCTTTTTTCTATGTTAAAACAAATCAAACATGCTTCTAGCTCAATGAAAATTCTGTAATTTGCACAGGAATCTAAAGAACATAAACCTTCTCTTTCTCTGGAGTTTGGGTCACTTCTTGCTTTCTTTGATTTGATTTTGGTTGACTGGGCTTAGGGTTTCTCAGACAAAGGGAGAGTTGGGTTCGATTAAGACAAAGGGTGAGGAGTTTGATAGATGTCTTGGAATTTTATTTCAATATGAGAAATTTCTTTGCAGCTTATGCTCAACTAATTTCTGTGTTTAGATCAGCTTTGCCAATCTGATTGTACGTGGTTCTATTTGTTTGAAATGTTTTTGTTCTTGGTAAAAATTACCTTTGTTACTCATTCCTTAGTTATATGTTTTTTGGACTTTCTTGATCAATTATATGCTTCCGACTGAAAGCAAATATAGGAAATTATCACATGCATTGTGCAAACCTTTTTCTTTTTCACTTTTCACATTGTGAATCACAATATCAGCAGAAAAACAAGATGAGCAGATAGTTATTGATGTGTAAGACGTGTGCTTCGTTTGGGGTTTAATTTAGTTTTAGTTGACTTGATTAAATTGGTTTTTTGGCTTCTTTTTATAATTTTTTTTTTTTTTCCTTTTTTGTTTTTTTTTTTTTTTCTCTTTTTTTTTCTTTTTTAGTTTCCATGAGTTTGGACTTACTGCATAATAAATTAAAGAAAAAATTAGTGTTTACCCACAAAAAACTTTAGTAATTAAGCATTTGATACATTACTTATTTTTGTTTTGGATAAGGTGGATGAATTTTAAATTTTATTTTGTTAAAGACCAATTAGTAAGCCCATGTGCTAAAAGCATGATTAATATAAGAGTTACATTTACATATTTACCATTTTCTGATATTTTGTTTCCACTGTGATATTAAAATTAGCGATTGGCAAGGACTAGACGAGCATCGACATCACGACCATAGCAATCAACCTAGCACTGGACCTTCAGGTGGCGATCGTCAAAGCGATGTCGCACGGCGAGCGAGAAGCACTTACAGGAGATCATCATCGTCGCGAGCCTAGTATCAGTGCCTAGTTTAAAGAGGTTTTCGTATTAAATCTGGGCTCCTTTTGGACTCTTCTCGATTGCAGTCCTGGTTTTGTTAGTCATTCACCATAATCAACATGAAGATCGGGTCGAACAACCTGTACTGGTATGATTGCTTAGCTCCCCTGTGCTGTTATTATGTGTTAATTGATTTACTTTGTCCTTGAATTGGTGACCTGTGTGTTTCTTCAACATTGTAATTTGATATTGGTTGATAGGAATTTGATGTGCTTCCTAACCCCAAAGTGGATGCTAAGGGTTCTGTTGCAATTATGGTTAGGTCAGAAGCTTTAAAGAATCTTGATCAAGAAGCTTGGAAGAAATTGGGTTTTGGGGTTTATCCTTCTTGTGTAGTGCTAGCATCCAAGGCATCACATGCTCTCCACCTGTATGTTGAAATGCATCACTTAGGTGGTTTATGCACTGATGGTAATGGAATTCTTGAATTTGATGTTGGCTGCTATGGGATCAAATTTCCCCATGAGAATATTCGATTGGAAAGATTCCCCTTTCTTCTTCGCCGCCTCTTTCTCCTTACAAAATAGAACAAATAAGAGGACCACACCCGGGGGTGTTGGCCAAAGGCCCTCCGATGCCTAAATTAGTTCAATTGAATCGTATAGAAAACAATAGCTCATATGGTACAGAGATATGTTTACGGTGTAAACCAGGCGGCCGAAGCCTTATGTAAAAGAGAGAGAGAGAAAGAGAGAGAGAGAGAGAGAGAGAGGAGGTGGCTAGGGTTTGTGAGGGATTATTTCTGCAGAGTTTCAATGGGAATTCAGACGTCCCTCAATCCTTGTGTGTGACCATCCTTTTATAGTGGTCTCAGAGGCTAAGATTTCAGAGGAATAATTCCGTAGATGGAAAGGAATTATTCCTCCCCGATTTGGAATTGATTTGATTAATTAGGGATTTGATTTATTAGGTAAATCAAATCCCTAATTGTGGTAGGTATCAAATGAATTCCTAATTTAATTAGGTAACTCCTCATTTAATTGGGAATTGTGGTAGGAATCAAATCAATTCTCAACCTAATTAGGTAACATTCCATTTAATTGGGTAATCCCCAATTAAATTGAGTAACTCCCAATTAGGTTGAATAATTCCCAATTAGGTCAAATAATCCCCAAATGGAAGCAATTATTGGACCTGGGGTTCTGATTTAATTCGGTTCCCACAAATGTCCCTTAGCTTCTGTATGGCGCGTGGTGACATGTAGGAGATGTGAATTATCTGTTGGGCTATCCAGCTGTAACTGGGCTTCCTTCAGTGAGTTGGACTCCTTTTGCAGATTGGGTTCCCAATTGGAGTGAGCTTTTGACTGTTCTTGGAGTTGGGTTCCCAGTAGGAATGGGCTTGCGATTCCTTCTTGACCTAGGATGCCCAACCTGTGTAAATGCAGGGCTTCTCTTCACTCTTCTTCACATCGCAAACTTAACTTCTCTACTTTCTAGCTTGGGAGAGATCTTGGAGAATTTGTACAGCTTGTCGAAGAGAGGAGTCGCCGTGCATCCCAAGTTAAGTCGAGCACGTATATTTCTTTTTCTTTGTCTTTTCCTCTTTTTTACGGCTAAGGCCAGCTGGGGGAAGTCCAGCTAGTTGTCGTCGTGACATGCGACGGTTGGCAGTGGGCGACAGCTGTGGTGAAGCAGGTGGGTGCAGATGGACCAGCTGTTGCCTATCATCGCAGGTTTAGGCTGGAGCATGTTAGGCCTCGCGCATTGCAGGCCACATCAGCTAAGCGGGTATCGTGAGGAAGTTGGTGGTCTGACCTCTGCCCAAGATGTTGAGAGAAGGAAGCATAATGGTCCAGCCTTGGATGATCTGCTGGCTGGGTAGAATGAGTGTTCAGCCAGACTCCCCTTAAAAAAAGGAAGGCTAATGTCAAGTCTTCAAGAAATGAAGTTGTGACTTCGCTGTGAAAGATGCGTCCCATTGAGGAAGAAGCCAAGGATCCCTTATGCTGAAAAGACTCAAGTAAGAGTTGTTCCATCATCATCTGTCAGGGTCAAACATCTCGTTGGTGTAGATAGCAGGAAGGTTGGTGGTATGCACGGTGTTCGGGGTGTTCTACCCGAGCCTCCTACTGACAAGATTGAAAACCATAATCTGCTTCCTGGAAGAGCTCGTGCCCAATCTCGTTCTACAGAGCATCAAAGAGATGCAAAAATTCTTTTTCGAAGTTCGAGTCGTCTGCATCAGTTAAAGGATGAAGATCAAAGCGGGAAGAGTGCTCAAGATCCAGCTTGTTGAGTCACGAGCAGTCAAGCGTGGAGTTGATTCAACATCATTGACTCATTTGGAGGTGTGGTTGGCAAAGGCTAAGAAGACAAGAGAGTCATCTGCTCGGGCCAAGGAGAACAAGTCCAGCCCTGCAGGGGATGCATGCTTGTCTGACCTGCTCAAGACGAACTTTCTATCAAACCTGTCCTCCTGTGCTGAGTTGGTCGATCACATCCATCAGGCCGGCGATCTTGGCACCCTCTCGAGTCTTTCCTTGGAAAACAAAGGGAAGCAACATTTCATCTGCTTAAAAAATGAGTAGTTTTTGCTGCTGAAACTATCCAAAACTCGTCTGCTGTTGCCCCCTCTTCTGCTGCTGACTTGGTTAGTCGAAAAGATGCCTACTTCTGTCTTGAGCGCAAGAATGCTGACATCTCCTTTAATTATGACAAGCTTCTGGCTAGATTTGGCGCCCATAACAAGTCTACTGAAAGTCCAAGTAAAAAGTTACCATGAATGCGTACAAGCTAGGTTACTTGGATTGCTCAAATGGAAATGATCCCTTCTATGCCGTTGGAGATGGAGACATCGAGATGCTATGTTCTGACTTGCTTCCTATGTAGAGTAAGCAGATTAATGGAAGGAGTTGAAGAGCAGGCGGTCGAAGGGGAATAGCTGAAGAAGATGAAGCAGAGGAGGATGCAACAGATAAGGTAGTGACAGACATCGCGGATCAGGCAGGTGGAGCTGCTGAGAACGTGGCTGATCAGGCGAACGTTGAAGAGGCTGTAGATCAGGGATCTCCTGCTGGCATCTCTGAGTAAATGAACACTCTTTTATTTCTTTTCAGCTTTTGCAGTTTGCTTTCTTGTGTAGAATAATTGGTCTTATCTGACTATCTTCTCTTTGTTGAACTTGGTTGGTTCGTCAGCTTGCTATGAAAATTTCAGTTATTTTTCAACTTCAATTTGTGTATTGACTTGTGAACGGCTTGCATAACCAACCAGTATCTTGATTGTGTGTCTCCCTTAGGAGATTTACGAGTGCCAAGGTCCTCTTTGAGGGACTCTGGACGTCCTCTGCATATCCCGTAGGATGGTTTCCCTTAGGAAGTTGGCGAGTGTCAAGGTCCCACTTGAAGGACTCCGGGCTTGTTTTGCACGTCCCGTAGGATGGTTTCCCTTAAGAAGTTGGCGAGTGCCAGGGTCTCCCTTGAGGGACTCCTGGTGTGTTCTGCACATCCAGTAGGATGCTTTGATCGTTGCCCTATGTCTCCCGAAGGAAGCTACTTATGTGCAACTGCATGACTATCCTGCCCCCCTTAGGAAACGGATAGAAACCTAGATACCTCCTATAAGAAGTTCCTAGCGCACCCTGCGTCTCCCTTAGGATGCTCCTTATGGGCAACTGTGTGACAGTCCTACCTCCCTTAGGAAACGGATAGGAACTTGGATACCTCCCTTAGAAAGCATGGAGACCTCATTTTGGGAAATTCATAGTGCACCCTGCTTCTCCCTTAGGACGCTTCTTTGCGGGCTGTGTCTCCCGAAGGACGCTTCTGGTTGTCGCCCTGCGTCTTCCTTAGGATGCTCCTTACGGGCAACTGTGTGACTATCCTACCTCCCTTAGAAAACGGATAAGAACCTGAATACCTTCCTTAGAAAGCATGGAGACCTCCTTTTGGGAAATTCCTGGCGCACCCTGTGTTTCCCTTAAGACGCTGCTTTACGGACTGTGTCTCTCGAAGGACGCTTCTGGTCGTCGCCATGCATCTCCCTTAGGACGCTTCTTATGGGTGACTGTTTTGCGGTGATATGCTTGCCAATGAACTGTGAGCCATTGTCGGTAACCAGAGACTGTAGGCTGCCAAACCGGCAGATGATGTTTCTCCAGATGAATTGCTCCATATCGGCTTTTTTAGTAGAGGATAGAGTTTCAGCCTCAATCCATTTAGTAAAGTAGTCGGTGGCAACGATCATCATGTCCTTCTTGGCAGGTGCCGTGACAAGGGACCGACTAGGTCAATGGTCTATTGCATGAATGGCCATGGACTGTTTTGCGGATGGTAGACTTCGGTAGGCAGGTTAGGGATTGGCTTGTATCATTGGCAGCGATCACATTTCTTGACATATTCGGTGGAGTCGTGTTGCATGGTAGGCCAGAAGTAACTTATGTTTAAAGCCTTCTAGGCAAGTGACCTGCCCCCAGAGTGGTTGCCACACTCGTCACCGTGAATTTTACAGAGAACCTCAAGTGTTTTAGGGTACTTTATGCAGGTGAGATGAGGGTCGGAGTATGATGTGCGGATGAGCTTGTTGTCGTGCATGTAGTATCTTGCAGCTTTTTGCTAGACCTTTATGGCTTCAAACTTGTCTGTTGGCAGGTTTCCATTTATCAAGTAGTCGACGATAGGGTCTTGCCAGTTAGGGTCCTAGTCAATCTACATTGTGTTGATCGACTTTATTTCTTTAATGCTTGGTTGGTCAAGGTGTTCGATCGGGATGGAGCATCTGAATTGGGTATCCAGCACTGACCCTAGACTGACCAGTCCGTCTGCATGTGCATTCTCTGCCTGGGGTACTTGTTGGATGGTGAAGGTAGGAAACACCTTCAATAGCTCTTGGAGTTTGTCAAGGTACAAGATCATTCTTAGGTGCTTCGCCATGTATTCACATGAGGCTTGATTCGTGAACAATTGGGAATCTGAGTAGATGGCTAGCTTCTTAATTGTGAGTTCCTTTGCCAAGCATAAGCCAGCGAGCAATGCCTTGTATTCTGCCTCGTTGTTTGAGGCCGGGAAGCCAAGCATGATATTTTGCTCCAACAGGCTCTTTTTTGGTTCAACGCTGTGTCTACACGCAACTGCCACATGTCCATAGGTTGGCTAGGTTCAACAGAGGTCCCATCTGCTTTTCGACTGATGGGGTGAATTCTGTGATTAAGTCTGCTAAAGCCTAGGCTTTTACTGCGGTTTTTGGCCGGTAAAGGAGGTCATATTGGCTTAGCTCTATGGCCCATTTCATGAGTTGCTGAGAAGCGTCAGGGCTGTGGAGGATTGATCTCAAAGGAAAGTCAATCATGATGATGACTCGATGAGCTTGGTAGTAGGGTCGCAGCTTTCTCGCGGAAACTACAAAAGCCAAAATGAGCTTCTCCAATTCAGATAGCGATTCTCTGCATCGAGGAGAGCTTTTGACATGTAGAATACCGGATGTTGGGCCCCTAGTTATTCTCAGATGAGAGCTGAGTTGACGGCTAAGTTGGACACTACTAGGTATACGAACAAGTCTTCACTAGGAACTGGCTTTGAGATCTGGGGAGGTGAAGTGAGGTAAGTTTTCAGATTCTAGAAAGCTATTTCGTACTCCTCATCCTATTTGTCTCTTTGTCCTTTCTTCAAAGGTTTAAAGAATGATTTGCACTTATTGGTAGATCTCAAGAGGAATCGGTTAAGGGCCGCTGCTCTGCCCATAAATTTCATCTCAAGAATGGCTTTGATTTGACGTGGGTGTGCCTCGATACCTCGTTGTGTGACTAGGCATCTCAAGAATCGACCGGAGGATACACCAAATGTGCATTTACTTGGGTTAAACTTCATGCGATATTGGCGAAGTAGGCTGAATGCCTTGGTGAGATTTTTGATGTGATCTGCACGTTTTGGGGCTTTGACTAGCATGTCGTCCACGTAGACCTCCATAGTTTTGCTGATATGCTCCTTGAAGATTTTATTCACGTGCCTTTGGTAGGTTGCTCTAGCGTTCTTTAGTCCAAAGGGCATGACCTTGTAGCGGTAGGTCCCTCTCTCGATGATGAAAGAAGTTTTCACCTTGTCATCCTCGTGCATCAAGATTTGATTATAGCTGGAGTAGGTGTCCATGAAGCTGAGCAACTGATTGCCAAAAGTGGAATCCACAAGTTGGTCAATTCTTGGCAATTGGAAGTTGTCTTTAGGGCATGCTTTGTTGAGGTCTGTGTAATCGATGCAGACTCTCCATTTGCCATTTTCTTGTTTTGCCACCAGAACAACATTAGCAAGCCACTTCGAGTAGGAGACCTCTTCGATGAAGCCGGCAGCTAGGAGTTTGTCAATCACGGCTTAGCGACTCGCTCGGGAGTGAAGTTACGTCTTTTCTGCACTACTGGCTTGCTGGCAAGGTTTGACGTGGAGTTGATGACAGATGATGTTCGGGTGGATGCGAACATGTCTTTGTTGATTTGGAGGAAGGTGGTCAGCTCCACCTTCTCGTCTGGGCTTAGGCGGGAGCCAATCCGCGCTTTTCTATCTGGCTAGTCAGGATCTAAGGGTATTAACTTGATGTCCTCTTCGGGTTTCCATCCTACTTCAGGATAGACATTTGGACAGATTTCCTTGGCTTGGTCCTGATGCTTTGATTGCTATAAATGAGCAAGATTCGGTTGTTCAACCTCCTTCAGATCTGCTTGGCTCACAGGGAGGAACTGTGCTTGTTTGCTTTTCTTCAGCCTTTGGGGAGATCATTTCCTTGCCATTGCCTGATCGCTGTTGATTTGGCCGACACATCCCCCAGGAATTGGGTACCGAATTTTCTGATGTGTGGTGGAGGTGAAGGCGTTGATCTTGCCGATCCATGGTCTGCCCAGAATGCCATTGTAGGGTGAAACCTCATTAATGACCATGAATGTTTGCGAGCTGATTATAGGTGGGGAGTAGACGTCGAGGTATGTCGTGCCAACGGTAACTGTTGTTGCACCATTCAAGCCAGTCAGCGATCTAGCTGATTTGTTGATCTCTGTCTCCAAGCCCGTCTGCTGGATGACCGCCAGTTGCAGGATATTGGTTGTGCTGCCCTCGTCTATGTGGATTCGGTCGGCCATGGCTTGGGCAATTTGAATGCTAATGACAAGGGCATCGTTATGTGGCATGTCGAGGCCGATCATGTCTTTCTTTTGGAAGTCGATCACAGGATTGTCTTATGCAGGTGGAAGGTCGGTTAAGATTTGGGAGATCACTATCGCCTGTTTGATCTTGCTAGTCAACCCAGACTCCTTCGAGTCGACTAGGATTGTGTTAATCCTTATGACCTTCTGGGGCGGTTTCTTGGCAGTGTCACGATCTTTAATCTGCTGGATGGCCTGCTTCGCAATGAATTTTGTGCAATGACCTTCTCTCACAAGTTCTTCAAGGTGCGCTTTCCAAGCGAATCAGTTGTTCGTTGTGTGCCCGTGCGTCCCATGGAAGGCACAGTATTTGCTAGTATCCCTCTTGTCTGGATCTTCTTTCAAATGTGGCGGTCTTCTTACCCAAGGTTTGTCTTTCACTTGGGCCAAGATTTGATGTATAGGAATGGTGAACTTGGTATAGTTCTATCTTGCCATAGCGTCCCCTTTGTGGGTGCGACCTGCGCTTGTCCTTGTTTCTATTACTAAAACCGTCGCTTCTTTGGCCTGCTCGCTTAGTCGGCTGATCTTCTTGCTTAGTAGACTTCTTTGCAGAGATTCGACCGTCATCCTAGAACGCGTAGCGTTCCGCAGTCTTGAAGACCTCAATCGGAGTCTGGCTGGGAGTGATAATCAGCTCGCGGTACAAGTCGTGTTCAGCTGGAAGGCCTTTCTTGAAAGCAGATGACGTGATCGGTCGTCACATCCTACAATGTTGGCATTTTCTGCTTTGAATCTGTTGATGTAAACTCGAAGGGATTCGTCGAACTTCTTGCGCAGGTTGTACAAGTGGTTAGGGTTCTTCTTGATTGTCCAGTAAGAGGTGTATTCTTTGGTATAGATGTAAGCCAGCTTCTTGAAGCTGCTGATCGACTCGGATGATAAGGTGTGGAACCAATCTTGGGTTGCTCCTCGCAAGGTCATTGCAAACACCTTGCACATTAGCACGTCCTCAATCTTATGGAGGATCATGACACTTTTGAAGTGTTTTAGGTGGCTCTTGGGATCAGAATCCCCTTTGAAATGTGTAAACGAAGGCGTTGAGAATCGCTTCAGGGGAGCAGCCTCGAAGTCGGTTATTCACAAGCTTCTCCACATCTTCCGCACACATTGCTGGTCGGTGATGTTGGCGACCTTCACTATTTGGGTGATGCTAATTGACTTCCTCGTTGATTTGCGAGGGTCGACCTTCTCGGTTGCGCTGCTTAGGCGGCGTGTTGGTGGACTATGCTTGCAAAGGATTTCATGTAGCTTGTCGACGAGAATCGACTCTTCAAGAGTGAGCAACGGAGCGTCTTTCCTCATGGTCCTCATTGTGAGGGTTATCTAGTTAACCTTCTTGGGGGCCTAGCCTTTCGTGAATACTACTCTGCGAGTTGATAGCTGGGCGCCTTTCTTCACGATCCTCGTTGCGATGGTTGTTAGGCTAACCTCCCTAGGAGCCTAGCCTTTGATGCACATTTCCCTGCTGGCCCAGGCGTGGGTCCAGCCTTTGATGTCAAGTCGTGGGGCCAGCCTTTTGCGCACGTTGTTCCTTAAACTCAATCTGGATGGATGACTTTGTCTGCTCTGAGTGTGGATTGCAGATGCTTGCGACATGTCGGCAGGCCAATCACGTTGTTGTCCCTCTCCTTGTCTACTTACTCCTACTCGACCTGCTTGGTACCCATCAAGCTGCCTATCAGAACGTTCTTCCATCCTTCTCTCTTTGCCCGGTTGTCCAAGGCCAAGGTTTTGAGCCAAGCTTATTTGGTTCAGGAGCTGCCTTATTAGATTGCTCTGGTTGTCCATTCTTTGAGCTAGCTGGTAAACTATCATATTATGGTCTGCTTGAGTTCGTGGATCGGGAGGAGAGAAGTGTGTAGAGCCCAATTGCACACGGGCTAGGGTTTCATTGGAGGTGTACGCAAGAGTGTGTGTTGAGTGTGAAGGCAATGGAGGGAACGCTTGAAGTTGCTCCAAGATCGGGCCTAAGTTGGCGGTGGTAATGAGCCTACCTTGATGGGAAGTTCCACCATGCTTGGCGGCGGTGCCATGAAGGTGGCTAGATCTGGTCACGGGGCCTTGGGTTGACATGGCGATAGTGGTGGCTGGTGCAGTGGTCACAACTGCAAGTCCGGTAGGTGGCACGGTGGTGAGGGGTGGTGGTGCCACCATGTTGATTGCAGGATTGTGGGTGGAGTGGCTTTGGGCCATCGCGGATCGAGCCATTACGGCGATTCTGCCTCTCGTCTTCTTGCTTCCAACCATGGTTGTTTGGAAGGCTTCGGTGGATTGGAAAATAAGTTTGGAGCATGCTTTGAGTATATCTCGTGCTCTCAATGAAAGCACCAATTTGTGAGAGCAAATTTCCCCACGAGAATATTCAATTGGAAAGATTCCCCTTTCTTCTTTGCCGCCTCTTTCTCCATGCAAAATAGAACAAATAAGAGGACCACACTTGGGGGTATTGGCCAAAGGCCCTCTGATGCCTAAATTAGTTCAATTGAATCGTATAGAAAACAATAGCTAATAGGGTACGGAGATATGTTTATGGTGTAAACCGGGCGGCCGGAGCCTTATGTAATAGAGAGAGAGAGAGAGAGAGAGAGAGAGAGAGGAGGTGGCTAGGGTTTGTGAGGGATTATTTATGCAGAGTTTAAGTAGGAATTCAAACGTCCTTCAATCCTTATGTGTGGCTATCCTTTTATAGTGGTTTCGGAGGCTAGAGTTTTAGAGAAATAATTCCGTAGATGGAAAGGAATTATTCCTCCCCAATTTGGAATTGATTTGATTAATTAGGGATTTGATTTATTAGGGTAAATCAAATCCCTAATTGTGCTAGGTATCAAATGAATTCCTAATTTAATTAGGTAACTCTTCATTTAATTGGGAATTGTGGTAGGAATCAAATCAATTCTCAACCTAATTAGGTAACATTCCATTTAATTGGGTAATCCCCAATTAAATTGAGTAACTCCCAATTAGGTTGAATAATTCCTAATTAGGTCAAATAATCCCCAAATGGAAGGAATTATTTGACCTAGGGTTCTGATTTAATTCGATTCCCACAGTTGCCATATGAGTATTTGTGATTAGAAGCAGGGAGGCATAAGGCCAGGTGCTGCCAATCTTAAGAATAGTGAAGTTCTGGAAAGCCTGGTGAAGAAGCAGGCCGCAGATGGGAAGCTCTATGCCGCGATTTGTGCTTCACTTGCAGGGGCATTTGGGTCATGGGGTGTGTTGAAGGGACTGAAAGTAAGATCTCTAAGCACCTGCCAATATTTCATTATTTGTTTTGCATATTAAAATTATGATTAGTGTTTCTTATGGTTCTTGAAATGACTAAATCTGATCTTGTGGGCTGTATTGGTTTTTGATAGGCAACCTGCTATCCATCATTTATGGATCAGTTAGCATCTAGCGCAACTATTGTTGAATCAAGAGTGCAGGTGGATGGTAAAGCTGTGACTAGTCATGGACCTGGTACTACCATGGAGTTTGCTGTTGTGCTGGTTGAACAATTGTATGGGAAAGAAAAAGCTGATGAAGTATCTGGGCCACTGGTATATACTTCTCAATATCTTGGCTGGTTGTCATTCTAGTGGTGGCTTTATTGTCAAGTGATTTCAAAGATGTTCATTGTCTGGGGAAATGAAAATAAATATGATCTGCTATGATCTAGCTTTCACCTGTTACCTTTAATTCAAGGCTTGTGATGCGCATGTAACTGCATTTTTGTACTCAGGTCATGCATTCCAACCATAGGGATGAATTTATCATAACTGAGCTAAACCCAGTTGAGTGGACTCCCAATGATTCCCCAATGATTACCCAGATAAGGAATTAGGTGGGCAAGAGAAGAGTAGAACTACCCAAGAGAAAGGGAACTCAAAATTGGACTTTCGGAAACTGCATTGCAGTTTTCATTTAATTACAATTGAATTTTTGCTCGTCATTGGCCTTCAACCTCACCAATTTGAAGAGTAGAGGCTATCCAGATGAGGAATTGGGTGGGCAAGAGAAGAGTAGAACTACCCAAGAGCAAGGGAACTCAAAATTGGACTTTTGGAAACTGCATTGCAGTTTTGGAAATTACATTGCAGTTTTCATTTAATTACAATTGGATTTTTGCTATTTCCTTGGCCTTCAGCCTCACTAATTTGAAGAGTAGAGGCTACCCAGATGAGGAATTGGGTGGGCAAGAGAAGAATAGAACCCAAGAGCAAGGGAACTCAAAATTGGACTTTTGGGAAAATGCATTGCAATTTTCATTTAATTACAATTAAGGATTTTTGCTATTTCCTTGGCCTTCAACCTCATCAATTTGAAGAGTATAGGCTACCTAGATGAGGAATTGGGAGGGCGAGATAAGAGTAGAACTACCCAAGAGCAAGGGAACTCAAAATTTGACTTTTGGAAACTGCATTGCCAGAAACATAATATTTTACCAACATGTATTGAATAAAAAATGTTTTGTTTTGTTTTGTTCAACTCTAGAGCTGAGCACTTTTGCCCAAACTTAGCATTGCAGTTTCCATTTTTGTATTGCAGTTTCTGTTTATAGATTGCAGTTTCTGCTTTTACATTGCAGTTTCTGTTTCTGCATCGCAGTTTCCATTTTAGTACTTTCATCTTGGTTCCTCCATTTTGCTTCAATAAAATTACTTTTTGTTTTTTTTTGTAGCTGTTTTCGTTTTTGTTTTTGTTTTTTTTTTAACGTAATTGATATCTATATTATATTTTTGTTGCAGTTTCTGTTTTTATTTACAATTTTTGTGTGAATATGTGATAAAATGATTTATTATTTTTTTTGAAAAACCCGTTGATTGTTTATATAAATATTGTATAACTGAATAAATATTACAAAATAAAGTTTGGTGTAGTGGCTTGTGAGTGAGTCTTCCTTCTTAGAGAGTCAAGGTTCGAGTTTCTTCAATGACACAATTTTTTTTTTAAAGGTGAATAAAGGGCAACGGAGTTGGTCCCCTACAGGCAGTGGCGGCATGCGGTGTTGGCCGGCGGGGTGGCCGGCGGTGGGTGGCCGGGTTGGCATAGTATGCTTGCATTAGAAGGAGAGGCATTGTGTGTAATTTTGATATTTTTTTAATGATATTTTTGTAAAATTAGATACTACATTTTGGTCTATGGCCTTATGCTAATTAGATGAAATTGTATTCATATCTTCCAAACTAGTAAACTATATTGTGTTTTAAAACTAAAACTCCATAAATTAACTTGTAAGTTTTATTACATTTGGGCTTCACTAGCTCTTATTCTACGGTGTTTGCTTGTTCATGATCATAATGTTATGAATTGCTTACTCACAGTAAGTAAAAGTGTTTGACTCAGTTGATTGAAAAGAAGAAGAAGAAAATGAAGAGGAAATGAAATAGAAGCTCAGTGTAATTATCCAATGTTAGAAGCTCGAGATTCATAATTTTTGGATTTAGTTGATCGTGACATATCAAGTATGCCGAAGAAGCTCATAACAACACTGAAGAAGGAATTACAAAAGATTCTATGTAAGTTGACGCCTAATTTCAAGCAAAGGCTTGGTTTCACAAAAGCCTCAATCCCATCCCCATTCCTGGTATACATCAAAGCTGCTAAATTTATATTTTACTTTGTTTTGACTTGTCCAAATTCATTATGTTTGGTCATGGGAAATCTTTGATAGATCAGTCAAGATGTTTTTGGTCAACGATCAAATGGCACATATGTTATCATCAAAATGATTGAAGTCATTTTGTTGGACTTTTGATAAATTTTTGGGATTCCTTTGGTGATGAATATCCAACAAATCTCACACGAAAGGGAAAACTTATTTGATAATAAATATAGAAAGAAAGCGAATGCTTATTTATTTATTTTTTTTAGTACAATAGGTAAAGTCTTTCTTTAGTTTTATGTAATTCTATATATTTTCTATTGAAAGATAGAGACGCAAAACATTGACAGAATATAATTCACACACATATATATATATATATATATATATTTAGAAGTGTTATGTGGGTTGGGGGTGGGGTGGAAAATATGCCTGCCTTGGTTGCGTGTATGTTTGTAGAACAGATGGTATGAGCTGCATTTACATATTATTAGACAGTTTGAATGAATATCTATAAAATAGGAGGTTTAGATTAGTGAAATACAATACGGAATGAGCTCTACAAGGGTGTCTATATATATATATATAAAGTTTTCGTTGAAGGATCCTTCAATAAAAAGGGATTGTATATTATGTTCCATAACATAATATATATATATATATATATATATTAAAAAATAGCTTCTACTTAAAGTTAAAAAACGGCTTCTACTTAAAGTTCAAATTTGCTTTGTTAGTTTATATCATTGCCTTAAATCGTGGCTTGGGGTGGGTTTTGAGGTCAATGTGCACATCACATATCATATACTTTCACATGCAGACCTCCATGATTAGCAACTAATAGAGCCAAATTGATTATATAACCAAAGTTTATTGTTTTTTATTTTATTTTTCATAACATTCACATGGCATATATTACAACCCAAGTAAGTATTAATTATATTTAACTATGAATGTCTTTGATTAATTATTATCTTTTATGGATTAAGTAAATGAAAGTCTTTCATCACACATGTCACTCATTGTGCAGATCATGATTGCCCTAGATTTTGTAATTTGATTATATAGATACTTTCACTATAAGCTTCTTTTCTTATGTGGTTTTATAGATCAACAATGGAAATCCTTTATATATTTTATTTCTCGTTTCATGTGTTATTTGCATTGCACTCTCCCAAAAGGTTGACTTGCCTCATGAGCTGTATGGGCAATAAAGTTTTTTTAAAAATTATAAATGTTTTCATCTGCTGGGTATTTTAGAGTGAATGCTTATTTATTTATTTTTTGAGTACAATAGGTAAAGTCTTTCTTCAGTTTTCTATAATTCTATATATTTTCTATTGAAAGATAGAGACGCAAAACATTGACAGAATATAATTCATATATATATATATATTTAGAAGTGTTATATTATGTGGGGTGGAAAATGTGCCTGCCTTGTGTCACGGGATGACTTTTTCAGAGTCTTCCTTCCGTGTGGCATTAGACTTGATTGCCTCTCAAACAAGCTACGTCAGCCTCCTTACTACAAAACAAGATCAAACCAAGCAAGAACAATCACAAGAGCAGGAACGCTAAAGAACAAACAAGAGAGTTTGGGAGAATATGTGCTTGTATTGCTACTCAAATGCTTTACAAGTTGTGAGGTGAGGATACACAATGAGACATCCTCCTTATATAATATTCCTATCCCACCTACCACCACAATAGATGACTAAGATACAATCTCACCTACCGGCTTCTACCAACTACTGTCACCAATCGTAGTCTACTTACTACTGTACAACGAATCTAGACATGTGGGCTAAGAGGTCTAGCATGATCAATCAAACGGGCTGGGCCTTGAACATGCGGGCCGTGACATTCTCTCCCACCTAATTTGGTGATGTCCTCATCGTCACGGTAGATCCTTCTCGTTCGAATGCTTCGATGATGTCTTTGTACCTTCACAAAGACTCTTTTTTCTCCCAATTGCCTTCGGACTCTGGCAGGCCCTTCCATTTGACAAAGTACTCAAAGTACCTCAGTACACCCTTGCGTCGCACCTTTCGCTTGGCCATGATGCACTCAACCTCCCTGTCAAATGAAGTCACCATCAAAGGTGGAGCTCGTTGAGACTCTCCACGACTTGGCTCCTCGGGGTTAGCATGGTAGGGCTTGAGATTGCTCATGTGGAACACTGGATGAATCTTTAATCGGGGTGGTAGTTCCACATGGTAAGCAACTCTTCCCACTGTTCGGATGATAGGAAATGGACCCTCATATCTCCTCAACAACGCCTTGTGTAACTTTCTAGTGGACTTGTGTTGAGAGGGGTTGAGCTTTACAAAGATTAGATCAACTGGTTGGAACACAACATCTCACCTGTGTTTATTAGCCCATTTCTTCATCTTCCGAGTTGCCTTCTCCAATTGAGCCCGAGCTAGCTCATTAGTCACCTACCACTCCTTGGCCGTCTTGTATGTAGCAGAGTTACTCCTTGTGTAGCCTGACACCACTGTGTTTGGTGTCATAGGTTGTTGTCATGTTGCCAACTCAAAGGGACTTGACCATGTCGACTCCGACCGCTGCAAGTTGTACGAGAACTGAGCACCATCCAACAACTTTGCCCAATCTCATTGGTTGGCACTCACATAGTGCCTCAGATTGTCCCACCTTGGAACATAGATCCTCTTCCCTGTTGCATAAAGAACACCATCATCGAGCCAAAATCTTCTTGTCTTCCCATCTTTGACAAACTCCAACAAACTTCTGGCTTGGGGATCATGCAACAAGCCCTCTCGTATCCTCTGCATGAGAGAACTTTGGGGTTGTACAACAGCTGCTAGTGCGGCCTTCCTATTTAGGGCATCGGCAACGACATTCTTCTTCCCTTACTTGTACTCCAGTTTGTAGTCGAACTCCGCCAAAAAGTCTTGCCACCTAGCCTGCTTGGGTGACAACTTCTGTTGAGACTGAAAGTAGCTTGTGACAACATTGTCAGTCTTGACCACGAACTGAGAACCAAGCAAACAGTGTCTCCAAGTCCCTAAGCAGTGCACTACGGCTGTCATTTCCTTCTCTTGAATGATATACCTCCGCTTCGTGACATTGAGCTTCTGACTCTCGAAAACGAATAGGTGTCCATCCTGCATGAGTACACCACCAATAGCGAAATCTGATGCATCAGTGTGTACCTCTAACGGTTTACTAAGATCAGGAAGTCTTAGCACTGGTTCCTCCTCGATGGTATGATCCACCTATCTCCTAGGTGGTAAGGTTTTGGGCAGCTCCTTGGGCATGACATCTGCAAACTCCTTAAGGACTACCTTCATCGCTTTCGGGACTGGTTTGACTTCCTTCTCAACTGTGTCCATCTTCATAGTTGCAAGGAATGTCGGTTCCCCCTTCTTCCAAGACTTGGAAAGTTGCATGGCTGATAAGACCTTCGACTTGCCTTGTTGCCTCACCACTATCACCATGCATGGCATTGCTCCACCCTGTGCAATGCACATAGTATTGTAAAATGGAATGGGAAAGGCCTTTACCTTGTCCATGAACTCCATTCCTAGCACGACATCGTAGTCATCCATCGGGATCACGAAGAAGTCAGCTACTCCCTTCCAAGCAGCAATGTGTAGCTCCACACCACAAGCTACTCCATCAATTGGTTTGGCAGTTGAATTCACCGTCTTCATACTGCCTGCTTCCTTCGAGACTCGACACCCAAGTCTCTTTGATTCCTGCATGGACATAAAGTTGTGTGAGGCACCTATATCCATCAGACAACAGGTTGTCTTGCCATTCACTATGGCGTCGACAAACATCACCCATTTAGCTTGCTTGTGGTTGAGCGATTTTGGCTTGTACATCATTGAAGCGGTGAATGGCCCCCATTCTTGCTTCCCTATCGGCCTCCTTTCCCTTCTCTTGGTTCATAGCATTCAGAGCTTTCTTTTGCAGACAATCCCGTATCATGTGCTCTCCATCGCACAAGTAGCAAGCTAGCTTCGACTTGTCTTTCCCCTTGTCACCTTTGTCATTCTTCTTCCCGGATGACTTGTGACTATCAGACTTGTGACTATCAGACTTGTCTCCTGACTTGCTATCCTCTTTTGGCTTGTTGTCTCCCCCACCGGATCCACTGCTATCTTTCATTCCTTTGAACTTGGAGTCGCCTTGATCCTTCTTCTTGAACTCAACAAGAGACTCAGCTGCAGCAATTGCCTCTGACAAGGTTTGGGCTTGTCTCCTTTGTAACTCCAGCTTGGCCCAATTCTATAGGCCACTCATGAAGTACATGAGCTTGTCTTCATCTGTCATGCTAGGCACCTCGAACAACAGGTTGGTGAACGTGGCGACATAGTCCTTCACGCTCCCTGTTTGCTTTAGCCATCTCAGCTTCTCCTTTGCCTCATACTTGGCATTCTCTGGATAGAAATGTAACATAATATCCTTCTTAAATTCATCCCAAGTCTCAAGTGTAAACGTACCTTGTTCGATCTCCATGGATCGACGACCCCACCACATGAGAGCATTGTCGGTGAGAAACAACGTTGCTATATTGATCTTGGGCTCATCATCCTCCATCTTGAGATACTTGAAATACCTCTCGATATTCCACAAAAACATGTCTAGCTCCTTCGCCTCCCTCTTCCCATTATAGGATTTGGGCTTGAAAGAATCTAACACCTTGGGTTCCTTCGGAGTTCGGGTCTTGTTTTGGACAACTTCTTTGCACAAGGCCCAATCTCCCTTCACATCCTTTACTTCATCACGAAGCGCAGTAAGCTCCGCCATGAAATGATCTAGCCTGGTTTGGACACTAGCTTGATGTTGTCTAGCACGGAGTTGAGGGCTCCCTGGAATTGGCCCTGAAGCTCATCCACTATAGCTTCGAAGCCCACCTTCGTAAGGACGTCCTTCTCGAGTCTCTGATCGAACTTGACCACGACATTCTCCATCTTAGAAAGCCGCTTCTCCATGATGGCTATAACATCTCTAGATCATTCCCTCTTTGATTTGCCCCCACGATCCAAGTTGACCTTAGACAGATCTGTCTCCACATCGGATCCGCTCTTCGACATGCTTCTTCGAATGATTTGAGCTTTCGCTATGATACCAACTGTCACGGGATGACTTTTTCAGAGTCTTCCTTCCGTGCGGCTTTGGACTTGATCACTTCTCGAACAAGCTAAGTCAGCTAAACCCTAAACCCTACATATTATTATAACAAAGAGAAAAAAAAAGAAGGATTACACCAGCTGAGGATCATGACAAAAACCAGAGATTCAGTTAGATTTTTCTTGCAGCAAATCACTGAAATTTTCTAAGACCCTATCCAACTAGATTTTGCTCCCTCTGAACCTATATTCTTGACTCACATGAATAAGCAGCCTCAAAATTATACTATTTACATATCCTGGTGATGAGGGATTTCCACAGCAACTCCAAACGTCAGAGAAAATGTGAAAGAAAATAAACTCCCAACTCCAAACATTTGGCACCGCTCATGCTTCCTGTTTTGCATGGAAAGTCAGCAAAACAATATCCATATCTCCCCGCCCGAGCCTCCCAATATATAATTAGCATTCACTCAGATGTTCAGGCTAGCCAATGTATAATATAAACTGCATATACAGTAATATAAGGCAACACATAAAACTGTAAGCATTGACAATTGTAAGTCATTATCATAATTATTAAAGTCAAAGAAATGAAAATTAATAATTGCTGATGTTTCCATGGACTTAGTGCAGATGTGCAATCTTATATATATTAAGTCTTCCTGCTGCAAATCCAATAAATCTTATAGAGCAATCCTATAGGCTATAGCAGGAACAATAAATGGCCCAGGAGATGAAAATTGAGATTGTCAAGAAGGAAACCATAAAACCATCTTCCCCAACTCCCCACAACCTCAAAAGTTTCAAGCTCTCTCTTTTAGATCAGCTTTCTCCTGTAGCATATGGTCCTTTGGTTCTTTTCTACCCTAACAATGTCAGTGAGGTTACATTAACAGAGGAAAGGTCGCATCAGCTAAAGAAATCACTCTCAGAAGCCTTAACTCGCTTCTATCCACTTGCTGGAAGAATCAAAGACAACCTGTTTATTGAATGTAATGATGAGGGGGCTGTCTATGTTGAAGCTCAAGTCAACGCCCTTCTGTCGAACTTCCTCGATCAACCCAGCTTGGAAATACTAAAATTGCTCCTTCCCATTAAGGTTGATTCCCCTGAAGCAGCCACAGGGTGCCTGCTGCTTGTTCAAGCCAGTTTCTTCAAGTGTGGAGGATTGGCCATAAGTGTGTGCATGTCACACAAGCTTGCTGATGCATCAACTTTGAGCACATTCATCAAAGTTTGGGCTGCCACAGCTCTTGGCCTTGGTCACACTGTGGTACCAGATTTCAGCGCAGCAACCCGATACCCGCCTAGAGATTTCTCAGCGCAGAGTCCTGCAGCTGCTGTGGAGATGAAGATAGTCAAGTGTGTCACAAAGAGATTCGTGTTTGATGGTCCAAAGATGAGAGCTCTTAAAGCTAAAGTCACTAGTGGAAGTGTGCAGAGACCTACAAGAGTTGAAGCTGTAACAGGCCTCATTTGGAATTGTGCAATGAAGGCGTCAAAACTAAGTTCAGGGATTTCCAAGTTATCAATGGTGTCACAATCTGTCAACATACGCAAAAGGGTTGTGCCACGATTGCCACAAACCTCAATTGGAAACCTTGTGGGGTACTACACTGCAATGGCAGAGGAGAGTGGAATAGAGTTGAACTCCATGGAATTGGTTTCTCGACTGAGGAAGGGGATGGTTGAATTTAATGAAATCCATTCCAAGAGATTGCAAGGGGACATTGTGTTTGAAGCTATATGTGAGTATTTTAATGAGATGGGAAACATTATGAGAAGAGATGACATAAACTTGTTTATCTGTACAAGTTTATGCAACTTTGGAATATATGAGATTGATTTTGGGTGGGGAAAGCCAATTTGGGTGAGCATACCTTTTGATATACTCAATAATATTGCTAGTTTGATTGACACAAAGGAGGGTGATGGAGTAGATGCATGGATAAGTTTAAGTGAGGAAGACATGGCCTTATTTGAACGTGACCCGGAACTTCTTGCTTTCGCTTCTTTAAATCCAAATGTATTTGGACCTGTAACAAGGAGATCTTCTCTTTAGTTTCTTAGGATTTATTTGGTGTTTTTGCTGGTTTTTCTCTTCTTGTTCTGGAATAAGAATTTTCTGTTTGAAATTGAATAAATGCAACTCTGCAATGCCAAGGAACTTTACACTTTATGGTATAAGTTAACTGTTTAAGCTCACGCCTCACACAAAACACCATTTTAAGAGGTTTTCCAAATATGCTCCACTTTTCAATGGAAATCGAAGACAGAGCAATACCCTACAAAACCTTGGAAATGCTACATTAGTGGGACAAATTGAAAACCTCAAATAGCTTTACAAAATTTAATTGGACCCAAGAACATGGTCATAATTGGGCCCAACAATTGTGGTTCATGCACATTCTATACAAAATATTTAAGACGGACCTCTATAGCCCCTTGTTCATGGAAGATCTCCTCAAAAATTCCGCAACCAATTTGGAGAATGCAGAAGAACTATCCTCAAGTAACCGAGCTGGAGAATCATACTCTAAAACCCTGCCTGTATGAATCAAAGAGTTAATAAAATCTTTTAAATCATGTCACCTAATCAATATTAAGTTTTTCAATCATCCGTAAATGTTATTTCGGACCAGGTTTCAATATTAATATGCTTCAACTATAATATCTGCTCAAATGGAATTTTCTATCCATTTTGGAACATATGTACAGAGCAGGTTATACTAACAGTACCTTCATCAAGAACTAAAACCAGGTCATTGTCGATAACCGTAGGAATCCGGTGAGCCACAGTGATCACAGTGCATCCACTCGTTTCTTTTCTTATTGTCTGCTGAATTAGAATATCTGTTGCTGTATCAATAGAAGCGGTAGCCTCATCCAAGACGAGAATTTTCCTTTTCTTTAAAAGCACTCGGGCCAGGCAAACAAGCTGCCTCTGTCCAACACTCCAGTTTTCTCCATCTTCAGCAACTGTTCAGTGTTTGAACGAATAAAAATATAAAAACTGAACTGCTTTGGTTGCTCATATGATTTAGTAGATTATTAGATCTCCATACCTGGTGTATCAAGAAGCCTTTGGTCCTGCCTAATGATCTCCGCCAGTCGACATTGATTCAGAACCTGTGTTATTGAATTATATAAGTAACAATACCACAATATATCATTCTTGTAAATAAAGACTTTGATCCTAACCTCCCAGAGTTCTTGATCAGAATGTTGTTGCAAAGGATCCAGATTGGTCCTCATGGTTCCTTGAAATAAAGTTGGGTCTTGTGGAATAATGCTCAACCTTGACCTTAAGTCCTGCAGACCTATCTTAGAAATATCAACACCATCAACAAGAATCTGCCCTCCTGAGGGTTTCACTATCCTGAAGAGCGCTTGGATCAAAGTGGACTTTCCACTCCCTGTCCTGCCTACGACTCCTATTTTCTTCCCTCCAGGGAAGGTGCAAGTGATCCCTTTGAGAACAGTTGGGAGAGCTGGATTATATTGCACACTAAGGTTCTCGATTTCAATTTTTCCTGCCATTGGCCATTCAGGAACTGGTCTACTGTCTTCAATCACTAGTGGTGCTTCAATTGGTATCTTTGTGAACTGAAGAATTCTCTCCACTGATATCATTTTGTTTTCTACATTACACATATTCCATATCACCCAAGCTTGCAGGACATTTAGGTTCAAACCATAGGTAGCAGCCAAACCTGCCAAACCTGAGACCGAAGCAACATTGACAGTTAACTTTTAAAGCTTATGGTGTTAATATTTCCTCATATTTCATCAGGGATTGGAGGGGCTTACTAGGATCAATGGCAGACCTAGGCATGCTGACCAAGATGATAAGAACAATGAAGTAAACAAGGTTGAACAGAAAATTGGTCCGAACAGACAGCCATTCCATCGTGCCATAATTGTGAAAGACTATGCGGGAATAATCATCAATCAGGTCCATTGTTTTCATCATAAAACGGTCTTCTTGATTGAAACAACGAACTGTTCCTGCACCTGCGATTGATTCTGAAAAGTGATGTAGAATTGGAGCCTTTCGAATTCCAACCATCCTGGCGAGTTCTCTGGCAGTGGTAATGTAGTAAGCCTGCAAAATATATATATAAAACAAGATAAATACCTGTGCACCGAGGTACTTGAATATGAGCTCCAAGAAACATTGACTCTCAAATTTTGAAAAAACAATAAACCATTACATTTTACTTGTAGGGAAATATGGTTAAGATTTTCCTTGTAGGTAGAAGGAGTTTGGTTACAATCAAAATGTTGAAACATGGAAAAATAAATTCAAAATGGGGTTTTTCTTACTTGATACCACATGGAGAGTGCAAGAACGCCAAGGCAAAGAATGAAGACTTGCCAGGCCACTTGAGACATAAGGATGATGATGCTTATTAGCTGGATGAGGGCAAATACCAATCCAGCTAATCTATACGGAATGTCCGTGTCTACTGTGCTTTGATCCGTAGAACACTGTAACAATTAATATGTTTTTAGAAAGGAAAATAAGATTTAGAACTTGATATATACTTCAAAGAGTAGAGTCTATTAAATTTTCAAACAGGAAAGAAATTTAGAACTGACCCTACTAAGGATTCGACTAGAAGGTGTGGAGTCGAAAAATGAAATTGGTGCTCGGAAAACTGAAGTAATCATTCCAAGGAAGAGACGCTGAGCAGTCTGAAGAGCAATAGTTGCCAGAAAAACTGCCCTTCCCAAAATGAAGATGGAACTCCCAGCAGATAACAGAGCGAACACCCACATCAACCTCTCTTTGCTGACCCTGTCTTCTTTCTCTGTTCCCCAAGCAATCCAGTAATTGCTGCCCATTTGTAGTCCCTGGAAGAGGACTTGACAGACAAGAATGACTGGGACAAGAGCACCTCTATAAGCAGAAGTTACGAAGGTTGAGTAAACACGCCATTTCACTCGACCAGTTTCTGCTTCTTCTTCATGACTTTTTTCTGAAAGTTTCCCATTGTTGATAGCCTCTTTTTCTTCTGAAACCTTTATTAGGTTAACTTGATGAGGTCTTCGGTTATCTTTTTGGCATGTGTTAACTTGGTCAAATGATTTTTTATGTGCATACATTTGTCTGACAAGTTCACCGTTGGGATCTGCAATCAAATCCTCATATTTTCCAGACTCAGCAATTTCGCCATCTTTAATTACCTATCAACAATTGAATTGGAAGGAGAGAAATAAGGGACTTGACAAAATATGTTAGTAATAGTATCTGAGTAGAGCAGCAAAAGAAATCCAATAACATACCAAGACAAGGTCTGCTGCTTCTAAGAATTCTAATTGGTGGGTAGCATAGATGACAGTCTTCATGGACAAGTGTTGCAAGAGACATTTCTGCAAAACATTCCAATTTCTGATTAAATCCATTTTAAGACATGAACACAAATATAGAAGTACATGTACACAATTTCTGATTACAATTATAAGAAATTTGGCTTGCCTTAAACAAGCGTGTTCCTGTATGTGCATCAACAGCACTGAAAGGATCGTCGAAAATATAAACATCTGAATCACTGTAGACAGCTCTCGCAAGTTGTACTCTTTGCTTTTCTCCCCCACTTAGAGTCATCCCTCTCTCCCCCACTACAGTCAAATCCCCATCTGCCCACGTATTGACATCATGGTCCAAAGCACAAATTTCCAAAACATCCTCATAACAGCCCCTATTCATTTCCTTGCCAAACAACACATTCTCCCTTATTGTTCCAGTTTGAATCCAAGCACTTTGTGAAACATAAGCTTTTGTTCCATAAACCTTTGCTCCTGCCCCAGAAATTTTGGGAATCTCACCAAGTATACTGAGTAGTAGGCTTGACTTGCCAGAACCAACAGAGCCACAAACTGCAACCTTGGACCCTTTCATAATCTTTATCTTCTCCGTTATTTTAATTGTAGGTGTCTTTAAGTCTTGCTCACTTGTTTTCCATGCATACTCTCCTGGCTCAAGAACAACCGTGACATTTGATACTTTTGAATCATGGCAAGGTATCAGCTTCATTTGATCTTCTTTAACAAACTCTTGGATACGATCAATGGATACCTTTGTCTGAGTAATCATGGAAATGAGCTCTGGGAAGTTGTAGATAGGCTCTCCTAGAATTCTGAACGTAGCTAAAGCAGACAATACCGTACCTATTGTTAAGGGTGTGTTTAGTATTATGCATACACCAAAAGTGGTAACTGAGACTAGAGTTGGTGAAGCCCAGAAGAGAAAGACCACTGCTGAGCTTGTATAAAGGTATCTCTTCAGCCAATTCCTCTCAGTTTCCCTGTGTTGAAGCAGCTTCTTCAAGAATGTAGGCTCCCATGAGTGCAACTTTAAAACTCTGATGTTCTTCAGAATCTCTGATGTTAACTTGATTCTTGAATCCTTCTCTTCCATGATCTTGGAGTGAAGCCGTTTTTGCATTTTGGCCAAAGGTGTGTTGCATACCATGATCAAAATTGTGGAAAGAAGAGCAGCAGCAGAGGGGGCCGCACCAAGATTCCTGTATAGGATAGCCAAGGCCAAAAACACCTGAACCGGGAGCAACCAAACACCATGAATGTACCAGCAGAAGTCTCCAATTCTTTCTACATCCACATTGATTAAATTAACAATTTTACCATTACTTGGACAAGAATACTTGATGGAGATAGATTTCTGGTAAATCAACAATGTGAGAGCTGCTCGTACTCGTACACCAATTACTTGAGCACCAAAGTACCACTGTCTCTGACTCAATGATTCCAATGTCTTAGCAATGAAGAATGTGAACGCAAGAATCAGTCCATGGTGGATGCTTGAATTGTCATGTTTTTCAAGTAAATAATTTACAAAATTTGTAATTAGGAATGGACCAACATATGATGAAGCCGTATTGACTCCTGCAAAAAATATGAATAAAAAAACATAAAAACCTGCAGAACAAGAATGAAAATAAAAAGGAGAAACAAAACTGATTCAAGAACAAAGAGTTACCTGCAAAAACAGCATTTATCGCTAATGATTTTCCTATAGCCCGCATTATGGCTTTCGACAATGAAGAGTCTTCCATCTTCTGTTTCCTAAGTGATTCGTCAAGCACAGAGGAAGCATTTTTTGTTCTTTCTGAGGGAGGAACATATGGTATATGAGGTAATTCTAGTTTCTGGATTCGACCCCTTCTGAAAAGTGGGTTCAGCCATTGAAATGTAGCCTTGCTCCAAATTCCAGCATTCGCGTAAGTATCAGTGTCTTCGGGTGGAGCTTCATCTTCCTTCTCAAGTAATGGTTGCTTAAGGTCATTTTTTTTCTGCGCATCATAGCTAAAAGCATTGAAGCAAAGGAGTATTGACAAAGGAATAGAAGCGAAATCGACTATGTTAGCCTTCAGAAGAATATGTGGCAAATCTATGGATATGAAGTGAGTGATGAGGTAAAGGCACGCATAAAGCAAGTAAAAACTGCAAGCAAAGATCCACCAAATAATGAGGACCCAAGGCCACCTATTCTGCTCACTATGACTTCTGTTCTTGGCGTAGAGTGTAACTACGGTGGCTAAAATCCAAGTCATGCCAGAGAAGATTGATTTACAACTTACATTTCTACCACCACCCCAATACTCATAAACGCCAAAACCAAGGTAGAAAATTGAGATTAAGGCGTTTGAAAAAATGGTGACCAAAGCAAAAACTTCACATCCTCTGTCTGCTCTATGTATCAAACTGCTGCCATCTCTTCTTCGTCTCATAATATCTAGCAAAACCCACGTCAATAACACTATGAAAAACCCTACATTAACAATCTCCAGCGAGATATCCATGGAGGCCAAGAAGAAGAGCAGTGAGGGGAGGAACGTAGGCGTGGTAAAGTAGGAATCTTTAGGTTTCTACCTATTCATAGTACATACCAAACATTCCCTTTTTGCACTCATATATTTCATTATTTATTTTCAGTTACGGAATGTTACAAAATCAAATATAATATAGGAAAAAAAAAAAAATAAAAAAAAGAGAAAAAAAAAAAAAAAAAAAGAAAATGGGTAAGCTTGTGAAAGCTTCTGTGCCTGAATTTCAATGAAAGGAAGGAACTATCGGCATTCTAAAATCCTTGTCAAAACTTTCCTTTTCAGCTCTCTGAGAATTTTTTATTATTAAAAAAAAGTAAAATAATCATTAATTTCTATAACGGTATATATGGAACCTGAATCTTAACCTCAGTTCGTTTCCCCTTCAGCTCTATAAGAATGTGGTCATGCATGTCTACATAATCTTCCATTTCAAGCGTTGACCCTTTTTTACAACCACTATGTAGATATCAAAGTCAAAGTCTGTATACTGAATGTTGATGGCTCTAGGAAAGTTGCTTCTGGCCATATTGGTGCTGGAGGTGTGTTGCGTGATGTTTCTGGTGATTGGTGTAGTGGGTTTGCTATTAATTTGGGTAAAGGGCAGATTCTAGAGGCTGAATTATGGGGTCTGTTCTTTGGTCTGAGGATGGCTATTGCGAAAGGGTTTAATAACCTTATCGTTGAGATGGATTCGGCTGTTGCTATCCAGCTTGTTCAGCAGCATGATTCTCTTACTTTGCACCCTCTTGCATCTCTGGTCTCTAGCTGTTGGCAGTTAATGCAGCAGCTTGAGAAGTGCAGCATGCGTCATATTTTTAGGGAGAAAAACAGTGTTGCAGATCGTCTGGCTGCTTGGAGTTATAACTCAGATCTTGGTATCTGCGTTTTTGATGAGGCTCCAAGTTGGATTGGGACTTCTTTGGTGGAGGATTTGTTAGGGGTGTCTAGGCCCCGGTTGATTTGTGTTGGTTAGTTTGTTTTGTTTGTTTGGGGTTTTCCCCCCCATTTCACCAAAAAAAAAAGTCAAAGTCTGTATATACTTATTCATTAATTTTCGAAAGGAGAATGTGTTTATGCATGTCTTCATAATACGTTGTTTAGACAAAAATACAAGATCAGAAAAAAGAGGAAAGAAAAAAAAGGGATAGTAGAGAAAAATCCTAAATCTCATAAATTGTGGGTATCTCATTCCTAAAGTGTACGGATTATTGATGAAGAGATTTAAGAGCTTTAAAACTAGTTGAAAAAAAAAAGGATATGGATCCTCTGCTGTGATTTTCTCTGTCACGATCTACTTAACTTTCGGTCTTCACATGCCACTTCATTTAAATTTAATCTAACACATTTAAATTAGATACATCATCCTTTAAAACTCAATTTACTTCTAATTAAAAATAGAAAGGGAAAAAAAACCCTAACTTGACTACAACTTAACGTCAGTTTTTATCTTCTTCTTCCTTCTCACGTCCCCCTTCCAAAACAAAATATGAGCGCTCATCAAATTATTCAGCAAAAGAAATCAAGAACCTGTGTTGAGGGAAGTTATCACCAAAACGGATATTAGATAACATTATAGAATCTGAGGTACTTTTTGTTTGTTTGTTTGTTTGTTTTTTTTTTCTGAGAAAGACGAAATCCATTTAAGGTTTAATAACATGTCCTCAATAAGATCAGGAGGTGTTTTAAACAAAATGCACTCTTGCCCGTTACTCAAAGCATAGCGTGCCAATCTATTATAGCAACCTCATTGCAAGGCCTAGGCGCATGACTAATTGTAGCCTTCTGGAAATGCGACAGAACCTCCCAGCAACCCTCATAAAGTACCCCCAGCAAGAACCTATTAGAATTCAGAACCCCCTTTTGAAACTGCCATTGCAGTTTTAAGAGAATCCGTTTCGAACTCAACTGCACTGTAGCCCAAGTCCTGAGCACAATGAGATGCAATTTTTCCAGTTGTCATCTTAAGGTCTCGTCTAACTACCAGAACCTATCATGAGGAGTTATCATTGTATTGCCCTCAGATTTTGGGGCGAAAATATCTGACTCTACCGGGACGTAGGCTAATTGCCGAACCTCATTAAACCTTGCATTGTTTTTGCTTATTTTTCTTCATCCAGTAGGTTTTTTTTTTGGGGGGTCAATTTCAATAATGCCCCCAAACTTATATAGGGGGTATTTGTTGTTAGCCCTATTTTAATTTAACAAACCCAACTTCACAACCTTTGCATGCATTAACAAATCCCACTTCAAAAGGCTTTAATTTGTCGAGTTTTGTGCTCCATTGTCAGCACCATTTCTTTTCTTTATAAGCATCCAAAGTGGGGTAAGCTGAACAATTCTTCAAACTGGGTTGCAATTATCAACCTATTAACACTGAGGGCAGGGACAAAATGACAACAGCTATGGAGATTGGTATTATTGCTAGAGAAAACATCAAACCCTCCTCTCCAACCCCCACTCACTTGAAAACCTTCAAGCTTTCCCTTTTGGATCAAATGGTTCCCCCCACTTACATTCCACTGCTGCTCTTCTATCCCACAAGTGATCATCACAGAGCCCGGCAGCTAAAGAAATCACTATCTGAAACTCTAACTCGCTTCTATCCATTTGCTGGAACGATCAAAGACAACTCCTTTATCGAATGCAATGACAATGGGGCATGCTTCATTGAAGCTCGAGTCAGCTGCCTACTTTCACACATTCTCAATGAACCTGACCATGAGGTGCTAAAACAATTGCTGCCTATCAACTTTGAGTCCCCAGAAGAAGGCAGGGGATGTGTTCTGCATGTTCAAGCCAACTACTTTAAGTGTGGTGCAATGGCTATTGGCATATGCCTTTCCCACAAGATAGCTGATGCAGCCACATTGACCACATTCATCAAAACCTGGGCTGCCACTGCTTCTGGGATTGTTGATGAGAGTGTGGTAGTTCCTCTGTTCAATGCAGTGTCAATGATGCCACTGAAAGACATCTCGATAGCCCCGCCAGCTGTTGAGATCAAACAGCACAAGTCTGTGACAAAGAGGTTTGTATTTAATTCCTCAAAGATTGCTGCTCTTAAAGCTAAGGTTACTAATAATTCTGTGAGTGCTGAAGTTGAACATCCTACAAAGGTGGAAACTTTAGCTGCCCTGATTTGGAAATGTGCAATGAAGGCCTCAAGGGCCAATTTGGGGATTTCAACTAGGCCATCAGCGTTGTACCAAAATGTGAACATTAGAAGCAGAGTTTTGCCCCCCGTGCCTAATGAATCTATTGGGAACTTTGTTGGGTCCTTCATTGCTAGAACATCGGAGGCTGAGACAGAGTTACATGGGTTGGTTGCTGAATTGAGGAAAGGGATTCTGCAATTTTGCAAGAATGCAAAAAGGGTTCCACTGATTGAGGACATTTCAGTAATTTTGAAGCCTCAGATTGAGGCTATAGGCTTGTTGTGTAGGGATGACGTGGACTTCTATGCGTGCACCAGTTGGTGCAGGTTTCAGGTATATGAAGCTGCAGATTTTGGGTGGGGAAAGCCAATGTGGGTGACTTCAGCTAACCCAACATGCAAGAATATGGTAATTTTGTTAGATACTAAAGATGGTGATGGAATAGAGTGTTTGGTGAGATTGACAGAAGAAGACATGAAAGTGTTTGAGTGTGACCAAGAGCTGCTTGCTTATGCATCTTTGAACCCAAGTATCTTCAAAACTGGTTGACCAACTTATTATGCATGGATAAGTTCTTTGTTTCTTCTTGTGGGTTTCGAAAACAAAATCGTAATGCTAATCTAAGACTATATATATGCAAACACATGATGAAAGCTCAAGTTTATTTAGGATGCTCAATTATTATGAGAAACTTTTTTTCTTTTCATGATTTGGTTCTGCAAATAAAATCTAGACCAGCAAACACACGATGATGCTAATTCTCATTCAATTTAAAGACGTGCAAGTGGATTTTCCTTGACATTACCAATTGGGGAGCTAAGCAACGCCGTGAACTCTTTGTTATGTTCGAACTTGGCCATGTCTTCCTCTTTGAAGCTAAAATAAGACTCAATTCCATCACCATTTCTGGTGTCCATGAAGACTATTTGATTACTGATACGCATAGCAGTCATGCTTACCCATGTAGGCCTTCCCCAACCAAAATCTGCATCGTACACAGGAAACTTGCATACACTAGAAAAAGTCAATGTGACCAGCTCTCCTTTTGCAGCTCTCTCCATTCTTTTCTTCATGAAATCCAGATGTTCTTGATACCCCTCTTGGAATTTCCTCATATAATTATTGTCAATCTTCTCAATTTCCTCCATCACCTGCCTCACCGATCCATGATGCTTCTCACCGGTAGGTAGGGTTGGAGTTGCCATGGCAGCCCTGTAATAATTTCCAAAAGTATGCTGAGGCAGAGGTGGCTTGAACCTGGAACGAAGATCCATGATATAAACAACTGCGTACAACGTTTGCGGTCTTTCCCTAGGCCTTGACAAAACAAAGATGTCCCATAAAAAAGCAGACAAGGCCTCAACTTTTGATGGCCGTTTCTGGGTTTTTGAGACCTTGATGCTCTGTTCATATCTTGATCTCAAAGCCTCAACCTTTGACACATCAAACACAAACATCTTGGTTTTGATCTCATGCTTGTTGGTGATAGGAACCCCTGAATACCCATCCATATTTCTTGGTGGGAAAATTGAAGCTGCAGAAAAATCTGGATCCACAATAGAATTTTTGTTCCCCGGTCCACAATTAGAAGCAGCTGCCCAATTGTTCACAAATGTAAAACATGAGAGGCCGTCTGCAATTCTGTGTGAGATGCATAACCCAACAGCAATTCCTCCACATTCAAACACATTGAGCTGGACACCAAGGGCTGTTTCTGTGACTTCATCCAGCTTGAATGGCAGCAGTTTGTGGAGCTCAGAGAGGCAGGGGTTGGTGATGACATCAGAGAGCAGATGGGTTTTGACTTTAACTTCAGAAAATGGGATGCCTTGGTCTTTGCAGTGAACAAAAAGGTTGTTTTTGACTCTCCCAGCAAAAGGGTAGTATTGGGTCAAGACTCTGGATAGAGAAGTCTTGAGGAGGTTGGAGATTTGAGTGATGGTTGTGGAGCCATTGAATTCATAGAAGTAGAGAAAAGGAACATAGGCATGGGGTGCTAATTGATCAAGAAAAGAGAGCTGGTGGTGGTGGAGATGGTGAGGGGTTGGAGAAGATGGTTTGATGGTCTCTTTGGAGATTACTTCAACTTCAATCTTCATTGTGATCTTATCTGCTGGAGAATCTTTTATCGATCTGCTTCGCTGTAGCTAACAAAAGTATGCGAAGTTGGAATCTTCTTTTGCTGTAGATTTAGGCCTTCTCCAACCCTGGGGCTAAACCCAAAAAAATCTCAAAATTTGGCCCCATTTCATCTCCAACGCATGTATAGAGAGGTGGGGAATTTTAGGCAGACTGAAATCTTGGGCGCTATTTGACCCAGCTTTCCAGTCCAGGCAGAACTGCTGTGGGGCCCAACTCGCATCAAACCAAGCAGCCACGTGAAGACCCCAGCTACATGGACCACTTGTTGCCAACTTACCCATGCTGCTTGCGCCACTTGTCAAGCCCTGAACAATTATATGTTTCAATCCAATGGCTGCATTTAGTTGCTGTGTCAATTTTGTTTTTGTTTTTGTTTTTCATTCTACATATAATCAATGGCCAGCATATTTTTAAGCAATCTCAATGGGAAAAATTCACATCCAATGGCTGAAATTTAAATCCAACGGCAAAATTAATTTTTATAATTACTCTAAATCAAATTCAACCCAAAATAATTTTGTGATTATCATTTATCTTAATTGTAATTATGGTTTATCTTAATATGTTTTGATTTTTAAGTGAAATTATATTATGTTTTGGATTTTGGATTTTTTTAGGTTAAAATGTTCATAAAATTAAATCATGAATGTTGAAATAAAAATATACAAATTTATAAATAAACCCAATCCTAGACGTGTATTTATAAAAAAACTCAAACACTATTTAAACATAGAAACACACCCAAAATCAATCTCAAAATCAACAATTGTATATTTTTTGGCTGTGTTTATCAATGGATTTTGAGTGTGTGTAATGATGGGTTTTGGGTGTGTTTATAAACTGTTTTGGGTGTTGGGTTTTTTTATAATTTCAGCCCCCATTTTAGGTGTTTTAGTGAAACTCCCATAAAAATAATGTGAAGAAAAAGTAACCCAAAAAAAAAAAGAAGAGGTTAATCATTTTTAAACAATTTAATAAAGTTATGGACTCAAATTATGAGTATGCATGGTTGGAGGAAAAAATAATTTGAGTCCGGGCAATACATGAATAGTTATATTTCTAAGGGGAGAAATTTGGGTTTAGCCCCATTTGGGTTGGAGATGGCCTTAAGTGAATGATAATAACTTTTTTTTAATAAGGTGTTAATCAATTGATTATTTTTACGGTGGAAAAAGATAATCGAACTTGGTGGAAATGTTTGTTTGTTTTGAGAAAACTTGGATGAAATTTTTTTGTTTGTATTGAATGATAGTGGCGTGGCGTATGCAGTTGAGACTCTCTATGAGTCAAGAATTCTATAGTGAGAGAGTCTTATATACGGCCCTTAGATGAGATCTTATTTCTTAATCATTGAATCAAAATAGTTAGTTTGATCCCATAATTAAGATATAGGACCTTACCTAAATGCCATATATAAGGCCATCACTATAGAATAACTTCTCTGTGAGTGGTTGGCTAGGCCCTGGGCATGGGCAATAAAGCCTTGGGCTTGGTTCGCCTTTGCCTTTCGGTTGAATGAATTCTTTGTTCCGGACCCAATAAAAAATATCATAAATTAATGAGCATAACAAAATACTTAGGGAGCTGATTTTCCCACTCCCATTTTCTCCACTTACACTCCCTTTTGTTTTTAAATATTTTTTAATCAACTTTGTTCTTTTTTGTTCTTTCTTTTTCCTATTCTACCCTTACCTACATTAATTTCTTTTTACTTCACTTTTATATTATTTATTTTTCTTTATACTTATTAATTTTCCTACTTAAACTCAATTTTTAATGGATGGATGAATTCTTTAAAATTAATATTTTAAAAACAAAAAAAATATTTTCCCGAGCCGCAACAACCCCCTCTCTTCGTCAACCCCCTCCTCCTCCCATCTCAAACCATCCCCGCACCTCACCCCACACATCCACCCACCGACCCACCGATAGCCATCTCCAACGCACCCACCACAGCAAACAACCTTACCGCCCCAAATGCCCGATAGTCAAGCCACACTCAAACCCCAAAACTCCTTTAAAAAAATCCCTAGATCTAGATTTGGTGGTTGAAGAAAGAGGGGGAAAGAGAGAAAGAGAGGGGGAGAGAGGGTACAGAGATCCTAGCTATAGCTACCATAATAGATGATTGATGTTATTGGGTTCCTTTTACTTCTTTTGGTTATGTTTTTGGAGGAGAAGCTAACAAAAAGCGAGGAAGAAAATAGAAAAGGCCCTTTGAACCTTTGCCATTAGAGCTTCTGTGTTGGCTTTTTAGACCTTCGCAAAGCACAGAACAATAGACGGTTGACTTGCTGGGCTTGTTTTTTTGGTCAAAGAAAAAGGGGAAACATAGAGGGGTAGAGAAGACGGAAGGGATGCGTAGGAGAGAAGAGACCAGAGGGTGGGCAAGGTTTGGGATATATTTTGTTGGTTTAAAAATATTTTTATTAAAGAATTCTTAAATTTTTTTTTTCACACATCAACACCTCTCCAAAGTGCTCACTTACCACATCACCAAGTGTAAAATAGGAAAGAGAAAGAACTAAAAAGGGCAAAATTTGTTTGTACCTTATCTGACCCCCCACTCACGTCATGGCACGTGGAGCATAAACAAGGCAGGGACCAGCTTAGTGGGCCAAGCCGGGTCAATTGGCATACTCCACCATTTCATAAGTGGTCGGCAAGTCGGAAAAACACCTACAACTAGCACCCTCACCAACCTTCGGCACACAATACCGAGCGACCAATCAGCACATTCGGCCGATTCCGACAAATAAACCTCGGAACTCTCGCCAGAACCTGTCAGGGCACGTGTCGATCGCCGAAGACACTCCCACGAGTCCCACATCAAAACTAAGTACTAAGAGCACCACAAATGCTCTCTATAAATAGAGCCCCCTGTCCCAGCCAAGAGGGAAGACGTTTTCGACTTGACTTGTGCTTTCACTCTGTCAATAGAATTGCTCTTAGTCATTAACTTTGGCATCGAAGGGTCTTCGGCAGGCACCCCACCTGTGTCCCAGACCTCCCCTACCGTTTCTTTCTCTAGGCAGAATACAGCACTACGCCCTAAGAAATGACGTTACGGCCCAAAGGCTCCTCGGGTCCAAACCCATATTCCACTTATAAGTTAGCTCTATTTCTATCTGTTTAGTTTTAGTGTGAACAAAATTGATTAAAAGTATTAAAAAACAAAACGGAGTGTAAGTGGTGAAAAGGGGAGTGAGAAAATCAGCTCCCAATACTTACATTAGAATTAGATTAATTTAAATAAATTAAGGGCTTGTTTGGGAGTGATCCTGGATAGCCACATAATCACTTCCCCATAAGTGGTTTTAAGTGATTTTATGGTGAAGCGCATGTGCTACTCCCCAAAAATACTTAAAATCACTTAAAAGTGATTATATGGAGAAGAACATAGGAGGTGCTTATTTTGAAAAGTGGTGATTTTGGCCTGTTGAAGAAAAATGTGAACCTCCTAACATAATTTCACCATCACTAAATAAATAATGGGGTTTTATTATTTTAGGTTCGAACCATTCAAGACGTGGTGTCTCTTAATTACAATCCCTTGCTTTAAGGGAACACCCTTTGATTCCATCATAAAGAAACAGAACGTGTGTATTTGGTTTTGCGGCTACCCCTAAGTCAAACATCAGGGTGTCTACGTATCTCTTGAGAGAATCAAGCCACTCGTAGTTTAAAGAATTGCAATGAATAAATGACTCATTGCGAGGGAAATTTGATTTGAATTGTATTGAGAAGTGTTTGAGTGAATTTAGCTGAATAAACCAGGGATTCGATATGGAATTGTGTTTTGAGGGTGAATTTGATTAAGAATAAACTAGAGATTCTATTCGGATTTAAGATTTGGACTGTTGCATCTAGATTGAATCTCTAGATCGCCTATGTACCCTTTCGAATGGATCAAACCAACGTAGTTCAGAATTTAGAAATTAATGGGTAAGTGTGACCCACTAATTTAGAATTTGTGTCTTTGAGACAATTTGGAGATTTTTAAGATTCTGGGTTATCTACTGTATGTCCTTGAACTTTGCCCCTAATTGCAATTAGGTTTGTGAATTTTTTTTTAGGCAATTACATCCTTTAACTAGACAATCAATTGCAATTAGGTCATGCCGTAACAGAATCTGTCGACTTTGACCTTATGAGTGGCACGTGCTCTTGTTGTGAGGGGTATAATTGAGTTTTCATCGTTTTGAACGAAACAAAATCCAATTTAGTGTTGGAGAAAGGGTTCAAAGCAACCATTGGAGTTCCATATTGTGAACAGACCCTTCTGAGGCAGCCATTGGAGTTCAATTTGCTGCAGCAGTGACTGAGTGAGTGAGAAATTTTGTGTGTAAGCTTTGAAATTTAGGGTTGATTGGGGGTACAATTAAGGGTTAGGGTTTCATTTTGGGGATAGTTGGGTTTTTCGTCCTTTTGGCTGATAATGATGGAATAGTTTGACTTCCGTTGGGGTGGTGTTGCTCCTAAATACAGTAAATGATTCTGCCTGTCTGTTTGAATACGTATAAGTTGGTTTTGTTTTCATTTTTGTGTAGTCCATAACTTTTTAAGATTCCTTACACGCTTTGTTTTATACTGTCATTGATTGCAACATTTAGGGTTTTTTTTTTATCCCTTCTTGTCTTCTATGCCTCACACCAAATCGACTGAAGTTAGTCCATAGCAATTAAAAAAACTCACCGAACTGTGTAGTGTATATTTTGGTTTTGGTGCACAACATTTAATTAAAACATGACAATCATCAATAAAAGTAATAAAATAGTTTTTACCACCTCTAGTTTGGACAAATTTCAATCACAAATATCAATGTGAATTAATTCTACAGGTTCTGTACTTCTTTCTATAGATTGGAATGATGATCTAGTTAGTTTTGCTTCAACACAGGTTTCACATTTATTATGGAAATCAATATGAAACTTAGGTATTGGTTCCATGTTAATCAATTGACGAAATTTGTCATAATTAACATGCCCTAATCTTCCATGCCATAAATCAAATGACTCAAGCATATAAGCAGAACTAACTTTATTATTATTAACTTTGTGTACAACAGTCATTACATTCATCTTGAAGAGTCCATCAGCAAGATACCCTTTCCCCACATACATTCCATTCTTAGTAAGTACAAACTTATCAGACTCAAAGACTAACTTGAACCCATTCTTGCTAAGCAGTGATCCAGAAACCAAGTTCTTCCGGATCTCAAGAACGTGAAGTACATTATTGAGAGTGACTTCCTTTCCATATGTCATATTTAGAACTATTTTCCCTTGGCCATGAATTTTGGAGGTGGAGGAGTTTCCCATGAATAAGGGCTCTCCTTGATCATTTGCTTCATATGTAAAAAACATCTTCCTTTCATAACATATGTGGCATGTAGCTCCACTATCCACCACCATTCCTTGGTGTTACCCGCCAAGTTAACTTCAGACACAACTGCAGAAAGATTTATATCTGACAAATCAGTTGAAAGCTTATCTTCTTCAATCATGTGTACCTCAGTCTAGCCCTTTATCTTTTGGTAGTCTTGTCTATTTCCACTTCATCAATCCATAGCTCGATGGCCTTGCTTGTTGCAATTGAAACACTTTCCCTTAAACTCCTTGGACTTCCTGGAGTTCCCTTGACTTGAGCCTTCTCTAGAGCACTTCCTCTTCTTGTTATTTCTTGAACCTTTTTCCACTATGTTAGCCTTAGCTTCCATTATGGATCTAGACTTTTTGTCAGCACGGCGATTGTCCTCTTCGATCCTTAGCCTTACAATCAAATCCTCAAGTCCCATCTCCTTACACTTAAAGGTAGTTTTTGAAATCCTTCCAAGAGGGAGGTAATTTTTCAATGACAGCAGCCACTTGGAAAGAGAATGAGTTGGAGTTTTTGGACTTGACTTATGACAGTCTTGAAGTCTACCATTTTGTAGTCAAGAAACCGACCGACAATAAATTTCTTCATCCTGTATCTTCAGTCTGATATTTCTTGTCTAGTGACTCCCATAAAGCCTTGGCGATCTTAATTGGACTATACACATTGTATAGTGCATCACTTAAACCAGTTAGGATGTAGTTCCTGCAAAGGAAATCGGACTGGTTCCATGCATTAGAAGCAACCACTGTTTCTAGTGTATCACCAGGTGCAGGAAGATCTGCGTTCAGGATATGAGCCAAATTCAATGTGGTGATGTAGAACATCTTTTGTTGCCATCTCTTATAATCCATCCCATAAAATTTTTCAGGCTTCTCTGCTTGATTATGGGATGAAGGCAACATAACAGCATGTGCACTTGTCTTCACAGAATGACCCACTTTCTATATCTCATTCGACATTTTCCTTAATTGAATGAACAATCTCAATGTCAATAAACAAATATTTGGCAGTCTTAAATAAATAATGACTCAGAATAGTGAGTTACAACAAACCACAAACAGAAATTAATAATACAATACCGATAAAAAGTATAGCAAACACTATGCAATTAGTCAAGATAACAGTATACATAATGTTATAATTCACAATTACAGTGAAAATTAATGTATGTGGATAAATATAATCAAAATTTATAAACATAAAAATAAAAAACAATGCCAAACAGAAAAATAAAAATAAAACGATGCTGTAATTCAAAAGGAATAACTTTCTATTGTATGTATACTTTGTCTAACAATAGAAACAGAAGGCAATCAGACTTTCTTTGTGGCAATCTTAATTGAATGGGTCCCGATTATGATAACTTAGATTTATTCAACTATGAATTGTATAAAACAAAAAGAAACTAAAAGGAAAACAAATTAAAAAATGTTTACCCAGAAGTAATGAAATACTTGAATGAATGACCAACTAATTTAATCTCAAGTCAACAATGCAGTGAAATTGTTATACGCATCAAATTCAGATCGTTTTGCACTTTTTCATCTAAATGCATAAACACAAACTAATATATATAGCAATTAACACAGATTTACAAAAGGATAAACACAGACTAATATATAGCGTAAACACAGACGAAATATGAGTGCTAAATTGCTATAAAATAAAGAATATAAATACTACAAATAGAACATATTTTTACAAAAGGATAATTGAATTAGAATAACCTTAATTGAGTCGAAAGTGTTGGACACTCTGACCTTAAGACGAATTACGCCCCACACTGGTGCTTATGGTTCACTGACGTTCGCCTCCCAAGATACAATGACTCCCCTCCTTATGAAAGAAGCAATTCAATTTACAAGGAACTTTGAACCAAATTATGCAGGAACCTCTCTTTATGAAAACTCTAATGCTCTCTATATATGGAAGTCTGTATGTAGAGAATTAATTGAATGATAAAACTACAGGAGGATTGCTCTATTTATAGATGATGAAATACCCTTTCCAAAAAGGTATCCCAATCTGAAAAGGCAAACAATGCATCCCTAAGTCTCTGATTGGGTTCCAGATACATATGAAGAGTTGTCACCCCCCAATTGAAGATGTGCCATTATAATAACCCAAAGATCATGTCTTTGACCTAATGGATTTTATTAATTTCCATTTGTTGAGGCCCAAAAAATCCACGATTCGACCCCAATAAATTCCCGGCCCATTACGACACCTAACTTAGGAAGAAACCCAATTTGGGTACCCAAGAGTTCATCATATACGCTTGCACACGTGTCATGCCAAGAAAATAAGCAACACGCCACGCTACAAGCTTAAGTGGGCCCAAGCCACGCGAATGCCCATGGCTTGCTTGAGTGGATTGTGGTATAAATGGTTATGAATTGTCATGAGGCCCATTGATGGGCCGAGAAATGGAAGTCCCGGGTTGCTTGGGAACCCCGGAACTGAAGCCCATTTCTTAGGCCCAAATATGTGGGTGAGCACAAAGAGGGAAAAATAGCCCATTACTTCAACTAAAATAGTCCATTAACTCAACCAAAATAGCCCAACAATTGATGAAGTTAGCCCATTTACTTGATAAACTAACTTATTGTCCTAGAAGGCCCAAACAACTCAAGAAAATATATGCAAAATCTCTAGCACTAACTGAAAACAAAAGCCACGATGAAAGCCAAAATATCCATGTGTGTAAGTTGATGGGAAGCTCCAGCATATGGGAGGGAACAAGTTTCAAGCAAAAATATCCAAAAAACCAAGGGATACTTGAGCAAAACACCCTTCAAACCAGTGTACATACTCATTTCTTTCCCTCATCAGACCTAGCCTTGGAAGAAGGGAGAAAAGAAGGAAGAAAGATGGCTGAAAATGGGGATTCTCCACTGAGACAGCTGCTGGAAAGGGGCCTTGAGCTCCCAAAAATCCCTGATTTTGTGCAAATGGGTAGAGAAAATTTCACCACAATAGGATGATTGAAGGGATGAGGGGAGAAAGGAAGGGAAAGACTTGGCCAAATTAGATAGAAACCATTAGGATTTCTTGGAAAATGATAGCTTTCAGCGCCTATAAAAAGATGCATTTCCTACCCATCATCCCAACACACATATAGAGAGCAAGCTTCATCTCTTATCTCTGAAACTCTGCAATTTCATGCTACATTCTCCATTCTCTCCTATTTTCCCTCTTCTGTCAAGCTGCCGGAAGAACACCTAAGACACCCATTTCTTTCTCTCCATCTTTTCTTAGCCAAACCTTCTCGCAAACCTTTCCTTTCTTACCTTAACATTCCATTTTTCCCCAAGAAAGCATAATTTTCTCTTCGATGCTGAACTTATGTCAATTTTGTTTCCATGCCACAAGCCTCTCATGCCAAGCTAGAAAATTTATCTGTAAGTTGTTGTCATTTTTGTTGGTGAAAGTAACCAAGGTATTTCCTAAGGCTTCTCTGTCCTTTCGAAGCATTTTTTAGGCTTGATCTTTGAATTCAAGCTCAAGGGGAAATTTCATCCATTTTACTATTTATGGCAGCCTAGGCCCGTAATAGCTGCCGGAATGAAAAAGCCCCTACACCATTCAAATAGAAAATTAATATTAAATTTCTCACAGTGTTTGATCAAACACTCTAAGTGCAACCATTGCATCAAAAGAACTTTAATTCCTTTTAAACACATGTTGAATGAATTACTATTGTTGTCATTCACTTTTAATAAATTTCCACGCAGGCAGCCATACCCACCCCCCCCCCCCCCCCCCCTTTTTTTTCTTATACCTTATTTATTTATTTAATAAAAATTATCATTTCAACAAGGCCTATCCAAAATCACCCAAAAATGACTAATTTGTTCAAAAGTGATTATGAGATGATTAAAAAATCACGTATAGAGAGAACCAAGTAATTATTGGTTTATTCAAAAGGGAAATTGGCGGCTTTGCCCTTGGCGCAACTAGTTTATTCAATAATATCCCCATTTTGAAATCTAATCACAAATACTCCCTATAAAAACTCTCTATTGACAGTCTATTGCCCATCTGTCACTTTTTTTTTTCCTTCTCATTCGTTGCTCTTCTTCTTCCTCTTCTATCTAGACTCTTCCTCTTCTTCCTTCTGCCAAACCTCACAGGAATCCACCTCCACTGTAGAATCTCGCTTAATTCAATTTTCTCTTAGTTATATCTTCAAACTACGCGCTAATTTGAACCTTAAGGTTGAACCTCAAATTTAGAATCGAACCCTAGCCAAGGCGTGACTCGCCACCTTTGTCGTCGGCCTCCACCTTCATCGTCGACTTCCACCACAAACCCACAACACCTTCATCTTCGATCTTCACTGTAGTGAGTTCTAATATTGGTTTTACTTTTTATTTTATTTTATGGGTTTCTGTTATTGATTGAGATTATTGGGTGATTAATTTCATTATTTTGAATGAGACATTAATGGGTTTTTGTTGTGGTTTGTTTGCTGTTTCTGTGATTGAAAGAAATTTACCAACTATTTCCTGTGGTTGTCAAGCTCTTGGACTTGGATACATTGTTTGTACTTATGATTTGTCTCTAAAATCATGCATATACTGGTTTGTGATTGAGACTTGGACTTGCAGACCTCCTTGAAAGTGGTGTATTCACTCTTTTGTGAAAGCACTTAGGTGATATATCAAATTATGACTTCTGACTTTTTTGAGCAACCTGTAAGAATACATATAAAACTCATAGATGCTCTATGAAATAACAGTAATGTGAGTTTTAACTGTAAGAAACCAACATCATAATTTGAAACCATTATCACCACCAACAAATGCAAAATTCTCATCCTTTACTTCTTTTGAAAGTCATTGGAGAGTTTTTGAGTTTTATGAGAATGCCAATATTTTAACATACGTTTGATAGTGTAAAGTTGGCATGTGTTGGATCTTTGTTTTCTCTATTTTTTTTTCGTAATTCAATCATGGATCTGTTTTTGGTGCGGTCTACAATCGTCAAGATTGGTATCATGTCAAGGTTGTGTTGGTGCTGTAAAAAGGGTTCTTGAAAAACTTGAAGGTTTGTTGACAGCTCTTGCATTTATCTAGTTCCATTGTCTTACTGTTCTTCTTCTCTGAGACTGTGCTTCTTTAACTATTTGAACAATGCCAAAAGCACTATTGATGATTTCTTGATTTTCTGATTTGTATTTTTACTCGCATGCTAGGATACACATTCACTTCACTCATGTTTATAATTACTTTTATATTGCAACTAAGTAGTATGAAATTGTTTGCATGAATGTGAACTTTAATTTTGCAATGGTACTGTCTTGTGAAAGCTTGCCATATGAGAATTGGGCCATTTAGAAAAGCCAACAATCTGTATGAATTTTGGTATTGGTTTCTGTTTTGAAATTCAATTGTGATTAAATGTTATGTTTTTGTTTCCATTGTGATCGAATGATTTACTTCTAATATGCATTTTTTATCCATTTTATACAGACGGAAAGATTGTCTTGTTTCAAGTGGGGGCGTTCTTTTGGGGAGGAAATTGCTAACTTTCAGCTTAAATTAGGGTCTAAAAGGACATGTCCTAGAATTTTGCTAATATATATAAATTGTGTTAAAATTTCCGACCAAGAGGAGGTGTAAATTTTTTATTTTTTGCCACTTTCTTATGTATATCTTAAGATGTAATGAGATAACATTGTTAGTTCATCAATTTATGAAAGTCAAGTTAGAAGGAAATTTGTCAATCTCTAATTTCCATGGTTTTATCGTTTCCCTTGACAAAGAAAAAAAAATACAAATGTAACCAAATCAGTGATTTAATTAGCAAATGCCATGACAGATATGTATTGCACATATATAGCCCTTTGTAGCTTGTGTATTGCCCTCGTATATCATCTTCCTTTTTTTTTCCTTCAAGTTTGTTGTAATAAATTTATAAGGGGAGTATGAAGTTTGTGTACTACTACTATATTATTGCTCGTGTATTACTAATGTATTGCTTCCGTAGTAGGGAAATTGGGAAATTATGGGTGTAAGAATGTGATTTCATCAAGGACGTCACATCCTTTTTTTTAAAAACACGTTATATACATTCTGTGTATATTGCATGTATATTGCTTGTATATTGTCTGTATATTGCTTGTTTATTATTTGTCTATAACCATTTATTGCCTTTTATTGTCATTGCATTGTATGTTTATTGCCAATTTATAGCTTGTGTCATTTTTTGAGAAAAAAATTAATATAAACTCTTGTGGCTTGTAATGCCTTTATATTGCCTCGGTATATGGCTTATATTGCGTAGGTATTGCCCCCATATATGGCTTGTATTGCCTATGTATTGTGCAAATAGGAGGACTCTCAAACAAATTAATGCAAAAAATAGCAAAAAGCCATTAATCAGTGGCAATAAGAACGCAATAGGAGGCTATATAGTAGCAATACTAAGGCAATATGAGGCTATACAGTAGCAATACAAAAACTGTAATAGTCTATCTTATGCAGGAAATGCTGGGCAAAACACAATGTATATAATGTTCTCTCTTCAATGTATAATATAAGTAAAAGTATTTTTTCCAAAAGCAAAATATCTAGGATCGAAAAAAAAAAAAAAAAAAAAAAAAAAAAAAAAAGAGATGGCGAGAACCAAAAAAATTTCAGGTCCTCTTTGTTGTGCAACAACAATTTCATCAACAAATATGCAAGGTGCATTTTTCGTGGCCTTCTTAAAAAGATAGCAAACTCATGAAGCACCAACACCAACAACAACCAAAGGTTAAGTCAATAAGCCTAGCAATAACTCATAGGTAAGCCTAAATCTAAAACACTGAATGATGATGGCTGTCATACTACAATGTCTCTGTACACTCTTCCCGGTCATCAAAGAACTCTTTTTTCTCACCTTATAACTTATATGGTTTATGGCATCTGCCGTCAACAACCTACAACAATGAAGCATAATTTTAGAAAGAGAAACAAGGAAGGTTATAAGAATTTTAGAACAATTCCAGAGTGGATTGTGGAATGAACAAAGCAGTCTTGCAATTGGTGAACCCATTATCCATTATCCAATTCCTCTACCAGCACAATCTAACTTTGAAAAAAGTGTTCTACATTGTACAGGAGTTAACTAAAGTAAGTGGTGACCATTAAGCACAATCTAACTTTGTACCATTTAACTTCAATTACTATCTTACTGGATATCAAGTGTTTGCTTCTTCTTAAGCTCACCATTGCTGATTCAATATTATGGATGCAGAGAGTTTACTTAGTAGTTCATTATATCAATTTATGTAGTTCATTCAAAAATCACATCCCAAAACATAACAAAACAAATTTAGATCATAACAGATTCTTGAAGATGCAAAACACTTTCAAGTGGCCTGAATGTTCTTTTATATTAGATCACACAATTCCTATAAAACCAAGAGACCATTGAACCAAATAATTGTGTTTCTTCAATTGTTTTTTTGTCAGAATAAAAACCTAACTCAGTAATAAAATTCAATCAGCAAAAGAAAAACTTCAAAATCATTGTAGCCTAGACAAGCTTCAAGCTTCAAGCATAATATTCCTTACGACAAACAAGAAATATTTGTTGCACAATCCCAAAATTTTGATTCAACAAGTTTTTGTATAATCCTACTTAAATAACATTCTCTACACAAGCTAAAAAAATATTAATTAAAAAAAAAGAAAGAGATAAAACCCACAATTATGTTTCAACAAATTTATGTACAATCTCACTCAAATTTGACTTGGAAGGACTTGAAGTGACATTAAGCACCAAAAATTCCAACCCATATATGAAATTGAAACAAGCAGAAGAAAACCCAAATAACATATGGGTATGAAAGTAAAGCAGAAAAGTTGAGTACCTAAGATGCCATGAATTTTAGGAAAGCTGAGAAAAATTGAGAAATTTGTTGAACCAGAGGGGAAGAACAGCAGTCGAAAGAGGTGACAGAGAGAGAGGTGGAGGTGGAGAAGGGCGGCCGCAAGAGAGAGGGATGGGTTAGGGTTTTTTTTGAGGAGGTGACAGGTGTCGTCATCATGGTTGGGAGCGAGAGAGAGAAGAAACGAAAAGATAGGAGATGGAAGATATAACTAAGAGGATATGGAGTTAGGTGAGATATTCGTGGAGGTGGATTTTCTGTAAGGTTTGAAGAAGAGGAAGAGAAAGAGACTAGGGAGAAGAGGAAGAGGAAGAGCAACGATTGAGAAGAAAAAAAAGAGATATTTAGTAATATACCCATTCTTAGCACTAATATTATAGATAAACCCCACACCATTGAATTTCTATAAACAAACCCAAAAAATGATAGTTGGCCTTATTGAATTTAATGTTGATTATTAAATTATTTTGGTGCCTTATTGAGTGTTTGGGGTATTTTTATGAGATTTTGGGGTTGAGCTTGTTTTAAGAAATTGATGGCAGTTTTGTAATTTATAAAAAGTTAAAAGCCTTTTTGTTATGTTGTAAATGAGCTTTGGGTGTGTTTCTAAAGTTCATTTCATATATGGTATTTTTATAATTTAGGCCCCTATATTGGGTATAATAGTGAATCTCCCAAAAAAAAAAGTGATAGATGGGCAATAGATTGTCAATAGGGAGTTTTTATAGGGGGTATTTGTGATTAGATTTCGAAATGAGAATATTATTGAATAAATTAGTTGCGCCGGGGGTAAAGCCACCAATTTCCCTATTCAAAATCACTCTCCTAACAAACTGAATATATATATATATATTTTTAATCAAAGAAGCTAAATAGTTAAACACAATAAACTTATTTGAAGCGAAATGTTTAATAAGATGTCAAAGTATCCCGAAGGCCATCAAAAAGAAAATTAACATCTTATACATCTTCATTGGGAGCCATTTTTTTTTTTTTTTTTTTTTTTTTTTTTTTTTTTTTGTTATTGTTGTATTGATTGACTCTAGATATTTTGAAAAATTCAGATATATTCAAATTTAACTGAGATGAAAATGAAAAACAAACCTTATGGTCACAATTAATTTGACTTGAAATATTCTCTAGTAATGAGAAAGCAAAAGAAAACTAACAGGAATAGGGCACTGGCAGGCAGACACATCCTTTCACTTGAGCTCATGTGGAGAAACAAATGCAAGCAACTCATTGTCACCTTCAAGTTTAGCCAAGTCCTCTTCCTTCATGTTAATGTATGCTTCTATTCCACCACCAGACTTGGCGTCCATGAAAACAACCAAGTTATTTCAAGGTGAAATACCACAAAATACCATCAAGTTATTCCAAGTTATTATATCATTTGTTTTGCCTTCTAGGCTTCTAGCATTACGATAATCTTTTTCTCTCTGTCTCTGCATGTCCAGCATTGCACCTACTTTATAACAAATCTAAAAAACTTATGGTTATATTCTTCAACAAAAAATATTTTCTTGTAGCAATTCTATGAGTTGTAGGTGAAGTCATTGCTTGCAGTTGGCTTGTGCTTAGTTGCGTGCAATAGTCATCTTCTTAAGTTGTCTGAGAAGTGGAACTTATTTGGGGCTTTGAAATTCAAATTTGTTTTTTTTTTTATTGCTTGTTTATTACCACTTTATTGATTTTTTATTGTCATTCTATTGCCATTTTATTGCTTCGTGGTGGACAGTTAACTTCACTTTTAATAATGGTGAACTCTCTTCCCTCTTAATATATTTTTTCACTATTAACTTCACTTTGATATGGAGAATATATTTGTAAACTAAATCTACGACATCAAATGGAAACTCGCATTCAGCAAACACATGATGATGCCAACTCTCATTCAATTTAAAGACGTGCAAGTGGATTTTCTTTTACATTACCAACTGGGGAGCTAAGCAACGCCGTGAACTCTTTGTTATGTTCGAACTTGGCCATGTCTTCCTCTTTGAAGCTAAAATAAGACTCAATTCCATCACCATTTCTGGTGTCCATGAAGACTATTTGATTACTGATACGCATAGCAGTCATGCTTACCCATGTAGGCCTTCCCCAACCAAAATCTGCATCGTACACAGGAAACTTGCATACACTAGAAAAAGTCAATGTGACCAGCTCTCCTTTTGCAGCCTTCTCCGTTCTTTTCTTCATGAAATCCAGATGTTCTTGATACTCCTCTTGGAATTTCCTCATATAATTACTGTCAATCTTCTCAATTTCCTCTATAACCTGTCTCACCGATCCATGATGCTTCTCACTCGTAGGCAGAGTTGGAGTTGCCATGGCAGCCCTGTAATAATTTCCGAAAGTATGGTGAGGCAGAGGTGGCTTGAACCTTGAACGAAGATCCATGATATAAACAACTGCGTACAGCGTTTGAGGTCTTTCCCTAGGCCTTGACAAAACAAAGATGTCCCATAAAAAAGCAGACAAGGCCTCAACTTTTGATGGCCGTTTTCGGGTTTTTGAGATCTTGATGCTCTGTTCATATTTTGATCTCAAAGCCTCAACCTTTGACACATCAAACACAAACTTCTTGGTTTTGATCTCATGCCTGTTGGTGATAGGAACCCCTAAATACCCATCCATATTTCTTGGTGGGAAAATTGAAGCTGCAGAAAAATCTGGACCCACTATAGAATTTTTGTTCCTCTGTCCACAATTAGAAGCAGCTGCCCAATTGTTCACAAATGTAAAACATGAGAGGCCGTCTGCAATTCTGTGTGAGATGCATAACCCAACAGCAATTCCTCCACATTCAAACACATTGAGCTGGACACCAAGGGCTGTTTCTGTGACTTCATCCAGCTTGAATGGCAGCAGTTTGTGGAGCTCAGAGAGGCAGGGGTTGGTGATGACATCAGAGAGCAGATGGGTTTTGACTTTAACTTCAGAAAATGGGATGCCTTGGTCTTTGCAGTGAACAAAAAGGTTGTTTCTGACTCTCCCAGCAAAAGGGTAGTATTGGGCCAAGACTTTGGATAGAGAAGTCTTGAGGAGGTTGGAGATTTGATTGATGTTTGTGGAGCCATTGAATTCATAGAAGTAGAGAAAAGGAATATAGGCATGGGGTGCTAATTGATCCAGAAAGGAGAGCTGGTGGTGGTGGAGATGGTGAGGGGTTGGAGAAGATGGTTTGATTGTCTCTTTGGTGATTACTTCAACTTCAATCTTCATCCTGATCTTCTTTGCTAGAGAACTTTTGATCGATCCGTTTTGCTATTGCTAATTAAATTATGCAAAGTTGGAATCCTTCGAATCCTTCACAGATAATCACTTTCTTTTTTCCCATTTTAATATTTTTTGAATAAGGTCTTGCATTTCTCGGTGGAATAAAATAATCCAACTTGGTGGAAATGTTTGTTTGTTTGTTTTGTTTGTATTGATCATGCAAATTCCAACCAAAAATATCATAAACTAATGACCATAACAAAATAATTACATTAAAACAAGGTATGAATAAAATATCAAAATACATCGGAGGCCCCAAGAAAGAAATACATTGGAGAACACACAATTTTATCCAAATTTTGACAAATTCAGATATATTAGATTTTAATTGCGATGAAAATTAAAACAAACCTTATAGTCACAATTACTTTGACTTCAAATATTCCCTACTAATTTGGAGAAACACACCACAAGAAGATAATAACACACCCTTCACTTGAGCCCATGTGGAGAAACAAATGCAAGGAACTCATTGTCACCTTCAAGTTTAGCCAAGTCCTCTTCCTTCATGTTAATATATGCTTCTATTCCACCACCAGACTTGGCGTCCATGAAAACAACCAAGTTATTGAAAGTCAGGGGAGGTGAGCCAACCCAAGTGGGTTTTCCCCACCCAAAATCAGCTTCATACAGAGGAAATCTACACAGACTAGTGAAGCTCAGCGTCACCATCTCTCCCTTGAAGAAGTTCTCAGAGCTCTGTTTGATGAAATCCAAGTGCTCACTGCCCTGCTGCAGTTTGCTGACGTAGTGTTTGTCGATTTGTCTTACTTGGTCCCTCACCTGCCTCACGAGGCCATAGCACTCCTCCCCTGTTTGTAGCGATGGGATTGTCATTGCAATTCTGTAGAGATTTCCAAACGAGTGTTCAGGCAGAGGAGGGTCAATTCTTGTACGTAGGTTCACTGCATGAACAATGGCATACAGCCTCTCGGGTGCCGGTTCTGACTTCACTTGAGTGCTTGCCACAACGCGGCTCCATATGAAGGCTGACAAAGCTTCCACACGAGAAGGGGGTTTTTGGTAGCTTTCTAAGCTTTGGCTGTAATTATCAATACTATATTTTGCTTTAAGAGCCTCTATCTTTGAAGCATCAAAGATAAATCTCTTTGTTACAACATTCTGCTTTGTGATACCAGTCCTTGGATTAAACCCGGATATGTTCCTTGGTGGGAAGAGTGTGGCTGATACAAATTGGGGGCACACTATATGTTCATCTTGTTGTCTGGCAATGGCTGCCCAACTTTTGATGAACATGAAAAGTGACAAAGCATCTGCAATCTTGTGGGAAACGCAAGCACCAAGTGCTATGCCACCACAGTCAAAGATGTTGAGTTGGACACCAAGGGAAAGATCAGCAACTTCATGTAGTTGAAATGGAATGAATTTGTTGAGTTCAGTTGGAATTGGGTTTTGGATGACATGAGAGAGTTGACAATTAACTCGAGTTTCCAAGTATGGTATGCCCTCATCATTGCAATCAATGAACAAGTTGCCATGGGCTCGTCCGGCTAGTGGGTAGAATAGAGTTAAGACATCGGAGAGGGATTTCTTGAGCTGATTGGATATATCAACAATATTGAATTTTGTATCGGGCTCTGAGGAATAGAATATGACCAAAGGATTATGGACCGGGGGAGATATCTGGTCAAGAAAGGAGAGGTGGTATGTGCGAAGGTGATCAGGAGTTGGTGAAGATGGTTTGATAATCTCTTTGGAGATTACTTCAACCTTCATGATCGTCTGCTTAAGTTCAAAAAAACCTTGGTAACAAAACAATGAGGGTATATTTGGCTGTGATTGTGATTGTCTGTGGTTTTGTGTTGCTCTTCAAGGAGACTTATATAGAGCTAGAGCAACTGCATGCTAAGGGGACAGGTAATTTTAGAAAATTAACTTATATATTGTCTCATGGTTGCAGCAAAAACATAATTGGCTCATGGGAATGACATTATTTCCACGACAACATGCTATGTTTTGTTTAACTTAAAGCATGTTGAATTACAGGAATCATGATCTGACACTTATGGAACATAACATCACACCGTGTTTGTTCATTTTCTTAAGCATCATTAAAGTCTTCACCTTTTTATTTTCTTAATCTGAGGATTAGCTTGCATGGATTTTCCAGTGATATTATGATAGTGATTTTGGATGGTATAGTCTCTGTGTTGAAGTGTCTTGTTTTAGCAACAATAGAATACGTACATGATTAGTATCTTTAGTCCAACATGGTTTTTCTTGCAGAAATGCATATATGTTGCGTGTGAAGTAAAGGTAAAGAAATTCAGAACATATACACATTTGCATATCCATGCATTTAGATCACTTTTTACACTATAAGAACACTAGATAATGTGGCGTAGTTAGCCACCTTGGGCCCCAAGAGCTCTTGATTGTTTGATGCTAGCCTTTTTTAATTGTTGATGAGCAAGTGCTTTGAACTTTCTATTTTTCATGGTAGCAGGAAAAGTTGACTTGCTTTTATTTGTGGGTTTTCCCCTACAACAGTTAATAAACATGATTTATTTTATTTGTTGTTATTGTGGTATTAGAAATGTTTATCGATAAGATATCACCTTCAAATTTTGTACCAAATCACACATTCATAGAAGAATCATAGTTCACCCATAACAGACGCATTTTCCTTACAGTTCAGCAACCACTTAGAGAAACACAAGCTAAGAACTTGGTATCACATTCAAATTTAGCCATCACTTCCTCCTCCAAACTAATGTATGCCTCAATTCCATCAGCCTCTTTGGTGTCCATGAAAACCACCAGGTTCTTGAATGTCAATGGCGGCGAGCTCACCCACACAGGCCTCCCCCAACCAAAATCATTATCATACACAGGAAATCTGCAAAAACTACTGAAGCTAAATGTATCCACCTCTCCTCTGATAACATTATCACTACTTTCTTGGAGAACACTCAAGTGCTCATTGCCCTGTTGTAGTCTTTTGATATAGTCATTGTTGATCTTGTTTATTTCTTCTTGCACCTTCGTGATCACTGCGCCATAATTGCATTCTTCCCCACTACTTAATAAGAATGGAGCTGTCATGGCACCACGGTAAAGATTTCCGAAACAATGTTGTGGCAGTGGTGGATCAAACCTCGGTCGCAGGTTCACAGAATGAAGCACTATGTAGTGCTTCTCATCATGTCCTGCATCATCCTTTGTAGTGGCCACAAATCGACTCCATATGAAAGCAGATAAGGCCTCAACACGTGAGGGTCCTTTTTCGTTTTCCAAACTCAAAACTCGTGAGTTAAAACCTGAACTGTCCTCCCCTTTATATTTGGTTTTGAGACTCTCAATCTTAGAGGCATCAAACACAAACCTCTTTGTTACTCTGTTCCTTGTGATGCCAATGCCTGCATCATATCCAATATTGAACTCCTTTGGAGGGAAGAGTGCTGCTGAAACAAACTCTGGACGTTCTATTCGGGGTTGATCTCCCAGGGCTGTGGCAGCCCAAGTTTTACTGAACATGAAATGAGACAATCCATCTGCAATCTTGTGAGAAATGCATTGACCAATAGCAAATCCTCCGCATTCAAATAAGTTGAGCTGAACCCCTAAAGCAAGTTCATTGGCAATATCATCTAGCTCCAATGGGATGAACTTCTTGAGTTCATCAGGAATTGGATTGTTGAGAAAATCAGAAAGTGAGCACTTGACTTGTGCTTCAACATAGGGAACGCCCTCATCATTGCAATCAACAAAATGGTTTTGTTTGAAGACTCGACCGGCTAGCGGGTAGAAAAGGGTTAAGACGTCGGCCAAGGACTTTTTGAGATGGCCGGATATTTCAGTGATTTTGGAGTGTGTCTCGCCATTGAATTCATAAAAGAGGACAAAAGGGTTATAGACTGGGGGAGCTAGTTGATCAAGAAAAGAGAGCTGCAAATAGCGAAGATGGTCAGGGGTTGGAGATGATGGCTTGATAATCTCCTTGGAGATCACTTCAACCTCAACCTTCATCTTAATTCTCTCTCTCCTATTTGATCAGAATTTGTTTTGATTGTGCAGTGCAGGGACGGAATTTGAAAAGAAAGACAGAAGTAGTTGTTCAATTATTATTAGGAGGTCAAAGTTGGATTGCCGTCAATTGTGTGGTGTTGAAGGGATGGGGATATGATGGTATTATTTGGATTTCCGCTTCATAGCAGCCACAGGGAAAGTGGAAACTTATAATTTGTATATATTATTAACGTTCAAAGTCTAGGCATTTTCACACATAATATAATAGCAGGGGAAGGTTTATATATAGACATATCAGCATTCAAAGTCTAAGTTTTCCTACTTTCAACCCAAAAGAAAAGTCTTACATTAACATAAATAAACAGTAATACAGCAACGTTATCTTAAAATTAAATTTTATTATATCAACTCTTTAAATAAATAACTAAAAGTTTATTGGATCAGCCAAATTTATTGTTACAACCCTAATTGTTTTGTACCCACTTGAGATAATTTAATAGATTAATTTCTTAATACGTATGGACAGTTGAAATAGTACAAATCGATATAAAAAACGAATATTTCCTAAAATAGAAGGTTCTTGAAGGTCCCTCCCATGTGGGTCTCTCCCCAACCAAAATCATTATAATACAGAGGAAATCTGCAATAACGTTAATGTAACCACCTCTCCTTCCGTAAAACTACAAGCAATTTGTTGATGAAACTAGTAGTGACTATTTGATCAAGTAATAACAGTACTTTGTCGAATTAATACCAACATAGGGAAATTAATTCTCTTAATTTTGCGCTCGAATCAGTTGGAGATACATAGGCAATGAACTCTTTCAAATTTAGCCATGACTTCCTCCTTCAAGTTAAGAGCATTTGCAATGGTTACTCAACAGTTTAGTTGAATTTATTGAACCTTTTTTTACAGCTTTTAAATTAAATTGCAGTTTCACTTGCAATGGTGCAGTTCAATAGCTCACAAATTAAAAACAATATTTTTTTTAAATGATTGAATAAAATAAAATGATTAAATTTAATTACAATAAGAATTAAAAAATTAAAGTGGTTTCAAAGAGATCTTTAAAAAGAGACCAATTTTAAATATATATAAAATTAATAACAAAATTTTCTTTGGTTGGTGACAATATTATATTAACACATGAGAGCACCTCTTTTTGAGGTTATTGTAAACAGTAAAGTTGTCCATGTGTCAATAAGAGAGAGGTTGTAGAGTTATTATTGTGTGCTAGCTTATTGAAATGAATTTCATTTCATAATTCGTTTTATTGACCTCTGAAATGAATTATTGATCACTAAAATTAAATATTTATCTTTGAAATTAATTATTGATCATTGAAATGAAATATTAATCTCTGAAATGAACTGAACTTTACCACTAGAAGTCAAAAGTTCAATTTATTGAAATGAACCTCACCATTGCAGATGCTCTAATACACACTTGTATTGTTCCATCACCCTCTTTGGTGTCCATGAAAACTACAAGGTCTTTGTTGGTCAGTCCCCCAACCAAATCATTATCAATTTAGGGTTTTTTTGGTACGTCGGACTATACTGACTAATATTTGTTGAATAGTATTAATCTATTCCGGAGAGGACTGACTATTTATCTATAAAATTATAAGGCGTCTGGTGTTGTTCCGAATAAATAATCTGTCTAAGTTATACTTTGTTTAGTGCTCCATCAGACTATCTTTGTTTTAATTGTTTGGAAAGATCCATATGACCTTTGTTTTTTTTCTTTTGTTTTTGCCAAGATCTAAAAGATAAGATTACGTGAACTAATAACGCATTTGTTGTTGTTTGGCTGCGTCTCCCTCCTCCCAAACCTTTTATCTAATGTTTTAGTTTGCTTTTTGTTGTCTCATTATGTTTGGACTTCTCTGTAACTATATTTTTTTTGGGCACGACGTCTTTGCCTTTTCCCTTAATTGAAATCCTAGTTTCTGAACCACACCAAATATATAAATAAATAAATAAAAACCAACCAGTGCAATTACATGGATATTGAAGAAAAACTCAACATGGATTTTGAAGAAAAAATCATAACCTAATTTTCACAAAAATTTAATATAAAGAAAGATAAGATGAAGACAGAAGAAGAGAAAAGAAGCAAGAAGAAACATATTGGAGAGACTATGAGAGAGAGGGAGAGATGAATATGTTATTATTTAAAAGGATTTTAAATTTTAACATTTTATTTTCTATTTTTGGCTTTTTTCATTTATTTATTATGGGAGTTATAAATTGTTTAATTTTCAGTTTTTGTTTTCTATTCATTGCTTTAATTTTATGGTTAAATGTGTCTAAAAGTTACAAGTGTTGGATGCCTATAAAAGGCCACTCCTCCTTCACATTTGAAACACACCACAATCAGATTTCTCTATTCTCATACTTTCATATATTTCTTACTTTCCATATTATTTTTGGGCAACGGTTCTGTGGCTTGGAGATTTCTATCCGACTGTGAACGTGCTTATAGCGAATCTTAAGCCTGCGTATTGGGGTCATATCTTGGAGTATTGTAGACTGTCATTACCTATACGTAAGGAGGCTACAAAGGCTTTAAGACAGTGTCTTTAACGTGCTTTCACTATACCATTCTTGCTTTCTTACTCTTGACTTATTTTATTTATTTATTTGTTTTGTTATTTTTACTTTACCGTTAAAGCTTTATTTTATATATTATTTATATCTAAAAGTTTTGAATATGAATTTTATAGAACAGGAAAATACAATTTTTAATTACAAGAGTTTTACAGAAAAGGAAAAAACACAATTTTTAATAACAGAATATCTGGAGAAGAGAAGAATAACCTGTGGAGAAGATAGCAAAGAAGAACCCTAAGGAGAAGACGATGAAAAGAGCATACAAAGCCTATTTCTGTTTTCATTTTCCTTAGTCTTATAATTAAGCTTGTATTATCTAAACCGGTGTGTTTAGGTTGTATTAGTTAGTCAAGTAAGGATAGTATTAAAAGTCCAATCCATATAATATAGTCAAGTAATTAAATAATACAAATTGACACCAAACAACTAACATGAATTATTTACTCATATTCATATTCTAATATAGTATACCAAGCATGCCCTTATTGTATAAATCTACAATAACTACTAAAGCTAAATGGAACCACCTCCCCCCTGACCAAAATCATTATCATATAGTGCAATTAATAATATTGCTTTTCCCAAATAAACTGATTATAACATGACATTTTATTACACAAGCCACGTTAAATAGAAATTCACAAAAGTCAAGCCTGAAAAATAATAAAGCAAGGATCCTGCAATTACATCCAAAACTAAGTATTCCTTTAATCACACAATGAAATAAGATCATTATGGCAATCCTCAAAGTTTTAAACCATAGGGATGTAATAGGAACAAAATGTTTGAATACAGATAAGTCATAGGGATAATAGGAAAAAAAATAAAAAATTGAAGACAAGGTATGTGAATTTTCAGTAGTATAAGATTTTTTATTATTATAAAGAAAAGCGATAATTGTATTCATAAATTGGGTATAAAGACCATCATCCACAAGGGTCAGTACAAATATTCACAAAGGATTAATACAAAAATAGAAGCATAGTAAACCACAAAGATTCAATATTTTTTAGGAAGAGTACTTCGTTGGGACAAATCACAATTTGTCGGGAAAGAACAACCGTGTTGTTGGTACATTGTAAGTAGATGTTCTTCAACATGTTCTTTTTAAGGTTCATACGCAATTGGTCTTCATATGTATATGTTTTTGGTTTTTCGAATTCAGTTTCTAATGCATTTTAATCTCTGATTCTTAATGGTTATGTATCTCCGGAGTCTGCCAGGCAGCCTCATTTTTCCTTTATTTTTTGTTTTTTTGTTGAGCTCACTTTTCCTTTTCATTTTTTTGTTACTTGAAGAGTATGTGGTGCAATTAACCATAACAGACTATTATTTTTTCTTCTCCACACTATTTTGGATTCGTTTATTTCTAAGTAGACAATAATCTTTCAATTTTCCCCCATTTCCCCATGTCTACTTGCATGGGTACCTTAGTTTCATGCGAGTGCTTGCATAATCGATTTGCATGGCTACATTTAATAATTTATCTTTTTCAAAAGCACATGCATGGGGCCCACAAAAAATTTGGCCTAGGCTAAAGTTGGGCTAAATGTGGCCCAATTGGAGGGCTAAAGGGTCAAATTTGGCCAAAATTTTGTTTAGCTCATGGCTGAAGATGTGTTTTGCATTATTTTAGGGTTATATTTGGGATATAGCCTATGTCTAGAGATGACCTTATTGGCCTAGGTAGGTAGTGGTGTATGTAGTCAGTGGTCTCATACTAATTTATGTGTTTTCTATCTTTTTATAAGATTTTTCCCAAAACTAACTAGTTGTTAGGTTTTGTTTGGCTAATGTTTTAAGCTTTTCTTGACAAACTTGTAATCTTATATGTAATCATCCAAGTTCGAGGAATTTAGGGTAGTTTAAGTCTGCATTCAAGATGATTACAGAAATTGATATCAACTTTGTCATTGCTCAAATGAAGTCAAGAACCTTAAAGGTAAAAATTATACATTGCATTGCATGCATTATAGTGTTGTCATGTATGATTAGTCAAATATGCATGTCTAGTCATCATTAGTTGTCATGTGTGTAATTCATCTTAGCTCATCTTTATATTATTATTTAAAGCCACATGGCTCTATATCATTGGATGTGTGGGCTCCACATATGAGAATTTTGTATGGAGGGACCAATTTGATGTATGCGTAGTAACATTAAGGACTAACTATGTCACCAAAAAAAAAAACTTAAATGACTAAAGGGATAATTTCGTGAACCTCACGGGATTTTTTTCATGTTTTGAATTTTCTCTTAGAATTTTTTTTTGGTCTTGGGACGATAGGTACGGAAAAGTTTCAGAAAATTTTAGATAGGGCTTCAGTCTTACTTAGTCAGGGCTGGGAATGGAGTTATTAGTATGGGGAGACTAGGTAGTTCATTTATTTTTGGGTTAATGAGAGTGTTTAGTATCCTGTGGTTACACCCTTAAGACATGTTAGTCTCTATCTTCTCAATTTTTACAATCACATACCCCAGTCTTTTAAAAAGTTTTACAATGTGGTTCTACAGTTAGAGTTTCTATCAGATCTTCCCGTTAGTTGCCTACATGGCATTTATGAGTCCTACATTTTTTTTCTTTTTTATATTTAGTTGTAAGAAAATATTCATATAATATTTAAGCAACTAACGGGGCTATCTGACGAAAACCCTAAGAATGGAACGACATTGTAACAAATTTAAAAGACCTATTTAATAGGTAAGAAAGGTAAGATGCTTGTTTGTTTACGATTTTGGCTCTTTTATGTTTCACTTTATATGTATACTCGAATGAGTGTGGTTGTATGCTTTTGACCTATGTTCTAGGTATCCCATGTATTGCATATCAATTTGCTTCTCAACCTATGTTGTAGGTATTACACGTGCTTAATTCGTATTTACCTCATATTCAGGTATTAACTCCACATTGAAACTTAAATTGTATTTCAGCCCATATACATAGGTATTTAAACTTTATATCAATTCATATTTAGCTCATCCTCAGGTATTTACATACACAATACCAGTGTGTTTACCAGTGTGAATTCATTAATACAGATTAGTTTTCATAATATGGGAAAGATAATAACTTTTTATCTTTTTGTCGATAAAAGTTATCATTTTCACGTCCATCTCAGTCTCAGAATTGGATTATTGTTAAGGTCTGTTTGGGTCATCACGTGCTCACATTTCTTTTAAGCAATGGGATTGCTAAGTTTGACATGACAGATTAGGTCTGTTTGGGTCAATACAGATTAGACATGACTGCTAAGTTTGATCTGTTTTGGTATATTGACTATATATTTCTGTGTTTTATGCAAGTAAGTATTGCCATTAATTGTTTGGATTTGGACTTTGAAGTTAACTTGCCGTTGCTATCCATGTCAGACCTGACTTTAGTAGTTGGTGATAAAACCATTAACAACTAAATTGAATGCTGCCTTGAATGAATCAGCTATAGCTAGCTAGAAATATCTAATCAATTTTCAACTACTTTAAAAGAGATGGAAAATTTTCAACCGCGTTAATGTCAGTTATGGCCCATGAATATACAGAGAACCCCAAGGACACATAAATGAGATAAGTCCAATATTACACATAAATGGGCTAGCTACACATTAATTCAAGCTTGAAATATAGTTGGTTTACTAGGTATGGCTAATTCATTAAATTTTTATTTATTTATGAATATGAGTGGGGAAATCCCAAAAAGAAACAACAACTAAGAGCATCTACAATCATACTCACTAGTCTTTAGTTAAAATTTAGCTAAAAACACAAAAAAAGTTAGTTTAGGAGCTCTTTATAAAATTTGAACTCCAATCATACTCCCTTTTTTCTTTTTTTTTCTTTTTTTTTGAAATTCTAGTATTGCATTCATAATTCAGCCACGAGCCACAAGAGGCATCAAAATTAAGACAATCTAGTGTGCCTCCACTAACGATCACGCAAGATCAAAGAAACTTTGACATAAGCTCCCAATTAAGATTGCCAACTCAGAGTAATCAAAAAGAGATAAAGCTTGAAAAAACAAAGCCATAACAATACAAATAAACTCTCACAAATGAGAGATGAAAAGCTCTCACAAATGAGAGATGAAAAAAGCTCTCACAAAGGAGAGGTGAAAAGCTCTCACAAAAGGAGAGGTGAAAACTACACAGAGAACCCAAAAAGTCTCTGTGACTTATTCTGAACATAAAGAAACCGCCAAAAAGGATAGCGGTGAGGATCTGACACCGAAACGCAGCAGCTTGTGATGGTTGGAGGAAAATCATATAACAAAACGAAGGCAAATAGGGACGTTTTGTCTTTGAAAATGAGGTGAGAAGAGAGGGAGGAAGAGAAGAGGGGAAGAGGGGAGGAAGAAAAGTGGCTTCCTCTCCCCTCAAAGTGAAACGTCTCTAGGAGGGTTTTTTGGGAGATACAGGGCTAGGGTTTAATCATACTCCCTAGTTTAGGGAGTCATAAATACTATAGTTATTTTTTAATTCAATATGATTGGTCAATCTCTATAATATATATATATATATATATATAATAGATAGTATTAATGAAATTTATTATTATTATTTTTTAGCTATGCATAAAATAAAGCAACATTAAATTATTAGGAGCTACTAGGAGTCCCTTTAGCATGGAGTTACTTTAGCTCTATATAAGTCTCCTTAAAGAGCAACACAAACCACATACAATCACAATCACAGCTAAACATACCCTCATTGTTTTGTTACCAAGGTACTTGAACTTAAGCAGACGATCATGAAGGTTGAAGTTGAAGTAATCTCCAAAGAGATTATCAAACCATCTTCTCCAACCCCTGACCATCTTCGCCACTACCAATTCTCCTTTCTTGATCAAATAGCTCCCCAAGTCTACAACCCTTTGCTCCTCTTTTATGAACACAATGCCAAGACACAACCCAACAGCACCGAAATATCCAACCACCTCAAGACCTCATTATGCGAGGTCTTAAACCTTTTCTACCCTCTAGCTGGACGCATCAAGAACAACCAGTTCATACATTGCAATGACGAGGGCATCCCTTTCCTCAAAGCTCGAGTACTGGATTGCACACTTTCTGATGTTCTCAACAACCCTATCCCTGGTGAGCTCAACAAGTTCATGCCCTTTGAACTTGATGATATTACCAATTCATTTCCCCTGGGGGTCCAACTCAACATATTTCAATGTGGAGGCTTTGCAATTGGTCAATGCATTTCTCACAAGATTGCTGATGGGTTGTCGTATTTCATGTTTAGCAAAATTTGGGCAGCCATTGCTCGTGGAGACCAAGCCAACATAAACCCTCCGGAGTTTGTCTCATCCACACTCTTCCCACCAAAGGAGTTTAATATTGGATTTGATGGTAGCGTTGGCATCACAAAGGATAGAGTAACAAAGCGGTTTGTGTTTGCTGCCTCTCAAATAGAGAACCTCCGAGAAAGATATGAACAAAGTATGCACAATATGAAGAAACGCCCAACACGTGTGGAAACCTTATCCACTTTCTTATGGAGTCGGTTTGTTGCGGCTACAAAGGATAGTACCTTGAATAAGTTGTACAGGGTGATACATGCTGTGAACTTGCGTCCGAGGTTTGATCCACCGTTGCCTCAAAGTTTTTTTGGGAATCTTTTTCATTTGGTCATGACGGCTCCACTGCAAATTCCAAGTTGTGGTGGTAGCGATGAAGAATGTGGTCACGGTGTGGTGATCCGGTGGTACGAGAAGCAATAGACAATATAGACAATGAGTACATAAAGAAATTACAAAAGCAAGGTGATGAGCACTTAGGTGTGATGAAAAAAAAAGCTGATAGTTTTAAGAGAGGAGAGATGGCTACATTACTCAACTTTAGTAGCTATTGTAGATTTCCTCTTTATGACAGTGATTTTGGTTGGGGGAGGCCTACATGGGTCGGCTCACCGGCACTCACCTACAAGAACCTTGTGCTTTTCATGGACACCAAAGAGGGTGGTGGAATAGAGGCTTATGTTAGTTTGGAGGGGGAAGTCATGGCTAAGTTTGAATGTGATAGCGAGTTGCTCTCCTATGTTGCTCCAACCGGTCGGGTGCTCCTAAGCTAAGGAAATAAATTTCTCTGTGTAACTATATGTTTGTGTTACAAATTTCCCTATGTAACTATAATATGTCTGAGTTATGTGCACTTTCAGGTTTCAATAATCGTCAAGCTTTTCTCAATTAAGGCCTACACTTTGAATATTAGTCTACACAATAAAATCGGTTTGCACTTCCATGTTCACTTTAGTTGTGATTCACAAATCTACATCGTTATGATATTATATCAGAATCGTTTACAGTGAAGATTCATTAACCACAATTGAGGTCTTCTCTCCACAATAAAATTGAGGTCTTCTTTCCATTATAAAATTTAAATTTTAAAAACTCTTATTACAAGATAAGGTTTGATATGGCTTTGATGATGACCGGCTAGGCTGAGAAGGTGCTCAAGAAGAAGAAAAATGTGGAGACGATAATGGTGATCATGCATCGTTGAATCTAAATTTTGCAGTGTCAATTATTAAATAGTAGAAGTACTGCACATTCCGTACGATCCAAAAATATGTACGACTAATTTCATCTGATATCAATTATATTGATAATAGTATGCAATTATTTATTTATGTTTTTGGGTTTATATAGCAAAAGATTGGGTATAACTTGCTATTTTTCAAGTTGCAGGTTTCTTTGCGTGTATGTATCTTAGATGATGACAAAAGTAAGTAAGCCATGAATAGAGGAAAAAAAAGAAGTCAATCATCAAAACTAATTTCCTACCAACAAGTTTGCCTCTCGACCTAATGAACGTTGACTAAAATTTGTTTCCTCAGTCTTAGGATTATGCTTAGGCTCATTCCAAATCTTGATTAATTCAAAATCTCTTCCTAAAGCCTCCCATTTTGTACGTGACTTTTTACCTAACAACATACATACAAGGATTTTTCTTTTTTCAATACGGTTGATTTCTTTCTTTCTCCCCGAAGTTAAATACACGAGACTTGATTTTTCATTTCTCTTTAACAAAGCTTTGGAGTGCAGGAGTATGAAGGGTGCGGAGACATATATACAAAGTCCCTGATTCAGCATCAGCGGTGCTTAGCTCAATCGATTCAATTACACCGAAACCAACCATACTCTCTCTTACAACCTCACCCTCAACATCACCCTCACAAACCCTAACAGAAATTCCACTTTGAGTTGATTGACACCCAAGTCATTGCATACTATCAAAACAAGAGATTTGATCTTGTGACTTTGATGGATAGGTTTTTTCCAAAATAATAAAATATGAAGGACCCTTAAAAATAGCCTTGCATGGCTAGAGATGGAAAAATTTAGCCATGTACTATTCTTTAAAAAATTAATATTTTAGAGGGCTAAATATTTAGCCTTGGACTACATTTAGCCCTATGACTAGAGATGGCCTAATAAAAAAACAAAGATTAGTTCATGCATGACGCTTGACAGAAGTCAATTATTGAAAATATACTCAAAGAATTAATTAATGAATTAGCCATGTCCCTTCTGAATAATTAATGAAGGAGAAGCAACTGCACGTGGTTTGAAAATCTCTTTGGAGCCATGTACTCCCTTCCTAATTAATGAATTAGCCATGTCGAACATATTTTTTCTTGGATGGTGTAGTCACTGTGTTGGAGTCCATCTTTTTCTTCATGATCATCTGTCATATATATATCAGCTCCTATTTTGGGTATATTAGTGAAGCTTCTTTTTATATTTGTTTTAATAATTAGTACTAATTTAGAAAGAAAAAAAATATAAAATTGAAATATATATATATATATATACCTTAATTTTTTTTCAAAGAAAAAAGGCTAATTGGAAACCCTCCCCGCCTTGAAATATGTTGAGCTGGACACCTAAGGCAAACTCATTAGTAATATCATCAGGTTCAAATGGGAGGAACTTGTTGAGCTCATCAGGAATTGGATTGTAGTGGAAATCATAAAGTTTGCACTTGATTTGTGCTTCAAGAAAGGGAATGCCCGCTAGTGGATAGCAAAGGGTTAAGACATCGGCTAAAGAGTTCTAGAGGTGGCTGGATATTTCAGTAATTTTGGGTTGTGTCATGGCATTGGCATTGTGTTCATAGAAGAGGAGCTCAGGGTTGTAGACTGGGGGAGCTAACTGGTCAAGGAAGGAAAATTGGTATAGTGGCACCAGAGATGGTGAAGGGTTGGAGAAGATGGTTAAATCTCCTTGGAGATCAATTCAACTTCAACCTTCATTCTAATTTTCTCAACTAATGATCAAACTTGATCGAGTTGTGCCAAAAATTTGAATATTTGAATCTTCTTGTATTGTGATCAAGCATATACACGTAGGAAGCAATGACGGATCCAGGAATTTTTCAGGGAAGGTGCAATATTTAAAAGGCTAAAAGCTTCCACACAAAAAAAAAAATCATACATAGATGAAATCATAAATTATCAAGCAAGCCAACTAAAAAGATAGAAACAAGCAATACAGAAGGTTAAAAGGGCCTACTATCCATTATGTGAAAACCATAATGTGGTAACAGTCAAATTGAAAACACACCAATACCATTATAATTTTAGTGAACTTAAATATCTCTGCATTGAAAAAGTGAACATTTTGAATCTGGCCATCATGATTTGTTGCTGACCATGCTCTTTATGGTTCATATACGGCCACTAATTACAAGAAGAGCCTCCAATTGGTGAACGACAAGGAATTACAGAATTTCCCAAATTGGCTTTCGTCGAACACGTGTGCACCCGCAGAAGGGCACATTCCGACTTCTCCAATGCATTTTCTGGTGAGGTCCGCCAATGGTAGGAAGTCTTTATTCAATCACCACAAACAAATGAAACCTTTTTTTTTTTCTTTCTTTCGGTAGATAAAGCAGGTCTTTGTTTAATTTTTGAATAGCTGGAAAGATTAAAGCATGAGATAATAAGTGAACATATCCTAATAACATAATATTTTTCTCTCAAATTGGACTGAAAAAGTATATGCATATGTGGCGTCGCCTACAAAGAAAATAGAATTTGAGATTTATAATGATTTCAATTTGTTAATAATATACTTTTATCAGCCAAAATATTTTTAAAAACCGAATTAGGTTAACGAAATTTGGCCATGACATCCTCCTCTAAGCTAACATAAGCCTCCATTTCTTGTAGCCCAAACTACATAGCTCATGACTCATGCCAGGACTTAGAAATAGATAAATATATCGAGCTGGGGGAGACAAGTTGTGTTTATGTTTCATTAGCTTTTCTCATTCATGTGGAGTTACTTTTGGAAACTTGTGTAATAATAGGCGGAGACTTTGGAACGATGCTCGAGTGGACACCAGGGCACCTCTATGTCCATCTTAGTAGAATTTGTGAATCACAGCTAAAGTGATCATGGAAGTGCAACCCATTGTTTTAGACTTTGTATATACTAATATTCAAAGTGTAGGCCTTAATTGAGAAGAGCTCGAAGATTGAAACCTGAAATTATAATTTTGTTACACATAACACAAACATATTAGTTATATAGGGAAATTTGTAGCACAAACATATAGTTACACACAAGGAAATTTATTTCTTTAGCTTAGCAGCACCCGACCGTTGGAGCAACATAGGAGAGTAACTCGCTATCACATTCAAACTTAGCCATGACTTCCTCCTCCAAACTAACATAAGCCTCTATTCCACCACCCTCTTTGGTGTCCATGAAAAGCACAAGGTTCTTGTAGGTGAGTTCCGGTGAGCCAACCCACGTAGGCCTTCCCCAACCAAAATCATTGTCATAAAGAGGAAATCTACAATAGCTACTAAAGTTAAGTAACGTACCCATCTCTCCTCTCTTAAAACTATCAGCTTGTTTCTTCATCACACCCAAGTGCTCATCACGTTGCTTTTGTAATTTCTTCACATACTCATTGTCTATCTTGCCTACTGCTTCTCGTACCGCCTGGATCACCACGTCGTGATCACATTCTTCATCGCCACCACTACTTGGAATTCGTAGTGGAGCTGTCATGGAGAAACGAAAAAGATTCCCAAATGAACTTTGAGGCAATGGTGGATCAAACCTCGGACGCAAGTTCACAGCATGGATCACCCTATACAACTTATTCATGGTACAATCCTTCGTAGCCGCCACAAACCGACTCCATAAAAATGTGGATAAGGTTTCAACACGTGTTAGGCGTTTCTTCAAGTGCATATTGTGTTCATATCTTGCTCGGAGGTTCTCTATTTGAGAGGAATCAAACACAAACCGCTTTGTTACCCTGTCCTTTGTGATGCCAACGCCGCCATCATATGCAATATTAAACTCCTTTGGTGGGAAGAGGGTGGATGAAATAAACTCTGGAGGGTTTATGTTGGCTTTGTCTCCACGAGCAATGGCTGCCCATATTTTGCTGAACATGAAATACGACAACCCATCAGCAATCTTATGAGAAATGCATAGACCAATTGCAAAGCCTCCACATTGAAATATGTTGAGCTGGACCCCTAAGGGAAATGAATTGGTAATATCATCAAGTTCGAAGGGCATGAACTTGTTGAGCTCACCAGGTATAGGGTTATTGAGAACATCAGAGAGTGTGCAATCCAGTACTCGAGCTTCAAAGAAAGGGATGCCCTCATCGTTGCAATGTATGAACTGGTTGTGCTTGATGCGTCCGGCTAGAGGGTAGAAAAGGGTTAAGACCTCGGATAATGAGTTCTTGAGGTGGTTGGATATTTCAGTGATGTTGAATTGTGTCTTGGCTTTGTGCTCGTAGAAGAGGAGCAAAGGGTTGTAGACTTGGGGAGCTATTTGATCAAGAAAGGAGAATTGGTAGTGGCGAAGACGGTCAGGGGTTGGAGAAGATGGTTTGATAATCTCCTTGGAGATCACTTCAACTTCAACCTTCACTAATCTTCCCATATCCTAATTAATCAACTGCGTTAATTAGTAAAAGAAAGGTTGTGTTTGATTAATGTTGATGGTGTGGTTCTACATGTATCACCACCTATATATAATATATATACACAGAGAGTGAGAGAGATGAGAACTCGAATTCGAATTCTTGATTATGTGATTCTGTTCATACCCTTTAGTGTAGGTCGACCAGAAAGAAAAAGTTGTTCAACTATTGTTTGATTGTGCGTGATTCTGTGGTGATATGGGATGAAAGAATGATCACAAGTTAGACTTGGAAGTTTTCTCATCGATTAATTTGTATATATTATCTTCAAATTTCAACTTCTCGTGATGCATGCATAGTAGCTTTCCACTTGGTGAGCAGTGACCTTGTCACTTATATAGATTTCCTTTTTGAGGAGAACATAAGAGGAAATCTTTTCCTCCACAAGTTGTGATGTCACTTTTCTGTTTCAGTTATGATTTAGATTGGCTACCTAATATGATTTAGATCAAATTTCAACTTAAACATATAATTCACATTTTAACAAGTGGTATTAAACCTAATTAATTTGAAATTCAGGTCCAAGCGGTAAATGTCGCAAGAATTTGACTGCATTTCAAATGTGTAGAGATTACGTTCTTGTTGGAAATGATCACAAAACTAGTGATGACTTTTGTAAATTTTTCGTTCGACCACTCATCAGAACCTCAGAAATCGCATTCACTAGGAATCACATTGACTTTTGTAGACTTAACGATCATTCTAATTTATGCATTCATTTCCAAAACAGACCATTCTAATTTATTTTTATTTTATTTGAGAAGGATCAAGTGCGCTCATCATTCATCCTTCCACTCCAAATTTCTCTTCTCAAAATCATTAACAAAACTTATGTTAAGCTCCTCATCATCAGTTATCAATTCTATGTATCCATCCATGCTACTTTTCTTTTGCAGGCCTCTATAATTCCTCCCCTACATCTAGCAAATATAGAGGGAAAAAAAAGCGTACACGCGATCCTCTCTAGAGATTCTATATAATTTTATAATAGATCATTAATTACTAGGCAAGCTATAGTCTCCTCATGCTAACAACCTAGAGATATATAGTTTGGTAATTTTTTTTTTCAAGAATTAGCTAGGCATCGTGCCGACATGGATTTAAGATGACATAATCATATTTTTGTTTATCGACCTGATATCATGTTAATTAAAATGCGAGCATTCAATTCAAAATCAATTGATAATGGTTTGAAGAGGTCCAATATGTTTAAGCTCCTTATATTAGGTTTCCACAACCTTCAACCTCACCCTAAGTATTTCCCATACTTCAGAGCTAATCTTTCGTTACATTCTACCAAATTCATCAATTAATTAGTGTACAATTTTACTCTTAAAATTAATTAATCAGTTTTTATATAAAGTTAACTGAGTACACCTTAATATTTAAATCAAAATGTAAAATTAACTACATACACCCTATTTAACTACCAAAAATATCCCCAGTACACCCTAATACACTCTATCACACAATACCCTAATATAATATCAATCCTAAACCAGATTTCTTTTTTTTACATGAATTTGTGCCTTCTTTTCTGATTTTGGGATTGCATCAAAATCTTTAATTTCATAAGTTGTGAAAGTAAATTTGCTATCTCCTTCAATTCAAAGCTTGATTCTTGTAAATCCTTCTACTAGCTCCTTCTCTTCTCTCTCTGCTCCTCGTTTCTCCATTTTCTGTTTTTTTTTGGTTCAAATAGCAATAGAAAGCAAAGCAAGGGCGACAAAGCCAAACCCAGGTACAACCTCAGAACTACAGAAGTGTCAAGTACACCAACTAAAACCCAAGGACATGAGCTCAACACAGAAAAGGTAAAAACACATAAATTAGTATGAGTTCATGCATGACGCACGATTGACAGAGATCAATTATTGAAAATATACTCAAAGAATTAATTAATTAATTAAGAGCCATGCCTTGTAAACCAAGTATATTTTCAAGCTTGGATTAATGTATAGACACGTATAATGAAGGAATATCAGTTTTCAAATGTGACCAATTTGTGGTTTGCGTGAAGCAATATCTTTCCTATGTCATCAACAATAATTAAATATCTAACACAGTACTACATAAACTATATAGCTATAAGATTTAGTGGGATTTCTCTACCCGTTGTTGATGTTGGAAGAGATTCTAAATTTGAATCTATATTCTCCGTGTATTGATTACAAATATAAAAGTAAAAGCTTTTATATCAAATACTGTTGCACTTATAAAGACCCAACCACCTAGGTGACACAAATTTATTTATATATAACTTTTTAACAAAATCTATGATTTTGCTATTATGATGAGGGATTTCGAATCTTTGCATTTAGAATTGGTGCATTTTGGCACATCCAAACCATACAAAATATAATAATAAATTATAAAAGCAGAGAAATGCACCACTTCTAAATGCAAACACTCACAATTTTGTGAGGAGATATGTAGATAACAGAATTGGATTAGTGCATTAAAACCAGATGAGTACCAAAGTATATAAGTGGCAGGACAGTAGTAACGAAAGAACTGGATTAGTGCATTAAAACCAGATGAGTACCAAAGTATGTAAGTGGTAGGACAGTAGTAACGAAAGCAACGGCAAGCTAACTCCAAAGTCCAAATCCAAACAATTAATAGCAATACCTACATGCGAAAAGCACATAAATATATAGTAGAAAATATACCAAAAAAGGTTAAATTTAGCAGTCAAGTCTTCGTTTTTATTAGGATTGCAGTCCATTTCTATTGAGGGATTCCTCAAATAAATTATTTGAAAGACACCCTTTAGGATACCCTATTTTTTTTTTTTTTTTTTTTTTTTTTTTTTTTTTTTTTTCCAATGATTCAAACTATTTTTTAGGTCTTCATTCATAGATCATCCTTACAAAAAAAATTAGACAAATAGGAAACCGTTTCGCCATCCAATTGTGTCATACAAAATCAATGAACACGGTGCTTCAAGAAAGTATTAAAATTTGAATAACTCAATTGAGTGGTCAAATGATATTAAATTCAAGTGATTTTTTGTAGAGATGATCTTTGAATGAATATCTACAAAATAGACGGTTTGGATTAGTGAAATATAATCTGAAGTGGGCCCTACAAGAGGTGTCTCTCAAATAAGCTTATTTGAGGGATCTCTCAATGGAAGCTTTATATATACTTGTTGAAGCATTATAGCTTTAATCTATCTAATGACACAAAGTTAAAGAATTGGTCTGTAGAATATTTGGTCAAAGGCTTCATCACATAGTTAATTATACTAACGTAATCAACCAGTCTTCCTCTTTTGTGTGTGTGTGTGTGTGCGTGTGAGAGAGAGAGAGAGAGAGAGAGAGAGAGAGAGAGAGAGAATATATAGTGTATTAGTGTTCCCGTTTTCATTTATGTTGATGATATATAGTGTATTAGTGTATCATGAGCAAAACCAAGTGCAACAACAGAACCAATGATGATGATTCTAACCTATGTGCACCTTTTTGTTATATCAGGTTGATACTGGTGTTGCTCATGGTACTTTCAGGGTGATTGGGGAGCAAGAAAGTTCAGGTAACTTGAATTTGGTTCCATCAAATTCATGCCAACTAATCGCTGGAAGTCGAGAATGGCAAGGTCCCTAACAAAGATGGTAAGTAGGGAGATCGATGGGGATGATAAGTCAAAGCAAGAAGATAGCAAAGCTATGGAAGAAAGAGGTGCCCAGGAGTTATGCAAGAAGAGGATTCTAATGGGAGGCAAATGCAGGCCACTGAATTTATCTGGCACCCTTCAGTATGATGAAAATGGCATTTTGATAACCGAGATTATGTCATGATATGGGTATTTGTTCCTTTCATGATTCTGTTTTCTTTTCAATTTCTTCGTGTTCTAGTTAGATGGAAAGATTTAGCGAGTTTCTTGTTATAAAAGTATTTAGTCCTTGTTGTATTAAATAGTGTCGTTAATGCTTCCACAAATGCACGGCATTTGTTTTGGTCCATAGTACCATAAAAACCAAGAGTCACAGTTTATCCTGAAAAATGACCGCCTGAACAGTCAGTAAAAATGATCTTTACATGAACTCGAGTGCCACTTAATGGATGTACAGGAGATACTGAAAGCACTAGCTGTAAAAGGTTCACAAATCCAAAGCCAGTTGAAATACATTCGCATTAACATGAACTAGTCAACCAACATTATCACATCTTCAGAGGTTTCAATCCAAGAGATGCACGGAGCCTGTTCGCTTCAGCAATCTCTGGATCTGGATGGTCTGTCCCATCAGTCTTCTTCTCCTTCTTTTCTTTCTTCTTCTTCGACTCCTCACGAGTGCCATGCTCATCATGCCCATCCCGTCTCCTGGGACTCATGCTGCTGCGGCCATGTCTTTTGCGATTATCCCCACCCTCACGATCCCTACTCCGACTTCTGCTCCTTGAATAGCTCCTCCTCCTGCCACGATCCCTCTCTCGCCTGTCCCGCCCCCTATCGCGACCAAGATCCTTTTCATCTCTTAGTCGATAACGGTCCCGATCCCTATCTCTGTCTCTATTCCTTTCTCTTTCTCGTCCATGTCCACGTTCCCTATCATAGTCTCTATCCCTATCATAGTCTCTGTCATAATCGTGGTCCCTGTTTTATAGGGGTAAATAAGGAAACATAAATGGCAGTGTTAGCTTCAAGATGACAGTTTCAATCCTTTTTTTAACAACAAACAGTAACCATATGGTAGAATTGAACATTTACAAATGAAATTAACCACAGGGCTTCCCAGAAAAAGAACCAATGACATTCACTTAACCAACTTTGCGGGATTAACTCCAAATGCCAAATAAGAAAAGACACAACTGACCAGGGAACCATATTTACACTGCAAGCAAAATGTACGATCCATCATACTTCTCACTGCACACTGTCAGTGCAGAGAAACCTGGCAGGATCAGGGATATCACTATAGGAAGCCATTATATAACACCTACGGCTTAAAATGCCATGGTAGAAACTTCAATGACATATAAATGTACTAGTCTGAATTTGAATAGTCAGACAACAGCTTCCACTTTAAAAGTCTACTGGTTCATCCAAAGACAGGCAGAACCCAAATGAAAATCAGTTGAGATAACTTAACTGGATTTTATGTTTACCCAGACACTCATTTATAAAAGGAAAAAAAATCAGTTTAGACTAGCTTTATTTTATTTTATTTTGCCTCTCATTCTATTACTCCGTGCTCTCAGCTCAGTTATCAACAAAATTTTACTTACCCCGCCCCACCCCCCCACCCCCAAAAAAAGAGAGAAGAGAACATTCAGTAGTTTCAGATATCACCTGAATATCCAAAATATCTCCACTCACACAATAGCACAAAGAATAAGAACCCAACCAATCTAATTCCCAAACCAAGCCTTCATCCCAACCGACCAACACACACACACACAATCCAGTTGTGTTAGAATTAATATATGGTAAACATAAAAATTTGTATAAAAGAAAATTGTTCATTCTCGGTTAATCATCATGATTCAAGGAGTCTGTACTGTACCTTACTATGTTAAATATATATATATATATATTAGAAAGAAACATCTATCAGTGATCTACATAAACATTACTTCCATGTCTAAAAAACAAAGCATATGCCACAAACAGAGAAACAAACCTGTATCTGTGACTGTCACGTCTTCTATCCCTGTCCCTTTCCCTTTCCCTTACAGGGCTTCGGCCACGATAATAATCCCTATCATGGACTTCATCATCCATTCCATCAAGTTGATCGTTCTCCTCTTTCTCTTCCTCCTCCTCAAAGTCCTCCTCCAAAGCACTTTTTCTGAGTTCCAATGAACCAGTTGCTTCCAGAGTCCATCTGTATGAATATAGCAAGAAATTACATACACAAACCTAAAATTGTAGAAGTAAAAATGGACCCTCATGGAAACCAAGAACAGGGTGAGAGATACAAGGGGCCAAATACAAAAACAGGCCAAGATGCATTCCAAACATAAAGAAGGATGAGGATATTCCACAATGTCCATGGTTAAAACAAAAACAAAAAAAAACAAAAGAAGTCACCATGATAAAATCAGCCAGGAAATTTTTATTCCAATAAATAACCACCTTTTCTTAATTCGTGGCATTGCAATGTCACATGAGTAATCTTTTGTCAGAAGTTCATCAATAACCTCATCCACATGTGTCAAGGCATAATCTGATACAATTAGAGCAAGAGATTATTAGCATTCTCATTAAAATCCAATAGTAAGTATGCTAATCAATGCAAACTTCAGAGATGATCATATAACTTACTCCCATCAGCCAATTTTCTCCTCAACTTCCGATAGTCATTGTACAGAGGCTCTAGGTACTGGTACACATCGTATCGGTGCCCGTAAGACGCAATAAAATGCACCAAGTATCCGGACATATCTGAAACCCAAATAATAAATGTTAATTTTTGGATATGCGAAAATGCTCCATGTCCACATTAAATATGAAAAATAAATATATTCAGCGTTAATAATCATAAAGCTACTTCAACCAGAACATAACAAAAACAATCTCTACCCGACCAAACCAACTTCCACTATTATCCCAACCCTTTCTGTTTCAACCTTCCTGAAAAAAAATTCACAAACAGGAATCACCAATTTCCTCTTCATATCATATAAACAAGAAGACCCTATTATTTCCCGTATCCTTCCATTACCTCCACCTAACACAACAAAGAATATCAGATATATCTCCTACATTTTTACATAAAGCAAAACAATACTATTCCTTTCATACTACCATATATCCAAACCACCCAAAATATCTCATTCCGCATCTGAAAGAATTCAACATCTAAAACACACTTTTCGGATTCGGGTTTCTCAGCAAAAACCACAAAACTCCACAAATTCCCCTTCCTTTCCCTTCAACACTAATTCTCCCAGCTACCGGAGCATGCACATTGTCAAATCACATAAGCACGTCCAAAACCAATTCCAGTTACTATCAAAAGAAATTAATTAACTGGACAGTAAAACTCACTTGTAGTCGTCGTTTTTTATGAACTCAATAACGATCTCCTTCTCCGGCTGGATCTGAAGCATCTTCATCACGAGGCACATGAAAGGCGTGGGCTTACGGTTACCTCCGAAGGTCCCACCTATGTGGTCGAGCTCCATGGCTTTGTCCACTAGGGTTTCGGCCGTCAACCCGAAGCACTGCTCCTTCCAGTACGTGTTCTGGTATATCTTCGACCGTACAATCTTCTCCACCAGGTTCTGCGGGTTCGTCCCCCTTATGCTCTTGGCCGACGGGTCTGTACGGTTCGCCATAACTGGAAGACGAGAGAAATTGAAATGGAAAGTGGACGAAACGAGAGACCCTAACCCTAAAATCAGAGTGAGATAGAGATAAATAGAGACGTTGAATATACTCTGAGGAGTTGAACGGTGCGTTTGGATATCCCCCGCCATGTCTAAAACGACGTGTCGTTGGACTTAAACCCGTTAAGCTATAGAATAAAGGGTTTTATAGTTTCATATGCAAGCATTTTTATGGGAAACAAGAACAACCAATAGATCTTTCGAAAAAAAAAGAAAAAAGAACAACCAATAGATAGATAACAAAAAACACATTCGTTTGTGAGATGCCCATTTTCCTTGGGCTCTGAATTATGAGTTACAACAAGTAAATGTGTCCCTAGTCTCTATCCACAAAATGTCCTTGTTGTCACAATTGAAGCCGGATAACAAAACATCTAAATCCAAACAGCCAACAACCCTTAATCAAACAAATACTAAGATAACATGGCACACGTTTAAGATTCATTCTCCCAGGATAAAAACCACCGGCACCTATGGCTCCAAAGAAAATCCAAACAGAAAAAAGATGTAATTTTGCAGCCGGGAAACCGATGCGGGTTTACACATTAAGCTTCTATCATCAAACAATGATTATAAGCTTTAATTCGACAAATGGGACAGATTTCTAGAGAAAAATTGTTTTGGGTTATAGGTTTGTTGTCCAATCCGAGAAAGATTGGAGTTACTCGTTCAGTCTGACAGATTGGGTTCTAAATATGGACTAAATGAATGATGTGGCTGACTTTGATCTTAAGGGTTTTGCAGATTCGCGCTCTTATTTTGGGCCGGACTTGGTATGGCCCACACAATTTTTACGTAGACGAGTTGGGAATGAGATCATCTGTTACTTAGAGCAATTCCAAAGGAGCAGGCCAGCACAGACAGGAGGGGCATGAGGCTATTTTCCCACTTCCAGTGGGCTTTTGCAGCTCGGCAAATGGTGGGGGCCACCAAACCAGGCAAGTTCAAAAGCAGATCGAGCCCCCAAAGCTGATGACATAAGAGCAGCTCCAGCGCTGCTATCAAACTGGGCAAAAGGCCCCCCGGGCAAGCCCAATACAGCTCCAGCGCACCACTTGCAGCCCGGGCAAGCTCTGGGTCCCACCAGCCCGGGCAAGCTCAAGGGCAGATTTTGCCTGGACTTCAGCCCGAGGGCGCTGACGTCAGCGCTGGTGTTATGCTGACGTCAGCAAAAAAAAAAAAAAAAAAAATACCAAAAAATTATGGATGTTTTCCCTATAAATACATAACAATTTTATTCACTTTCCCTATAAATACATAACAATTTTATATTTTGTTGCATATATATATTTTTTTCTTGCCCTTGACTTGCCTTAGACTTTGCCCTCATGGGTGGAACCACAAATGCAAATGCTAACACTATTCACGTGAATAGTTTCAGCCCTTGCTTGCCCTTGCCTTAGACTTAGCCCTTGTGGATGGAGATGCTCTAAACGTTGACACTAGCAGCATGGCGTTAGAGCACGGGTTTGAAATTGTTTTGGTACACCACGCATGGTAATAATATTTCAAAATCCCATGCACTGAGGCGTCAGCCTTGCTTTCCGCCAACGGCTACAAGCCACGTGGTACATCCTGGTGTGTTCGATCCTAATTTCTCATTTAATTCAACAGCTACCAATTTTCGTATAAAAAATTGTAAAAAATTTGAAAAATACCAAAAAAAAATTATTTTTTTCTATAAATACCTACTAATATTCTTCACTTTCCACACCAAATCTTCATACAAATTCTTCTCCTTCCAATACTATTCACTTTCCACACCAAATATTCTACTACTAAATTTCATTTGTGTAAAAATATAAATGACCTCTTCCATAGAAGCTAGAGGGTCATGGACAACCATGGAAGATGTTTTGTTGTGAGTGTAGGGTCCAAGTTGATCATTGCCTGATCACGGGCAATGAGATAAAGTTTTCTCATATGTGGAGAAAAATTCATGCCGAATTTTGTGAAAAATAGGGTTCGGCTCATATAGAAATGGCCTTGACTAGTAGGTGGAAAATTTTGAATAAATAGTTAGGGAAATGGAGAGATGCATTGACAAAAGCGAGGGACAACATTCGAAGCGGCAAAAATCTTGGCAACGAGGTAAATTATTTGTAATTGCCATTTTATTAAATTTAATGTCCTATTTTTTGAAATTTTCTTGCATTCTCATTTTTATTTTTATTTTATAGATTATGCAAGCGCAAATGTGGTTCAATGTCATTGGCCAATGCAAAAAATCTTTCAACAATCACAAATGTTGGGAGGTTGTGAAAAATTGTTTAAGATTCAAAATTATTTTCACAGGTCCGACCGTTGGGTTGAATGAAACACCGCTCCACAATTCACCGGCATCGGATTTGCCATTAGAGTCCCCGATGAATCAAGACTCACTAATCCGAAGGGAGTCGATGCTTATTGGGAGAAAGGTGGCAAAGGCCAAGAGAGGGAGTAATTCAACCAATGATAGTGCAAAAATTTTGGAGCAAATTGCTCTCAAGGGCATAATGAGAATTGAGAGAGACATGAAAAGAGATGCGGATGACAAGGCAAGAGATGAAGCATTTGCAAGAGAAAGGGAGTATGACACAAACAAGACATGGACAAGAAGGATGGGGAAACCATGGCTATGGATACGAGCCATATGTCCCTTGAAACAAAGTCATTTTGGAAGCTAGAATGAAGGGATGTTATGAGAAGAAGGCTTTTCTGTGACGATGGACCTAGCAACATGGATTGGTTAAATGAAGAAAATCATTAGGTTGAATTGATAGAGTTGGCATTTATTAATTAGTTGTATTGGTTGTCTTTTATTTAATTAGTTGTATTGGTTGTCTTTTATTTAATTAGTTGTATTGCTTTTCTTTTATTTTTTTTTTTTTTTTTTTTTGTTTTTTTCTCAAAAAAAAAAAAAAAGCATAATTTATTGCAAAACACACAGAAAACATAATTCATTACAAAACACAACCAAAGTATAATTCAAAACTAAGCATTAAACTTGACTTTTGTATGGGCTTTTTCATTCCAGAAGATACAGATGGCCCTGGGCTATTGTAAAGAGCAAATGGGTAGATCGGCCCATGTGTCTGAGTTCGAGAATCGTACTCCAAGAGTGCTTCGAAAGGTTTGTGGAGCCTTAGGAAACACCTTGGCTTCCTTCACCAACAAAACCAACAGTTTCTTACAGATAAATATTTAGGCTTGGCTTGAGAAGGTTGTGACATGAGAGCTGAGCATTCATAAGTTTAGCATAAGAGAGATAAGGCTTGGATTTCCTATGAGAAACAGCGGTTCAAAGCAAGGGGAAGAGAGAATTTTGAGAGGATTTGTTGAGGGAAAAGAGGAAAGAATGAAGGAAGAAAAATGGGTGGCTTTAGCAAACTTCTGGCAGCTTGACGAAAGCTTTATCAGGCTCTTGAGTGTTTTGCCAGAAGAGAAAAGGGGAAGCAATGGAAGAACATGGCTCGAAATTGAAGGATTCTAGTAGTGAGAAGGGATGCTTGCTCTGTCTGGATGTGGTTATGGAAGAGAGGAAAGAATGAAGGAAGAAGAATGGGTGGCTTTAGCAAACTTCCGGCAGCTTGACGAAAGCTTCGTTAGGTTCTTCAGTGTTTTGTTAGAAGAGAAAAGAGGAAGCAATGGAAGAACAGGGCTCGAAATTGAAGGGTTCTAGTAGTGAGAGGGGGTGCTTTCTCTCTCTGGATGTGGTTATGAAGAGAGAGGAAGAAGATGGAAGAATGAGTGGCTTTGGCATATTTCCAGCAGCTTAACGAAAGCTTTGTCAAACTCTTGAGTATTTTTCCAGAAGAGAAAAAGGGAAGCAATGGAAGAACATGGCTCAAAATTGAAGGGTTCCATGGATGAAAGGTGATGCTTGCTCTCTCTCGATGTGAGTTGAGATGATGGGAAGGAGATGCCTCCTTTTATAGGCACTAGAAGCTCCTTCTTCCCATGAAACCCTAGCTGGTTCTTCCTAAATTTGCCAAGTCTCCTCTTCCATTTCTCTTATCTTCTTTTGATTCATCCCTATTTTGTGAAATTCTTCTCAGTCCAAACACACAAAGACAAAAAATTTGGAGGCTCTAGAGCCTTCCCGCAGCTGTCCCTATGACCATCTCCTATTTTGGGCTACCCTTTCTCCTTCTTTTCTCCTTTATTTTATGGCAAGAGCTGGTGGGAGAAAAGAGTGGGTAATGGTATTGGTCTTATGGGTGTTTTGCTTAAGTATCCTTTAGTTTTTTGGATGGCTTGTGTTGGGTTTGTCTTTGGCCATGTGTTAAAGACTCCCAACAGTCTGCACACGCAAATACCTTTTGGTTATTTAGGTAGTCTATCGTGGTTTTTGTCTCCAGCCATGAGCTGGAGGACTTTCAGATATTTTACAAGTCACTTGGGCCATTCCCCAAGGTGATGGACTAGTTTACTAAGGGGACGGGCCAACTTTCTAAAGTGATGGACTATTTTTACTAAGGTGATAGGCCAATTTTCTAAGGTAATGGGCTATCTTTTTTTCTCTTTCATGCTTACACACATATTTGGGCTCAAGAAATGGGCTTGAGTTTTAGGGCTCCCAGGCAGTCCAAAACTTCCACTTCTTGGTTCATCAATAGGCCTCGTGAATGCTCGTAACCATCCATACCACAACCCACTCAGCAAGCCCCGGGTATCTGCGTGGCTTGGGCCCACTTAATCTTGTAGCGTGGCTAGGTGTAAAATAAAGGGTTTTTCGTTTAGCATGGCATGTCGATTGGCGTGCTCGTGCTCGAATTTCATCGTATTGTAAAGGGCTATGGTCGAGTCAAAACGGCGCTTGACGGGATAATTAGCATGGGTTCGTAGATCTGGCATAATTTATAGGCTCGATACAACTCTTAGCGTGATAGGTTACATATTTGCTTGGCGTAGCACGTGGATCACGACTCGGGTGAGCATGTATAATGAACTTTCGCGTGCCCAAATCGAGTTTCTTCTCAATAAGGTATCGCACTGAACTAGGAATATATTTGGGCCTACCCTTGGATTTTTCGGGCATCAACAACTTCATTGATCGTGATTGTCTCTCAACGCCTTAAGTGTTCCATCAAGTCAACTTGACGTCGTTCGTGAACATAAGAAGATTGCGTTTCGATATAATAGTCAATCATACAGTTGCTATAACGATTATCCCTAATCAATTATTCATGCTGCAGTGGTTGTCCATTTGCTTCCACGGGCAGTTCATAAATTCTTGTCAATGCCGTGTTCATGGGATCGGGTTCGAACACCTCTAGTTCATCATGATCTTAATCATACTCATCCTCTACAATCATGTTATGCAAGATGATGCACGTCATCATAATGCTCCGAAGCACCTATTCATCAAACATACGAGCATCCCCCATAATGATTGTCTACCGAGATTGGAGGATACCAAAACACATTTCCATATTTTTCCTATAACCCTCTTGATATGTAGCAAAGTATTTTTCCTTCCCCGATTAGGGATGCAAAATTGTTTTGACGAATGTCGTCTACTTTAGGTAAATTTCGTATGCTAGGTAGTACCCACATGAGTAGACGTATTGTTGACTTCATACGTGATCTAAGGGGCTTGACCTCTCAAGACATCGTTGAACACCGGAGATTGACCAAGCATGTTGAGGTCATTTTGAGATTCCACAACTCCGAAAAAGGCATGCCAAAGCCAAGCATCGAATGAATACAACAACTTCTAGAATGATACTTTTTTTGCCATTCCTATTCCCATAATCTCCTTGTGCATGTAGTCGATGCTTCCAATCATGACTAAGAAACCTCGAGCCTTGGTTTTTTGTAGAAGCCTTTGGAGGTCTCTAGGCGTAGGCTTGCGGAGGTAATCCCTCGTGTAGAGAGTTTCGATTGCCTCACAAAATCTTACCAAGCTCTCTAGGATAATAGATTTCCTCATCCTAACAATCTCATTCACCTAGTCTGTAGATGAGCTAAACGCTAGCATCCATAAAGAAGTTGTAAGATTTTGCACTAGAAGAAGACCCAAAACCCCAGTAGCATCATACTTCTGAATGAAGTATGCGTTGTAATTGCAAACAAAATGCATGATTTTATTGAACAAATAAGGTTGCATTCTAAATCGCCCCGAAAAGTCAAAACTATAGTACAACGAATTGGGATAAAGTAATCTTCCAAGAGATTCTTACCCCGAGAATGCCTACGTTTGTCCACGTTCAGGCCATGACAGACTTGTGCACCACTGTGGCCTTCGCTTGATTGATAGAGCATACCCACTACCATAGCAACTTGATCACCATCTTTTTCCGCATCCCTTTCTTCTTTAGCTTGTTTGCGCCTTCTTTCTTCATTTTCTCACTTTTGCCTCTCCAACAACCTCCTCATGTAAGATATTGAGAGTAGAATGTGTTTTCTAAAATCTGATAAATGAAAGGATAGAGAGGATATGGTGTGAGAGGTTTGAGTTGAGGTTGTGGTTATGGAGGAACTTAGAAGATAAAGATGACACGTGGCGCAGTTTTAGAGAGCGACAATATTATCTGAAATCTAAGATTTGTATTTTATAACAAATATCGACACGTGGCAACCGAGAATCTAATCTTAAATTTGAGATGTCAATTTTCTAATAAATCCGAATACGTGGCAATCAAAAATCTTATCCAAAAATTTTATCCTAAAATGTTATCATAAATATGATATGTGAATTTTATAATAAATATTGACATGTGGCAACCGAATATCTTATACAAACCCTTATCCAAATTGAACGTTTAAGTATAAAAGATTAACAAAAATTTTAAGTGAATAGTAATTTCTCTTTACCAAGGCAATAGGGGGAAACACAAGTTGCATTTTGCAAGGGTTTGAACTATTGATGTGCATAGTAACAACTCTTGCCTCCCCTTGCTCATTGTCATGGAAAATGGGTGGAAATGCTCTTATATATATATATAGTTTTCCTGGTTTATGTTGAAAAAGAAAATACTTGCCTTTTTTCCTAAGAATAGTAACTCATCTTTCCTATCAATTACAAATACGTGTGTAAATCTTTCCTTTTGTCTTTCTAATAAATTATTTTTTTGTGTCAAAATGTTATTTGTATGAACCATGAATGTTTTCAACCAAAGAAAAAAGCAACCATCACCCTAAAAGAAAGAGTATTTTTTTTACCGCAACATGATTTACACTATAATAGTAGTAGAGATATATAATTTTCTTAGTTTCAATATGCAAAAGAAAAACACTCATCTTCTCCCTCAAGGAGCACTAATTCCTACTTTTGTGTCAATTTCAGTTGGACATGTGCACATAAATCTTTCTTTTTATGTTTATAATTGCCTATATGTCAAAATGTAACTTACCTAAACTAGTAATGTCTCCATGGAGGGAAAGAAACCACACATACCCTAAAATATGTATTAACAAAAAAATAAAATGTCTTGTAAACTGCAACACAACTTGCACTAAATTTTTATTTTTATTGATCATGTTTGCTATTGTCCTAAAGAATAGCTAGAAGCTAGTAACAAAAATACATGATCAAATTTAATTTCAACATAATTCCATTCTAATTACCGGTACATTTTAGAACATCTCCAAGGATCAAATGAGGTTTGCCTACTTTTTGTCTCTTCCCTTGGAGATACTTTTATAATACCATTATTTTTTTTCCTTTCACTTCCCTTGTGTTCTTGTTAAATGGATAAAATTTAGCACGTTTGTTGAGAAAATCAATTCATTTACAAAAGAAAAAAGAAAATTCAGCAAAGTATTTTCTTTTCCCTCTCATTCTATTACTCTGTGCTATCCAGATAATCTCATCCTAATTATTTGTACATTTTATATCATCACACTAATTTTATCTTTGCAATTCTCTAGCACTGGTTGCTTATGTATAAGGGAACTATGCTACCCACATGCACAACAACTTGCAAACAATCTAGGTCCCTACCCTAAACCGCAACATACTTGTGGAAGATAGAGTTCTGGTCATCATCCATGTTGGGAACCTGAACATAGTCCTGGGTTTCTATATTGAGGTCTAATGTGAATAAGCGGCCTTCTTGGGAAACCATAAGAAGCAACTCATCATGGTTGCTGCCCCTCAAAGATCGTAAAGGTGTCATGACATCTTTCAACGCTATAAAGGCAAATAGCTTGGTCCAACCACTGCCACCACGAAAGCCATCATCCATTAGCTATAATCCCATCGATCCATCACGAATGGATGCATAAAGAGCAACGGATTCATCCCACACAACAAACTGACTATCTAGACTATAGCCCGAGTCATATATCATGTCGGGAATGAATGTAGGATGAAAAACATCATCAACTATATCACATGAAATGATCAATTGCCTAACTGTTTGGTTATCGGTCATGTCAAACACACTGATGAACTCCTTTAGTTGCTCATTTCCCACCCAATTTTTTGCAAACTTGTTTCTTTGATATGCATAGAACAATTGAGACTGCCCCCATTGTTGATAAGGAAAGAGGGGTGGCAAAAATCCCAAAAACTACTTTAGAAACTACTTCTATCTTCAAGACTCCAGTGCATGTCCATCATGAGGTTATTTCAAAGGTAGTAAGCACTAGAGATGAGCAATGAGTCCGCCAAACAAAAAGGTCTGAGTTGCTGATTCATATTACTTCAACTCCTCCTAAGTACAAGTTATGTATGTATCTTAAGATTTCTTAATATATATTTATCTTTGAAAGAATTATAACTAACATTAACTATTTTTATTTTGTATCAGCCACAGTATATTGATTTAGAGATGGAGATGATGGGATCACTATTGGAAGTTAACCTCTCTGAGGGTCACTTTTCCTCCAAGTTTAATCCCATTATTGAAATGGTGAGGTCAACAGGGATTCCAGCTTCTGACATCCAAATAGCCAATATAGAAGGAAGTGCAAGTAGTCCGATGGATGAGGAAATTGGCCCTGAGCAACTTGTAGTTAAGGAGGAAGTAAAGATGAAGGAAAATCAAGCTAATCTTGATCCAACATTTAGATACTCTAGTCCAAATAAGCTTCTTTTGTTTGTCCTTTGTAAGTCGAGCAATAAAAGACGGACATCTAAAAAAGATACAATTGAAAAAATAAATATTAAAAAGAACTTTGTAAGTCACATGTGAATAAAAAAGAAGTCTCTGACATGTGCAGAAGCACGTGAAGAGAGGCTAGTATATATAAATATTGAAGGCCTTAAAAGTGAAATATTCAATAACCCTAAAAGTGCCATTGATTAGGTGATAAGAGACAATAAATTAATATAATGAGGGTAATATGGTAACACAACTAATATTTAAATAAATTAATAAAAAAAACAAATTAAAAAACACAAACCTCCACCCCTTTTCCTTTTTTAATATTTGTTTTTAATAATTAGTGCCAAATTTAGAAAGAAAAAAACACATAAACTTGCATGCCTCTTCCTTTTTTTATATTTGTTTTAATAATTAGTGCTAAATTTAGAAAGAAAAAAACACATAAAATAGAAAAATATATGTGAATTTATTAAAAAAATATATATATATATATATAATTGAAAAACATATGTTAATTTATTTCAAAGATTATTTAAAAATAATAATATAAAAAAAAGCCAATTGGAAACCTTCTACAATGAAATATGTTGAGCTAGACACCTAGGGCAAACTCATCAAGTTCTAATAGGAGGAACTTGTTGAGCTCATTAGGAATTGAATTGTTGAGGAAACCAGAAAGTTTACACTTGATTTGTGCTTCAAGAAAGGGAATGCCCTCGTCACTGCAATCTACAAAGTTTTCATGTTCAAGAAAGGGTTAAGACCTCAGCTAAAGAGTTCTTAAGGTGGCTGGATATTTCAATAATTTTGGGTTGTGTTCATAGAAGAAGAGCAAAGGGTTGTAGATTGGGGGAGCTAATTGGTCAAGGAAGGAAAATCAATATGGTGGTAGAGATGGTGAGGGGTTGGAGAAAATGGTTAAAGCTCCTTGGAGATCAATTCAACTTCAACCTTCAATCTAACTTTCTATCCTAATGATCAAACCTTGATCGAGTTGAGTCAAAATTTTGAAGACGTGAATCGGATTGTATTGTGATCAGGCTTATACACATAGGAACTTAAGAAGTTTTCATTTAATCACCGTAAACAAATGAAGTATTTGGTTTTGTTCTTTTGGTAGATAAAGTAAGTCTTTGTTTAATTTTATAGTAGCTTGAAAGATTAAAACATGAGATAATAATTGCACATACCCTAATAACATAATATTTTTCTCTTAAATTGGACATAAAAAAGTATATGTATATGTGGCATCACCTACAAAGAAAATAGAATAGTATGAGATTTATAATGATTTCAATTTGTTAATTAAGCATTTTATTTCATCCCTTATCAGCAAAAAGTAAATCTATGTTTTTATGAAACTAGCTAGCTTTTAGTAATATACTTTAGAGTTTCAAGCTAGTTGTCAACAACAAATACTTTGCCACCCAATTAACCACAAAGGGGAGAGGGGGCATGTTTTGCTTATGTTTCATTAGCTTTTCTCATTCATGTGGAGTTAGTTTTGGAAACTAGTGTGATATTAGGCGGAGACTTTGGAATGATGTGCTCAAGTGGACACCAGGGACACCTCTATGTCCATCTCAGTTGTGATGAATGAATCTTCACCATAAACGATTCCTATTATAATATACGTCTATAGAATTTGTGAATCACAACTAAAGTGAACATAAAGGTGCAACCCAATGTTTTAAACTTTGTATATACTAATATTTAATGACAGAATCGGGCCCAAAAGCCACTTTAGAATCCGTGTCGAACCCTGTGCATGACCAACACCTAGCAGGTATCAGCACAATTGTCCAAAATACCCCTTCTTGCCCTAGTCCAAAACTTCTTTAGGGTTTAACTTATACTGGAAAACCGGCAGAGCCTCCCTTGAAAAACTATCATTTCCCAATAAATTTTCACCTGTAAAATATACAATTAAAATTGAAAATCAAATCCCAACCGTTCAACATGCATCAGACAAAACACTTCAAATGGCCTCAGGCCTCTTTATACCATATGAATCTGGTCACAACTCTTAGAACAATATGGATACTTTATGTTTGGGCCAAAATTCTGCACGCCAGCCCATTTTTGTCGAGAGGCCCATGAACCAAACATTTGGGCTTTCATCTACAGGAATCATAAGGAAGAAAACCAAGACACCGGAAAAGCCTAGACCCTTTTGAACAAATTACAAAAGTAGCCATGATCTGAAAAGAATAAAATACTATTATTTGCTTAGACCCTTGTGAACAGGTAGAGACAACCAAAAAATCAATCAAAACAAAAACTCTCAAAGTCACAATTGACAAACTCAAAAAGATCCATTGATCTCAAAAGCCTTCAAACACAGAAGCAACCAAAGCTCATTGAGCCAGAAGAAACAAACCAGCTAGAATTCAAACCTCTGGTTTCAGTTTAGTACAGAGAAATAGTTATACAAAGCGAGATTTCTCTCGTTACAAATTTGGTTCAGCATAAGCCAAGTCAAGCAGAATCCGGGTTTTTACAAATATGAAAACCTTAGCAAATTTACAGAAAGCCTTGGTCAAGCAGAACAGGCATCATAGCACAGCTCCAGGTCAGTGACCATCAATCCAGCCATTTCTGTCCTCGTCAGACTTGAGAGGCCTCAATTTTGCCCGTTCAGCAAGCCTTCCATGGCTCATAATAAATTGAAGGTCTGCCAAACTCAAACGTTGGTATCGATTTCCAGCTGAAACTCATCAGTTGAAGGTATTAACAATTCAATCCAGCATAAACTGATCCAATCCAACCCGGTTCAGAGGCAGCTATCCAGGTAGAAATCGAAGTTCAACCTTCTGTTTTCTTATTTTTGAGTTGTCATTTCACTTTTGAGTCCTGTAATAGGTAGTTCTACCTAAACAGTTTGCCTTCTTTTCATTTATTCCAGCAAGAACTACCAATTTTGTACTGTGAAAAATTATGAAGTCATCACCAGTTTGAGGCAAAGAAAATAACTTACTTGGGAAATATTCCTCACCCAAATTCACAATTGCTTGTTTAAAATTCAGTAACTTAGGGCGCAAATTATCTATTTGTTAGAAGTCTTCTAAGGTTCTGAACTGCTAGCAGTAACACACTCACGCATAAAAGAAAGTTGACTTGTTGACCATCAATGGTTGTCAAGCCAATGGAGAACTTTACCCTACCATCACAGGATTAAAATCATAACGAGTGAACACTTTATAAAGTTCCAATTCAACACTTGATCTTGTAGTTGCACTTAGTAACTCTAGGTTGCCTATATACCAAGGGATCAAGCCACACGTAGTTCTGTCAACTTGGACAAAATATAGAATTGTTAGCATCCCCAACATATGTTGAATTTAACAAGTGATCAATTCCAATCTAATCACAAGCACAAAATGTGTCCTTAAAGATATATGGCTATGAATGTACGCTAACCAACAAGAGTCAAAAAACAAAAATAGTGACACTTAGGAGCTTTTATATTCTTGACCTTCCACCACGTGATGGAGAAGTCATGCCCTTCTTTCACATTCGTTGAAATGGTTTAAAACCATTGGACACCCTACACTTACATTAAGTATAATATTTACATCAATTAAGAAAATTCAGCCCTCAATGAGCTAACAAAAGAGTACAGTATGAAGCACCTGATACAAAATCCATTCCATGTAATTTGTAAACGAGTAAAATACAAATTTATAATACATCGCCAATAGAAGTAGGCTAGTGTAGTAAAATCAATAAATCCTACTATTGGTATTTTGCTTTGGTAGCCAAAGTCATGAAAATTCCTGAATGCCAGTACCTACTACCAGAGTTTGAATGGACTTGCAAACTTGTAGAAGACGTTAAGATAAATTTTACACTCCTTTGCCTAATATATATATATATATATATATATATATATATACATAGTCCCCTTCTATTGTGGGATCTCTCAAATAATTTTATTTAAGGGCGTTATATATATATATATATATATATATATAGTCTCATTCTATTAAGGGACGCCCTTTAGGGTACCCTCCAATTTTTTTTTCAACGATCCAAACCATCTATTTTTTAGGTCTTCATCCATAGATCATCCATACCAAAAATTAGACAAATCGAAAACCGTTTTGACATCCAATTGTGTCCTACAAAATCAACGAACATGATGCTTTAAGAAAGTACTAAAATTTCAATAACTCAATTGAATGGTCAAATGATATCGGATTCAAGTGATTTTTTGTAGAGATGATCTTTGAATGAGTATCTACAAAATAGACGGTTTGGATTAGTGAAATACAATCCGGAGTGGGCCCTACAAGGGGTGTCCCTCAAATAAGCTTATTTGATATATATATATATATATATATATATATATAGAGCTTCCATTGAGGGATTCCTCAAATAAGCTTATTTGAGGGACACCCCTTGTATGCCTCACTCCGGATTGTATTTCATTAATCCAAACCATCTATTTTGTAAATACTCATTTAAAGATTATCTCTACAAAAAATCACTTAAATCCGATATCATTTGACCACTCAATTGAGTTATTGAAATTTTAGTACTTTCTTGAAGCACCGTGTTCATTGATTTTGTAAGACACAATTGGATGTCGAAACGGTTTCCGATTTGTCTAATTTTTTGTAAGGATGATCTATGACTGAAGACCTAAAAAATAGATGGTTTGGATCATTGGCAAAAAAATTGTAGGGTACCCTAAAGGGCGTCCCTCAAATAAAATTATTTGAGGGATCCCTCAATAGAAGGGGATTGTATATATATATATATATATATATATAGGGCGGATCCGTGGCACCATATTTTTGACACAATTTTTGGGCCATTAGATTACTCCACTTTTAATGGTTGAGATTAAATCAAACATGACAAATAGTTTTAATGTTTTAAATAAACAATCATTAATTTTATTTTCTCTCCCATAAAAATAAAATAAAAAATTTTATCTCTCCTCCTTTTTTTCTTGGAAACATAATCTATTTTCTGATAGTATCCTTTTTTACTTGGTACTCTAATCTCTTTTCTTTCTCACGTATACCTCTCTCTCTCTCTCTCTCTTTCCTGGGACCAAAAAAAAACCTCCATCTTTCGTTATAGAGCTGAGAATCATTCCTTTTTATTGAGATCTGCATTTGAACGGTGAAGATCAAAATCAAGTATAATCTGTCTGGCATGAGCATGATCAAAATCACTCATTGTCGCCTAGTTACCAAATCTGCAGAGTTTAGGCTATGGCTACCAACGATTTCAAGCATATTGGCATAGCAGGCCGCAGTAACACATGGAAACTATACTTATATGCACTTGAACCAATTCTAAATCATGAGATATTCCACGGAAGCACATAAAAAGAAGGGGATAGAGGTAGAGAGAGATTCTATTAAGTATGATAAATCGTAGTACATAGATTATCCAATCAATAGTCAGTCAGGAGTTTCGAGAGTGTAATGTGCCAGACTGAAAAACCAGAAAAAGAAGTGTTTGGAACTATTTCATGGAAACAAACTAGGTAGGATGTCCCTAATATTTTCGCTAGCATTACGATAGTACAGTCTTGCTGCAAACGAATTTGCGTTGGTGTGCCTTATCTAGATACCTTGAGGCTTGAAGTTGAATAGAGATGGCAAATGGTGCCCATTAGGGAGACGAGCATTAGGATCACGGAGTTGATCAAAAAATGGGTGGACACAGGCCTCGAGCTGCCAAAATAAAGAAAATAAACAACTACATTTGATAATTTGCTATCTAATACAGACATAAGAATTTCAAGTTCAATGGAATTAAAAATTTAATACTCTAATGTCCCAGTAATGTCCATCATAAGAAACTAGATTAAATAGAAGATCTGAAGAACTAAATCTCATCCTTTAATTTATGCTTACAAGCTCTTCATTTAATTTATCCAAATTATCATACTTGATTTTTGAACTCAACCTCTGCAAGAAAAAAATGTCACATTAGCAATAGAATTCTCAATCACCAGCAACCAGAAATAGATATTTAAGCATATCATTGAGCATACACAATAAATAACAAAACAAAACGTATTTGTTTTAAGAAGAATGAAAATGGAATAAAAATGGAGTAAAGAATTCATATGGTTGGTTTGCAGTTACTGGAGAGAGAGAGAGAGAGAGAGAGAGAGAGAGGGAAAAAAAATGGAGGTTTTTTTTGGTATGCTTGAAAAAGAAGAGAGATTAGAGTACCAAGTAAAAAAGGATACTATCGAGAAAAGAGATTACATTTCCAATAAAAAAGGGAGGAGAGAGAAAATTATTTTATTTTATTTTATTTTTATGGGAGAGAAAATAAAATTAATGATTGTTTATTTAAAACATTAAAACTATTTGTCATGTCTGATTTAATCTAAACCATTAAAAGTGGAGTAATCTAATGGCCCAAAATTGTGTCAAAAATATGATGCCACGGATCCGTCCTCATATATATATATTAGTTCACTTACTGATTAGTAGCCACACTACAACAACAAATTTAGAAAGCTTGATTTGTATAATGGATATTTTGTATTCAAACTTATTCAAGCCTCTCAATAATTCACACTTTTTAGTTTAAAACATCTCAAACTTAAATACTCTCCACCTAGGCATAACCCGCTAATCATAATCCGTCAATTCCACTAATATTCCATCAATTCCAAGTACCAAGTATGTTCCATCCTTGCAGAACTCAGGGGACACGTGGTTTGCCCGAGAATGCACGTCCTCGCAGAACTCGGGGGACATGTAGTCAGCCCGAGAATGCATATCCTCGTAGAACTTGGGGGACACATAGCCAGCATGAGAATGCATATCCTCGCACCACACGACTCAGGCATCCCCGAGACTTGTGGGGCATTATTATAAATGACCAAGCTATTATGAAGGCAACTAGGGGGATACTCCTGCAGTGGGTTTGAAAACTTTTTCTAAAACTTAACATAAAATTTCTTTTATTCCACAAATCCACTTTCACAAATCTTTTTCCCTAATCTTTTCTCAACTTTCCAAAAATAAGTTCTTGAATAGATACCCGAAAATCCCTTCTTAAAACAAGATCAATCCCAACATTCCTTAATTGAATTTGACCATGCATAATCTTTCAAAACTGTTCTCAACTCTATTTAAACTTGTACCACATACTATTGAGAGAACTAGTATCCATAATTCATCAATTTCAAGCCACTGAGTATATATTTGAATATAGATATATAATTAGGCATTATTAATTTTTTATTCACACCAAAACCCGGTTAACCAAGTGATTCCCAACTCCACACAGTTAATCATAATATAATATACTTGGAAAGTAAAAGCGATTTTAGTAATTCATAAACATTTACTAGAACTCTCACTGTAAAGTATCATTTAAAAACAACCCTCCAATTACAATTACAACTACTAAATGGCCTCAACTGAGCCGACAAAACTCACTATCTAAGTCAACTGGGCTCGAAAGGCCCACAACCTCAATTCGTTATATGACGATTCCTATTGGTCCATAACCATGAGTTAAACCCATCCTAGAAGTCTCGTCACGATCCAACAGTCGGTTTGACCCCAATCGCGGAATTGACCAATTAGGCCGTCGAGGCCCATGACCTCCGATTTCTGATCCGAACGTTCCTCTAAGTCCAACAAGGTATACTTAACAAGTTTCGAGAGTTTGGTCTTGATAGAGTGGTAGGATCGCTCCCGGTCGCACGATTGGAAAGTCAACATTTTACGTAAACTTTGAATCATTGATTCGGAGTATACGGGACTCTGATTTTTGATCCGTGAGTTCCTACACGATCCTAGAGTACATAGATCAACATATTTGGATCTGTGAGTTCCTACACCATTTAAAACTATCAGCATATTTTTTTCATTACACCCAAGTGCTTATCACCTTGCTTTTGTAATTTCTTCATGTACTCATTGTCTATATTGCCTATTGCTTCTCGTACCACGGGGATCACCACACCGTGACCACATTCTTCATTGCCACCATCACTACTTGGAATTCGCAATGGAGCTGTCATGGCGAAACAAAAAAGATTCCCAAATGAACTTTGAGGTAGATCAAACCTCGAACCGACTTATTCTTGGTACAATCCTTTGTAGCCCTCACAAACCGACTCCATACATAAGGTTTCGACCCGTGTTGGGCCTTTCTTCAAGTATATATTGTGTGCATATCTTTCTTGAAGGTTCTCTACTTGAAAGGCATCAAACACAAACCTCTTTATTACCATGTCCTTTGTGATGCCAACGCCGCCATCATATGCAATATTAAAGTCCTTTGGTGGGAAGAGTGTGGATGAAATAAACTCCAGAGGGTTTACGTTGGCTTTATCTCCACAAGCAATGGCTACCCAAATTTTGCTGAACATGAAATACAACAACCCATCAACAATCTTATAAGAAATGCATTGACCAATTCCAAAGCCTCCACATTGAAATATGTTGAGTTGGACCCTGAAGGGCAATAAATTGGTAATATCTTCAAGTTCGAAGGGCATGAACTTGTTGAGCTCACTAGGGATATGATTGTTGAGAACATTAAAGAGTGTGCAATCTAGTACTTGAGCTTCGATGAAAGGGATGCCTTGTCGTTGCAATGTATGAACTGGTTGTGCTCAATGCATCTGGCTAGCGGGTAGAAAAGGGTTAAGACCTACAATAATGAGTTTTTGAGGTGGTTGGATATTTCAATGATGTTGAATTGTGTCTTTGCATTATGTTCATAGAAGAGGAGCAAAGTGTTGTAGACTTGGGGAGCTATTGGATCAAGAAAGGAGAATTAGTAGTGGCAAAGATGGTCCGGGGTTGAAGAAGATGGTTTGATAATGTAACATCCCGACTCCAAATTAAATTCCTTATTTTAAGTATTTAATTCAATTAAATTTCAAATTACGAATTTACCCTTGGGGTAGGGGTATTTTGGTCATTTTCTTATCCAGATAGAGTTTGGGGCAATGACTGGCATTGTTGGGTAGATCGTACTGAGATGATTCCGTAGACACATAGTGGACTCGATTCAGAGTTAAAACAAAGAAGTTACAATCAAAACAAGTTCAGTGGCATAACCGTAAATTTTGCGAAATTGGTTTTTAAACACTCTCTCTCTCTCTCTCTCTCTCTCTCTCTCTCTCCCGTGCGATCCCCCTTCCTTGTCAAACAGCAGCGGCGGTTTTTCCACTGCCACCGTCGCCACAAGCCACCATTTGAGGTGGCACCGGTCCCAAAATAACCGCATGGTCTTCCATTTTCAACCCCAGCCAAGCCCGCCGCCAGCAGCCTCGAGTTTCGCCGGAATCTGCCGAAATTGAGCCAGTTTTTCCAAAAATTCAAACCGCTCGTTCTCTGTCATTTCTCCATCAAATTTGACGAGTGAGGTATGCTTTTATACCTATTTTCCATGATATAGCTGATGGTTGGGTAGGATTTCTTTAATTTTGAGCCTAGGTTAGTTGATCTTCGATTTGAAATTCTGCCGGTTTTGGGATTGCGTTTTCGGCCACTTCCGGTCACTTTTTGGGGGTAGGACCAAGAACAAAAGTGACTCCAAATATGGTGTTTTACCTAGGGTAGGAGTCTTGAGCCAAAATTTTGAGTTTTTCCGGTGAAGCGTAATCGCTTTGGACACCCACGCACTGCCGGCGCGTGTGGCGGCCCGTGGGCACTGTGGAAAAAAGGGCATTATGTCCCAATGTAATCTCCTGGTCCTCAAGAGCGCGTAGGTACTTTCGGATTTCAATTCGGTTGACGTTTGAATCCCTAACGGATTTCGCATATTGTGCGTTATCCGGGTTCAATATGTTTGGACCATTGGGTCGACTCCATTCCAATATATGTTATTCTAGACTTTCTTAGGATCATGTGGGAATTCGCGGATCATGAATCGGAGCCCCGGATGTCCCAATTCAATAACTTAAAGTTGGTGTCTAGCGATGACCGTCCAATCGTGCGATCTTAAGCAATTTGATCGTCCGTTTCGAACCAAACTTGCAGGACGTGTATCCTAAACCTTGTGGAACCCTTAGGAACTTTCAGATTGTCTCATTCTTCGTACACTCACTAGAACCCGGGAAACTAGGATTTTAATTCAAAGTTCTCGTTCGAAACGCTTTGTATTAATATCGTTTTCGTAATCTGAAATAGGTACTCCGGCCACGCATACGTAGCAGGCGGGACCCTCTCGGGGTCAAGCAGTGTGGGACTACTTGTGAGTGGACTTTGTTTTCAAATCTTAAGCATGGTTTTATCAATGGAAAAATATTGCATATTGTTTTAAATGGTATATTGGATATATTATATATTCGATTGTCGAATTTGATGTTCTTATAAAGCTTTGGCATTATATTTTGGGTTTTGACATATTTGAGTATCTTGAGTATCTTGAGTATGTGTATATGGATTTTGAGAATTTCTATCTATATTATCTATGTGTGGGGTACTTGGGTTGTTGAGTTGAGATTGTGGAAAGGTTTGAGTATAGAATGTCAGTTTGGAGTGCTATAAGCACTACCCTATGTACCTCCCCAGATTTGGAAGTTGGATACGAAAACTTGAGATACTTGGAATTGTCGGAACCCGGGGCATCCTTGACGGGATGTTGCTGTAGACCCTTGATTGGGTAGTCTGCGCGCGTAAGACTAGTTATAGGTGTACAAGCTTTGAGAGTCTCGGTTGTACGTTCTGGCTGAGAGTTAGTCCTCCAGTTGGACGGCTTGTATGAATAGAAAGTCTCAGTCTTTAGTATGTGGGCCCGGCATCGGGGTGATGTCGGTAACAAGACGGGATTCGTCTCGATTTTTGAGGAAATTCGGGCGTGTCCTATCAAATAATCTCCTTGGAGATCACCTCAACTTCAACCTTCATTATTCTTCCCATATCCTAATTAATCAACTCAATAGCGTTAATTAGTAAGAGAAAGGTTGTGTTTGATTAATGTTGATGATGTGGTTCTACATGTATCAACACCTATATATTATATATATACATAGAGAGTGAGAGAAAGATGAGAATTCGAATTGTTGATTATGTGATTCTATTCATACTCAAGAGTGTAGGTCGAGTCACAAATACAATATATTAGGTTTATTGTTTAAGGCTTGTAAATAAATGTTTATTATAATTGTAACTGGTCATCCGTTTTGATTTAATCCTGTGATGGTAGGATAAAGTTCCCCATTTGTTTGAAAACCATTGTTGGTCAACAAGTCAACTTTCTTTTGTGTATGAGCGTGTCATTGCTAGCAATAAAAACCCTAGTAGACTTCTTAAAAAAATAGATAACTTGCGCCCCAAGTTACTAATTCTAAACAAGTGATTGTGAATTTGGGTGAGGAATATCTCCTAAGTAAGTTCTTTTCTTGCCTCAGACTGGTGAGGACTTTCACAATTTTTCACAGTACAAAACTGGTAGTTCTTGCCAGAATAAATGAAAAGAAAGCAAACTGTTTAAGCATAACTACCTATTACATGACTCAAAAGAGAAATGCCAACTTTGAAAAGGACAATGGATCGTTGGATTTCAGTTTCTGCCTAGATAGCTGCCTCTTAATCGGGCTAGACTGGATGCGTTTGTGCTAGATTGGATTGTCAACACCTTCAATTGATGAGTTTTAGCTGGAAATTGATACTAACATTTGAGTTTGGCAGAGTTTCGATCTATTTCAAACCCTGGAAGACTTCTTGAACGGGTAGAATTGGGGACTCTTTGGTTGAAGAGGGCAGAAGTGGCTGGATTGATGATCACTGGGTTGTAGCTATACAGTAGTACATGTTCTGCTTGATCAAGGCTTTTTGTAAATTTGTTGAGGTTTTCATATTGTAAAAACCCGGACTCTACTTGACTTGTCTTGTGCTGAACCAAATTTGTAACGAGAGAAGTCTCGCTTTGTAAAACTATTTCTCTGAACTGAACTAAAATCAGGGATTGAAATTCTAGTTGATTTGTTTCTTGTGGATCAAAGAGCTTTGGTTGCTTCAGTGTCTGAAGGCTTTGGAGATTAGTTGATCTTTTTGAGTTTGTCGGTTATGACTTTGAGAGTTTTTGTCTTAATTGATTTTTTGGCTATCTTGATCTATTCACCTCCTCTCATATTTATAGAAAATGCTGGAGTGGGGTTTTTAATCTTTTTAAAAACTGGGCGGCAGATCTTTATCTTTCCAAAAGATTTTTCTTTTGTCAATGCCACAAAGAGAGGGGAGTTATTTAATTTAGCATAGGGGAACCATCAACAGTCAGTTTCCATGGTGGTCTTTTCCTTACTTTTTCATGAAAGAAAACCAACTCTTCTTTGTTCTCTGTTTGTTCTTTGTAAAAAACACAATCTGCCATGATGGTTAGTTTGCTTTTCCTAGTGAACAACTCCCTTGCTCCATACTTATCTCTTGAAAATGTAACCTGCTTATCTCTTGTAAATATAATCTGCTTTGGCGTAGAGCTTCTCTGCATATGGAGAGGGGATTTGATCTTCTTTTCTTGGCAAAAAATGGAGAAGCTCTTTTGTAGGACATGATTTCATTAACTCCCTATCACTTCCTCTGTCTTAGTTGAGAATTTTGACTTTTTCAAAGTCAGAAAGTCACGTGGGGCTCTTTTGAGAACACATTTTTTTAGTCAAAAGATCTGCTGACTTGCTTTTGGGTTAGAAATCAGATGGTGAGAGTTTTTGCTAGATTGCTGGGCCATTTTGATCCAAAGTTGTGTGCGTCAGATTTTAATCGCCAATAATGGTAATTATATTTTTTAGACCATGGTAATATTTGTAACCTGTCCAAAACAATGGTCTAGGCTAATTCAGCATTTTGGGTTGATTTTCAATTCAAAAATAGACCCAAAGCCCAATTGGTTTTTTTGTCATGGGCCTTTAACAAGAAATGGTCTGGCATGTAGAGTTTTGGCCCAAATAGTAACAACTCTTCCATACGTACATATCATTCACCGTCGATCTAAATGTTCACTCATTTCTTATTTCTCAATTGTGGTATTTGAAATTAAATATAAAATACAAAGACAAAAGAAAATAATTTAATCCATCATAATTTTATAGGAGATTCACTATTATGCCCAATATAATAGGCCAAATTATATATATAAAAGAAAACATATGTAAAATGGACTATAGAAACACATACATATTCTATTTACAACATACCAAAAGGTTTTTAACTTCTTATAAATTACAAAACTGTCATTGATTTCTTAAAATAAGCTCAACACCAAAACCTCATTAAAAAAAATCCAAAACACGCAATATGACATTAAACTAATTTAATAATCAAAATTAAATTCAATAGAGTCAATTGTCATTTTTTGGGTTTGTTTATAAAATTTAAATGATGTATGGTTTATCTATATCATTACCAATGCTAAGAATAGGTATACGGCTAAATATCCATAATTTTATTGTGTTACATCAGATTTTTTCCTTCATGAACAACTTTATTCAATCCAAAGCTTATAGTATTATACAACAAGAAGTTCTAAATAATAAATAAAACATAAAATACAAATCCAAGCATACTAATCCAACAATTTCTACCAGGGACTAAATCTTAGCATCTTGGGCTTGATAAGTACATGCCAGCAGCTGCTCATCCTCTTGGAACTTGGCCATGTCTTCCTCCTTCAAATTAACCCATGCTTCAATCCCACCACCGGACTCGGTATCCATGAAGACAACCAAATTCTTAAACGGGAGGCTAGCCGACCCGACCCACACGGGCTTTCCCCACCCAAAGTCCGTTTCATAAAGCGGGAACCTGCACAAGCTAGTAAAGTTCAACGACACCACTTCACCTTTCATAAACTCTGCTGCTCCCTGCTTCAAAAAGTTCAAGTGTGCGTCGCCATCTCTCATCTTAGTCAGGTAATCACTGTCGATCGTCTTCAAGGCATCTCTCATCTGGCCAACCAGCCTATAACACGTGTCCTTGCTCCCATCAAACGACGGCGTCGCAATCGCAAACCGGCTCACGTTTCCAATATGATACTCGGGAAGTGGTGGGTCCATCCTGGTCCGTAAGTTGACGGCGTGAAGCACTTTGTAAATTTTTTTCGGGTTGGGCTCTCCTTGGGTGGAAGCTATAAACCGTGCCCATATAAAACATGACAGGGCCTCAATGCGGGTCGGGTATCTCTCATTCGAATTATATTCTGTGTACTTTGACCTAAGAGAAGCAACCATAGAAGCACTAAAAACAAACCTTTTGGTCACAATGTTTTCTCTGGTGATCCCAGTGCTTGGTTTGAACCCAGATATGCTTCTGGGTGGGAAGAAGGTGGCCACATCAAAAAGTGGGGGGCTAATTGTACTGTTCTTGATATCACAATCTCCTCGAGATACTGAAGCCCAGCTGTTTAGGAACGTGATGACTGAGAAGGCATCGACAATTTTGTGAGAAATGCAAATTCCAATTGCCATGCCACCACAGTCAAATATGTTGACTTGGACGGCAAGAACCAAGTCACCAACATTGTCTAGGTCATACGGGAGTAATTTGTTGAGTTGGTTTGGGTCGGGTTGGGATATCACGTCAGATAGCGTGCAGTTCACTTGGGCTTGGACGTATTGTGCACCTTGGTCATTGCAATCGACGTAGGCATCGTCGATAACACGTCCGGCTAGTGGATAATATTGTGTCAAGATCTCCGATAAGGACTGTTTAACCCGATCAGAATATATTTTGACATCGTTACCACAACGACCATTATTGTTGGTGTAGAAAAGGATCATAGGCATGAAAATTGGGGTGGCGATTTGGTCAAGAAAAGAAAGTTCATGTTTACAGAGATGGGGTGGGGTTGGTGAAGAAGGCTTAATGCAATCTCTCTCAATAACTTGGATCCTCATCATCCTATAACAATATTGAGAATTAAGGATGGTTTGAAGAAAGTGGTTGTGCAAATGTGGCTCGGGATTGCCATATTTATAGTGCTCCAACGGTACCAATTAAGTCGGCCTTCATCTTATCTTAATAAATAACACGATATATGCAATTCAAAATCAATTGATAATGGTTGAAGAGGTCCCATATGTTTAATACAAATTTATAAATAAACCAAATCCTAGACATGTATTTATAAAAAAACCCAAGCACTATTTAAACATAGAAACACACCCAAAATCAACCTCAAAGTCAACTTTTTGGGTGTGTTTATAAATGGGTTTTGAGTGTGTGTAATGATGGGTTTTGGGTGTGTTTATATGTTTAAATAATGCTTGGGTTTTTTTATAATTTCAACCCCTATTTTGGGTGTTTTAGTGAAACTCCCTATGTTTAAACTATTCCCTATACTTTTTAAGGCTAATGTTACATTCTACCAAATTCATCAATTAATTAGTGAACAACTTTACTGTTAAAACTAATTAATCAGTTATATCTATATTTCTTTTTAAAAATTTACCAAACTTTGCAGTGACAAAGGTCTTCGGAAGAACCACACCTATGCTCGTATATATGCAATTAAGTATGCTCTACATTACTAATTAATTATTATTGACACCGATAGTCCTTTTTTTTTCCTTCCTACATCAGCTACTAGATTTGCTATACGACGTACGAATTGATGTTAGCTAGTTAAATTTGGGAAAACTCGTATAAAAGGAGAGCAAACACATAAATTAGTATGACGTACGAATACGATTGACAAAGATCAGTTATTGAAAATATACTCAAATAAATCATTAATTAATTAAGAGCCATGCCTAGTAAATTTTCAAGCTTGGATCAATGTCTAGACACATATCCATTCTGAAAACTTGCATGGATATATATATATATATATATATATATCAGTCCCCTTCTATTGAGGGATCCCTCAAATAATTTTATTTGAGGGACGCCCTTTAGGGTACCCTACAATTTTTTTCCCAATGATCCAAACAATCTATTTTTTAGGTCTTTATTAATAAATCATCCTTACAAAAAATTAGATAAATCTGAAACCGTTTCGACATCCAATTGTGTCTTACAAAATCAATGAACACCGTGCTTCAAGAAAGTACTAAAATTTCAATAACTCAATTGAGTGGTCAAATGATATCGGATTCAAGTGATTTTTTGTAGAGATGATTTTTGAATGAGTATCTACAAAATAGACGGTTTGGATTAGTGAAATACAATCCGGAGTGGGGCCTACAATGGGTGTCCCTCAAATAAGCTTATTTGAGAGATCCCTCAATGGAAGCTCTATATATATATATACATGCACCTAAATTGACGTTAACACATTTGAAAAATTTTCCTCTCCTTTAAAGCACTTAAATTAGGGTTTGAATTATTGATAGATAGTTCCAGCTGATTGATTAAGGCAGCATTCAATTTAGTTGTCAATAATGGTGTTCTCACCAACTACCTAGTAAACCAAACCTTGTACACTTGCATGGACCTAAATTAGGGTTTGTGTTAGCTTAGATATATAATTAACGCAAATTTGCATGGAGCATACCTAGTAAACCAACTATATGGTCAAACTTGAATTAATTTACGTGTAGGTAGCCCATTTATGTGTAATATTGGACTTATCTCATGGCTTAGATTGTTAACTTAAATGGATGGATATGTGCACAGGGCAGAGTGGGAACCCGCCCATTCCAAATTTTTTTAAAACAAAAAATACATTTGTATCTTATAAGTCTAGCCCAACTCTCTCTCTCTCTCTCTCTCTCTCTCTCTCTCTCTCTCTCTCTCTCTCTCTCGGGTGGACAACATCTTCTCATTCTCATTGTAAACAAAAAGTATTCTTCTCACTCTCATATCCTATATATAATTATAGTTTTGATTAAAATTGAGTATTCTAGGGATTAATTAGGGATGAATTATAATTGGGAGAATTTGTTAAAATTTAAGGCTTTAATTTTAAAAATTTTGTTGAGATGTTTCATTTGTTGTTGATATTGTTGAGATGCTCTATGACAATTCGTTTGATTTTTTGTTGGTATTTTAAAAAAAAATTCTTTCTACATAAAAAAAATGTTGGTATGTATAGAGATGTATTTTAGGGTAAGGCTTATTACATCTCCCATATATCTTTTTATGTTTATTAATGAAATTTACTCATACTATTGAATTTAGTATGTGAGTTTTGCCTATCTGACTTTTGAATCATTCACCTAGTTTGCAGATGTGCTAAACGCTAGCATCCATAAAGAAGCTATAAGTTTTTGCTATAGATGAAAACCCAAAACTCCAGTAGCATCATACTTCTGAATGAAGTATGCGTCATAATTGCAAACAAAATGCATGATTTTATTGAACAAATGAGGCTGCATTTTATATCACCCTCGAAAATCAAAACTATAGTACAACGAATTTAGGATAAAGTAATCTTCCAAGAGATTCTTACCTCGAGAATGCCTACGTCTGTCCACGTTCGGGCCATGGCCGACTTGTGCACCATAGTGGCCTTGGCTTGATTGATGGAGCATACCCACTACCATGGCAACTTGATCCCCATCTTTTTCCTCCTCTCTTTCTTCTTTAGCTTGTTTGTGCATTCTTTCTTCATTTTCTCCCTTTTGCCTCCCCAACAACCTCCTCGTGCAAGATATTGAGAGTAGAATGTGTTTTCTAAAATCTAAGAAATGAAAGGATAGAAATGATATGGTGTGAGATGTCTGAGTTGAGGCTGTAGTTTTATAGAGGGACTTAGAATATAAAGATGACACATGGCACAATTTTAGAGGGTGACAATTTATCTGAAATATGAGATTTGTATTTTATAATAAGTATCGACTCGTGGCAACTGAGAATCTGATCTGAAATTTGATATGTCAATTTTATAATAAATACAAACATGTGGCAGTCAAAAATCTTATCCTAAAATTTGTCCTAAAATGTTATCAGAAATATGAGATGTGAATTTTATAATAAATATTGACACGTGGCAACCGAAGATCTTATCCAAACTCTTATCCAAATTAATCGTTTTAGTATAAAAGATTAAGTGAATAGTAATTGCCCTTTACCATGCCAATAGGTGAAAACACAACTTGCCTTTTGCAAGGGCTAACATTATTCATTATTCATGTAAATGGGTGAAAATACTCTTATATATATAAATTTCCTGGTTTATATTGAAAAGGAAAATACTTGCCTTCTTTTCCTAGGAATAGTAACTCATCTTTCCTATCAATTACAAATACATGAGTAAATCTTTCCTTTTGTCTTTCTAATACATTATTATTTTTATGTGTCAAAATGTTATTTGTATGAACCATGAATGTTTTCATCCAAAGAAAAAGGCAACCATCACCTTAAAAGAAAGACTATTTTTAACTGCAACACAATTTACACTATAATAGTAGTAGAGAGATATAATTTTCTTGGTTTCATTATGCGGAAGAAAAACACTCGTCATCTCCCTCTAGGAGTAGTAATTCCTACTTTTGTGTGAATTCCAGTTGTACATGTGCACATAAATCTTTCTTTTTATGTTTATAATTGCCCATATGTCAAAATGTAACTTACATAAACCAGGAATGTCTCCATAGAGGGAAAGAAACTAGACATACCCTAAAATCTGTATTTAAAAATAAATAAAAAAGTTTTTTAAACCACAACACGACTTGCACTAAATTTTTATTTTTATTGATCATGTTTGCTATTGTCCTAAAGAATAGCTAGAAGCTAATAACAAAAATACATGATCAAATTTAATTTCAACATAATTCCATCTGAATTATTGGTACATCTTAGTACATCTCCAAAGATTAAATGAGGTTTGCCAAATTTTTGCCTCTTCCCTTGGAGATACTCTTATAATATCATTATTTTATTTTACTTTCACTTCCCTCGTGTTCTTGTTAAATGGATAAAATTTAGCATGTTTCTTGAGAAAATCAATTCATTTACAAAAGAAAAAAGAAAAGTCAGCATAGTATTTTCTTTGCCCTATCATTCCATTACTCTGTTCTATCCATATAATATCATCCTAATTATTTGTACATTTTATATCATCACACTAATTTTATCATTGCAATTATCTAGCACTGGTTGCTTCTATATAAGGGAACTATGCTACCCACACACACAACAACTTGCAAACAATCTGGGTCCCCACCCCAAACCGCAACATACTCGTGGAAGATAGAGTCTTGGTCGTCGTCCATGCTATGAACCCGAACATCCTCTTGGGTTTCTGTATTGAGGTCGAACGTGAACAAGCGGCCTTCCTGGGAAACCATAAGAAGCAACTCATCATGGTTATTGCCCCTCAAAGATTGGAAAGGTGTCACGATATCTTCCAACACTGTAAAGGCAAATAGCTTGGTTTAACCGCCGCCACCACCAAAGCCATCATCCATTAGCCATAATCCCATCGATCCATCATAAATGGATGCATAGAGCAACGGATTTGTCCTACACAACAAGCTAATTATCTGACTATAGCTCGAGTCGTATATGATGTCAGGAAACAATGTAGGATGAAAAACCTCGTCAACTATATCAAATGAAACGATCCATTGCCTAACTATTTGGTTGTCTTTCATGTCAAACACACTGATGAACTCCTTCAGTTGCTTATTTCCCTCCCAATTGTGTTGCTAACTTGTTTCTTTAATATGCATAGAACAACTGAGACTGCCCCCATTGTTGATAAGGAAATAGGGGTGGCAGAAATCCTAAAAACAACTTCAGAAACTACTTCTATCTTTAAGACTCCAATGCATGTCCTGTTGAAATATAAGTGTTTTAGCTGATATGCTTTTGTATTTAGTTTAAATTTACATATTTAAATGTGAGCCCTTGGATTATAGTCCAAGTGGACAGCTAAGATCTAATCTTAGAATAGAAGAATGGATGGATAGATTTGAATGATGTAATTTGGAATGTATTATTCCTGCTGGTATTAGTGCATAGTGGGTGCGTGAGAAATACAACAGATTTCTTCTTTTAGCTCCTTCCTCAAGCTCTCTCTCCCTTACTCTGAAATCCGATCTAAAACTTTTACTTATTTTTCAGTAGCACTTGTAGCATGCGGGTTATAATCCAGATCATAGTCTGAATTCTAGCATGGTATCAGAGCCAGGTTGCCCACGTGTGAAAGCCCAACAACCACACGTGCTCCACGTCACCCAAAATGTGTTGTCCACGTGTTAGGCTTGAAAATTTTACCACACGTGCGGGGGCGTGTGAGAATGTGAAGGTAAAAAGTCCTACATTGGAAAGTTGAGAAACCTAACAAGGGTTTATAAGGAGTTGGGCTACTCCCACCATTGCCAATTGGTTATGGGGTGGAACCTCAACTTCCTTCATGGTATCAGAGCCAAGTTAGATTTGTTTAGCTGGGCAATTGAATTTGTGAAGGAAGTGAGCTGTGATTTGAAGAACTTAAAGATTTGTGTCTAACATGGCAGGGTCTGGAGGTGGTGAGCTAAGAGCGCCGATCTTTGGAGGTGATAACTATGAGTTCTGGAGAATGAGAATGAAAACCATTTTCAAATCTCATGGGCTTTGGGAATTGGTTGAGAAGGGAATGGAGTGCTCAGATTCGAAGGGAGCTGGCGAATCTGAAGCAAAGAAGAAAGAAAAGGAAGAATCGAGTGGTGCTGGGAAGATGATTGTCACCGAGCTACTCATGAAGGATGCTAAAGCTCTGGGTCTGATTCAAGGAGCAATGTCTGATGAGATCTTCCCCTGAATCTCTCATGAAGAAACCTCTAAGGGAGCTTGGGATATCTTGATGAAGGAATTTCATGGTGATAAACAGGTTAGAAGTGTTAAATTGCAAGGTCTACGTAGAGAATTTGAATATACAAGAATGAGAGATGATGAGTCCCTTTCTGCTTATCTTACGTTTGATCTGATAAACCAAATGAGGAGTTATGGAGAGGATTTAGCTAGAGCAAGGATTGTTCAAAAATTACTAATCAATTTGCCATCAGCTTATGATTCAATCTGTTCTGTTATTGAGCATTCTAAGGATTTAGATGAAATTGAGGTACAAGAAGTGGTAGCTTCTTTGAAGAGTTTTGAATTAAGGCTAGATAGGCACTCTGGAGATACGACTGAGAAAGCATTTGCTAATCTTAGTGTGAATCCCAAATCAGAAAAATACAGTGGAAATCAAAGTGGTTCTAAGGATCAAACGAATTGGAAGACAAAAGGCAAAAAGTGGGATAATAAGTCAACTGATAGAGCTAGAAACCCCTGCAAACATTGTGGCAAATTACATTTTGGTGAGTGTCGGTTTAAGGGAAAACCAAAATGTTACAACTGTGATAAATTTGGGCATATTGCAAAAGATTGCTACAGCAAGAAACCAGCACAACAGCTCAACTATGCTACTTAGACCGAATCCACACCAACCATGTTTTATGCTAGTAATAAAGGCTCTGCTAGTGTAAAAGGATGTGATGATGTATGGTATTTGGATAGCGGATGCAGCAATCATATGACTGGCAGAGAAGATGTATTAGTTGATGTTGATAAGAATATAACTGTAAAAGTTACAATGGGGACAGGACAATTGGTTGATGTTGTTGGAAAAGGAAATCTTGTTGTTGACACTAAGATGGGAAGAAGGTATGTCAAAGAGGTCCTGTTAGTTGCTGGTCTCAAGGAGAATTTGCTCAGTGTAGGGCAAATGATGGAGCATGGATATGTTCTGATTTTTGGTTCCAATAAGGCTGAAATTTATGATGATAGTTCTCTATCAAATTTGGTTGCTAAGGTGCAAATGAAAGGCAACAGAAGCTTTCCTTTGAAGCTTCACACAACTTTACAAGTTGCATTAAGAGCAAATGTAGAGTCATCCTTAATTTGGCATAGAAGAATGGGGCACTTAAACTTCACTAATTTGAAGCTGCTGCAAGATCAGGGAATGGTACTTGGACTGCCAGAAATTAAGCCTGTCAATGAAGTGTGTGAGGGCTGTACCTTTGGAAAACATTGCAGAGATTCCTTTCCAAAAGAAACAACAAGCAGAGCCACAATCCCACTCGAGTTGGTACACACAGATGTCTGTGGACCAATGCAGACTGTTACCAAAGCTGGAAATAGGTATTTTCTTATCTTCATAAACGATTGTACTCGTATGTGTTGGATCTATTTCTTAAGATACAAATCAAAAGTTCTTAATGTTTTTAAGAAATTTAAAGCCACTGTTGAGCTGCAAAGTGGATATAAATTGAAGAAAATAAGAAGTGATAAGGGGGAGAATATACTTCCAATGAATTCAACAAGTTTTGTGAAGACATGGGAATGGAAAGGCAGCTAACTGTGGCATATTCACCACAGCAAAACGGAGTAGCAGAACGAAAGAACATGACAATTATGGAGATGGCTAAGTGCATGATGATTGAAAAGAAGATGCCTCTAGAATTTTGGGATGAGGCAATAAACACTACTGTGTATGTTAAGAACAGATGTCCAACTAAGGCCTTAGACAAGAAAACTTCATTTGAAGCTTATAGTGGTAGAAAGCCAGGAGTTAAACATTTAAGAGTGTTTGGTTCCTTGTGCTATGCACATGTTCCAACTCAACAAAGGCAGAAGCTCGACTTAGCTAGTACAAGATGTATATTTCTGGGGTATGGCAGCTGTGAAAAAGGCTATAGACTATACAATATTGCATTTGGAAAAATGATTATTTCTAGGGATGTGATATTCAATGAGGCAGTGGTTTGGGATTGGAATGCACGAAAGAATGTGATATCTCAATACCCCTTAATGAGACACTCACTGAGAGAGAAGAGGAACCTAGTGATTCTAGCTTGAGTCAAGAAGAAATTTCAGAAGAGAGGCATGCTGATTTTGACTCAAGATCACAGGATGTTGATCACACACCTTTGAAATACAAGAGTATTGCAGAAGTGTATGCGAGATGTAACTTATGTATTATCAAGCCTGAGACTTTTGAAGAGGCTGTTAAGGATGAAGCATGGCAGAAAGCAATGGAGAATGAGATAGAAATGATAGAGAAGAACAAGACTTAGGAGTTGGTTGATAGACCAACTGATAAACCAGTAAATGGTGTTAAATGGGTTTATAAAACCAAGCTGAATCTGGATGGTACAGTTCAGAAAAACAAGGCTCGACTAGTGGCAAATGGCTATTCTCAAAAGCCAGGGATAGACTTCAATGAAACGTTTGCATCTGTTGCTAGGTTGGATACTATTAGAACATTAGTGGCATTGACTGCACAAAAGGGGTGGAAACTGTTTCAGTTAGATGTGAAGTCTGCATTTTTGAATGGAGTGTTGCATGAAGAGGTGTATGTGGATCAACCTCCTGGCTTTATGGTTAAGAACAAAGAGGACAGAGTTTATAGACTCAAGAAGGCATTATATGGACTTAAACAAGCTCCAAGAGCTTGGTATGAAGAAATCAATTCGTACTTCACCAAGGCAGGTTTCCAGAGAAGTCCAAGTGAAGCAACACTATACGTAAAGGCTGTAGAAAGTGGTATTCTTATTGTTTCTTTATATGTAGATGATATTATCTACACTAGAAGCTCAAAAGCCTTGATGATGGAGTTCAAAACTGAAATGATGAGGCAATATGAAATGACTGATCTTGGTTTGCTTCACCATTTCTTAGGGTTAGGAGTCATACAAACCGAGTCTTACATTTTCTTGCACCAGAAGAAATATGCTAAGACATTGCTAGACAAATTTGGCTTCAAGGACTGTAAAGCAGTAGCTACTCCTCTTGCGATAAATGAAAAATTATCCAAGGAAGATGGAAGTGAACAAGCTGATGAAGGGGTCTATAAGCAGATTGTTGGAAGTCTGTTGTACTTGACTGCAACAAGGCTAGACATCATGTTTGCAGCAAGTCTTTTGGCTAGATTTATGCATGGACCTACTAGAAAACATATGGGAACTGCAAAAAGGGTACTGAGGTACATTCAAGGCACATTTGATTATGGCATAGTGTATGAGAAAGGAAAAGAAGCAAGGCTCATTGGCTACTGTGACAGTGATTGGTCAGGGAGTGAGGATGACATGAGAAGCACCTCTGGATATGCTTTTAATCTTGGATCAAGTGTGTTGGGCTTCAGTCAAGCAAAGTAGTGTAGCTTTGTCTACAGCAAAGGCAGAGTACGTTAGTGCAGCAGAAGCTACTGCACAAGCAATTTGGTTGCGCTTTGTTCTCTCAGATTTTGGTGAAGAATAGGTGGAGGCTACTACAATCCTATGTGATAATACCTCTGCTATTGCCATAACCAAGAATCCGGTGCATCATCATAAGACAAGGCATATAAACAGAAGGTTTCACTTCATCCAAGATGCTTTGCAAAATGGAGAGATTGATTTACTGTATTGTAAAACTGAATAGCAGACTGTAGACATCTTTACTAAGGGTCTAGCAAGAGATCGATTTGAATACCTGAGAAGAAAACTTGGAGTAATCTCAGCTAAACACTTAGAAGGAAGTGTTGAAATATAAGTGTTTTAGCTGATATGCTTTTGTATTTAGTTTAAATTTACATATTTAAATGTAAGCCCTTGGATTATAGTCTAAGTGGACAGCTAAGATCTAATCTTAGAATAGAATAATGGATGGATAGATTTGAATGATGTAATTTGGAATGTATTATTTCAGCTGGTATTAGTGCATAGTGGGTGCGTGAGAAATACAACAGATTTCTTCTTTTAGCTCATTCCTCAAGCTCTCTCTCTCTCTCTCTCTCTCTCTCTCTCTCTCTCTCTCTCTCTCACTCTAAAATCCGATATGAAACTTTTACTCATTTTTCAGTAGACCTTGTAGCATGCGGGTTATAATCCAGATCATAGTCTGAATTCTACCATGTCCATCATGAGGTCATTTCAAAGGTAATAAGCACTGGAGATGAGCAATGAGTTCGTCGGATAGAAAAGTCTGAGCTGCTGATTCATATTACTTCAACTCCTCATAAGCACAAGTTATGTATGTCATAATATTTCTTAATATATATTTATCTTTGAAAGAATCATAACTGAAATTAACTATTTTTATTTTGTATCAGCCATAGTATACTGATTTAGAGATGGAGATGATGAGATCACCATTGGGAGTTAACCCCTCTGAGGCTCACTTTTCCTCCAGGTTTAATCCCATTATTGAAATGGTAAGGTCAGCAGGGATTCCGGCTTCTGACATCCAAATAGCCAATATAAAAGGAAGTGCAAGTAGTTCGATGGATGAGGAAATTGGCCCTGAGCAACTTGTAGTTGAGGTGAAAGTAGATGGAGGAAAATCAGGCTGATCTTGATCCAACATTTAGAACTTTAGTCCAAGTAAGCTTATTTTGTTTGTCCTTTGTATGTCGAGCGATAAAAGACGGACATCTAAAAAAGATACAATTGAAAAAATAAATATTAAAAAGAACTTTGTAAGTCACGCGTGAATAAAAAAAAGCCTCTGACATGAGTGGAAGTACGTGCAGCGAGGCTAGTATATATAAAGACTGAAGGCCTTAAAAGTGAAACATTCAATAACCCTAAAAGTTTCCTTGATCAAATAAGGTAATAAGAGACAATAAATTAATTTAATAAGGGTAATATGGTAACACAATTAATATTTAAATAAATTATTATTTAAAAAAAATTAAAAAACACAAACCCCCACCCTCTTCCTTTTTTAATATTTTATTTTTAATAATTAGTGCTAAATTTAGAAAGAAAAGAACACATAAAATTGCACTCCTCTTCCTTTTTATATATATATATATATATATATATAATTAGTGCTAAATTAGAAAAAAAAACACATAAAATTGAAAATTATATGTTAATTTATTTCAAAGTTAAAAAATAAATAAAGCCAATTGGAAAACCTCCGCATTGAAATATGTTGAACTTGACACCTAGGCAAACTCATCAAGTTCAAATGGGAGGAACTTGTTGAGCTTATTAGGAATTGGATTGTTGAGGAAATCAGAAAGTTTAAATTTAATTTGTGCTTCAAGAAAGGGAATGCCCTCGTCACTGCAATCTACAAAGTGTTCATGTTCAAGAAAGGGTTAAGACCTCGATTAAAGAGTTCTTAAGGTGGCTGGACATTTCAATAATTTTGGGTTGTGTTCATAGAAGAGGAGCAAAGGTTGTAGATTGGGGGATTTAATTGGTCAAGGAAGGAAAATTGGTATGGTGGCGGAGATGGTGAGGGGTTGGAGCACTACTACAAAAAGTGAAAAAGAAGACAAAAAAAAACGACGATTTAAGAGAAAACCGTCGTTGTGTTTGAAAAGACGACGGTTTTATAAAACCGCCGTGTAAGAATAACTTAAACACCTAAAAAATGGAGATTCCAATGGTTGTTTTTAAAAACCGACACACCTAATTAAAAAAGTGACGTCTTATTGAAAAGGTTTTCCTTAAAGTAAACTCTGAGCCCACAAACAACAGCAGAAGGTATGAATAGACCGACATAGAAAGTAAAGACGACGGTGTAAAAAAAACAGCCGTCGTTTTTACTCCGTAATTAACACGACCAAGTTTTCGTATACGGCGCCATATAATTTCAAACAAATCCATGGCGGTATATTATAAAATACCGCCGTATTAAATAAATGTACAATGACGGCAAAGATAAATTTATCGACTTATTTATTGTTTAGTACTACGACGGTATCTTTAATTCTAACCACGTTGGTTGTTCAATTAACGACGTATAATAAAATTTACCGTCGTATTTATTCACTTTATACGTCTACCCTTATATCTAAACCGTCGTCTTAATAATATTATTTTTTACTATTGATTTCTTGGATTTTGGTATCCTACTACGGTAGACCAACTTAATGACAAGAATTGTGAATAACCACGACGGTTTATATAGAAAACCGCCGACAAAATCATATTTTTCTAAGATCCCAAGAGATACGTCGTGAAGTTAAAATTACCGTCGTATTTATTCACTTTATACATCTTACCTTATATTTAAACCATCGACTTAATAGGAATTTTTTTAACTATTGATTTCTTGGATTTTGTTATTCTACGTTGGTAGATCAACTTAATGACAAAAATTGAGAATAACCATGACGGTTTATATAGAAAACCGCTAACAGAATCAGATTTTTCTGAGATCCCAAGGATTATGAAATCTTAACAGATGGAACTCTGTTCCTCATCATAATCGGACCACAGAAAGACAATATTTTAGAGGTTGATGATGTATGTGTATTTGTGTCTTTGAGATACACAAAGGCACATACACATCAACATCCAAAAATTTGCCTCTAAAACTTGACGACGGCACCCTCAAATTTGCATTCAGAGAGATAATTTTTTGGAAGTTGATGTTGTGTGTGCGTTTGTGTATCTACACAAACGCACACACATATCAACATCCAAACAATTGCCTCCTAAGAGGTGAGACAGAGCCAAGCACAAGAAGAAGTTGGAACCCTAATTGAAAACTAAAACTGAAAGAACTCGTGAAAAAAACTCTATTTATAAAAAAAAATTCAAATCCACATCGGTTATTTTACACCTAACGCCGTTTAAAAAAAAAGGCAGTTTTTAAGAAACACCACGACGCAAAACAAATAAAATGCGCCGTCTTAATCTTAGAGCAAAAAACCAACGCCATAATCTATTAAGTAACTGACGTAGAAAGTAAAGACGTCGGTAATGATAAACTTACCGACTTCAACCCTAAAACACTCAATAGAGCATTAAAGTAATTTAATAATCAAAATTAATTTAATAAGGTCAACTGTTATTTTTTGAGTTTGTTTATAAAAATTAAATGATGTTGAGTTTATCTATATCATTATTAATGCTAAGAATGAGTATATGACTAAATATCCCTAATTTTATTGTTTCACATCAGATTTTTTCCTTCATGAACAACTTTAGTCAATCCAAAGCTTATAGTATTATACAACAAGAAGTTCTAAATAATAAATAAAACATAAAATACAAATCCAAGCACACTCATCCAACAATTTCTACCAGGGACTAAATCTTAGCATCTTGGGCTTGATAAGTACATGCCAGCAGCTGCTCATCCTCTTGGAACTTGGCCATGTCTTCCTCCTTCAAATTAACCCATGCTTCAATCCCACCACCGGACTCGGTATCCATGAAGACAACCAAATTCTTAAACGGGAGGCTAGTCGATCCGACCCACACGGGCTTTACCCACCCAAAGTCCGTTTCATAAAGCGGGAACCTGCACAAGCTAGTAAAGTTCAACGACACCACTTCACCTTTCATAAACTCTGCTGCTCCCTGCTTCAAAAAGTTCAAGTGTGTGTCGCCATCTCTCATCTTACTCAGGTAATCACTGTCGATCGTCTTCAAGGGATCTCTCATCTGGCCAACCAGCCCATAACACATGGTCCTTGCTCCGGTCAAACGACAGCGTCGCAATCGCAAACCGGCTCACGTTTCCAATATGATACTTGGGAAGTGGTGGGTCCATCCTGGTCCGTAAGTTGACGGCGTGAAGCACTTTGTAAATTTTTTTTACAAATTTATAAATAAACCCAATCCTAGACATGTATTTATAAAAAAACTCAAGCACTATTTAAACATAGAAACACACTCAAAATCAACCTCAAAGTCAACTTTTTGGGTGTGTTTATAAATGGGTTTTGAGTGTGTGTAATGATGGGTTTTGGGTGTGTTTATATATTTAAATAGTGCTTGGGTTTTTTTTATAATTTCAATCCCCATTTTGGGTGTTTTAGTGAAACTCTCAATTTTTTTCGGGTTGGGCTCTCCTTGGGTGGAAGCTATAAACCGTGCCCATATAAAACATGACAGGGCCTCAATGCGGGTCGGGTATCTCTCATTCGAATTATATTCTGTGTACTTTGACCTAAGAGAAGCAACCATAGAAGCACTAAAAACAAACCTTTTGGTCACAATGTTTTCTCTGGTGATCCCAGTGCTTGGTTTGAACCCAGATATGCTTCTGGGTGGGAAGAAGGTGGCCACATCAAAAAGTGGGGGGCTAATTGTACTGTTCTTGATATCACAATCTCCTCGAGATACTGAAGCCCAGCTGTTTAGGAACGTGATGACTGAGAAGGCATCGACAATTTTGTGAGAAATGCAAATTCCAATTGCCATGCCACCACAGTCAAATATGTTGACTTGGACAGCAAGAACCAAGTCACCAACATTGTCTAGGTCATACGGGAGTAATTTGTTGTATTGGTTTGGGTCGGGTTGGGATATCATGTCAGATAGCGTGCAGTTCACTTGGGCTTGGATGTAATGTGCACCTTGGTCATTGCTGGTGACTTAGACAATGTTGGATCCTCATCATCCTATAACAATATTGAGAATTAAGGATGGTTTGAAGAAAGTGGCTCGGGATTGTCATATTTATAGTGCTCCAACGGTACCAATTAAGTCGGCCTACATCTTATCTTAATAAATAACGCGATATATGCAATATGGACGTACGTGTTCACTTTTCTCGCCACTACATGCAATATATACATCCCTAACCAGTTTTATATATCCGTATATATATACTCACACTGGCAAGAAATCGAACACTAACTTACAAGCCTTGATCAAGTCACCCAGAAATGTTATCAACGACCCAAAAATTTAGGATTTTCAGATGGAGAATGATAAAAATGTGGCTTATATATCCTCTCCTTGAATTGCCAGTCCCCATCATCTTATGCAAAACTCTCCTTGCTGGACCGCAATACGGTGACGTTATTCTTTCGATTTCTGGGATTTTTCTATGGTTTTTAAAACCCCAGCAAAAAGACAACAAACAACTAAACAATCTTAATCATACAGGTCTTAGTAAACCATCAACAGAGGCCTAAGCCAATCCATAATTTCCTCAATAAACCAGCAACCCAGGTCACTGTCGTGGCTCCAAGCAGCCAAACTATCAGCAACAGCGTTCTTCCCTCTGTAAATATGTAAAAAGTAGGGTCATTATGTAAATAGTCTATACAAAAATTCATCTACATAATTCTTAGTAGGTATATTATTCAAATGGTAGGTATATTGGATGACATATAATACCTAAATCCTAATCGTAAGTACATTAAAAATATAATTCGTTGGGGTATTTTTGGAATCTGAAAATTACAACAAATCATATTTTATGCTTACTTAGGTAACTTACTGAGTTGGATCCTAGTCATGGATTTTTACTTATACAAATTGGGTATTATTTATAGGAACAAAAAGTGAAGGATTGTAGGTACGGAAAATTGAATTTGAAGGATGTAAGCCAAATTTACTATAAAAAGTATTGGAAAAAATAAAAGGGAGTGTAAGTGGACAAAAATGGAGTGGAAAAATCAACACACTTTAAATATCATACGTTCAAATCCTTGGAGAGAGAGAGAGAGAGAGAGAGAGAGATTAGTTCTATGTATCCATGCTACTTTTCTTTTGTAGGCCCTCTATAATTCCTTCCCCTACATCTAGCAAACATAGAAGGGGGAAAATGCATATATAGTCTCCCCATACTAACAACCTAGGGATATAGAGTTTGGTATTTTTTTTTAAAATGAACTAGCTAGGCATTCGTGCCGATATGGGTTTCAGATCACATAATCATATTTTCATTTGTCATATCATGTTAATTAGAATGCGAGCATTCAATTCAAAATCAATTGATAATGGTTGAAGAGTTCCAATATGTTTAAGCTCATATTAGGTTTTCTATCTCCAATGTGGGACTCAACAACCTTCAACCTCACCCCCCCCATACTTTTCAAGGCTAATGTTTCGTTACATTCTACCAAATTCATCAATTAATTAGTGAACAATTTTACTGTTAAAACTAATTAATCAGTTATATCTATATTTCTCTTAAAAAATTTACCAAACTTTGCGGTGACAAGGGTCTTCAGAAGAACCACACCTATGCACGTATATATGCAATTAAGTACGCTCTACATTACTAATTAATTATTAGGCTTTTTATCACAAAACGTCTCTGACGTTTGCAAAACTATCAGATTGCATCCTCAAAGTTTTTTTGTATCATTCATGGTCCCTAACGTTAATATGGGTGCTCTTAAATAGTCCATCTGTCAAAAAAACTGTTAAATCCAGGGTTATAATCGTCCAATCAATCCCTTTTGACCTCTTCAATGCCTCATCAACTCACAGTTTTAGTGACAAAAAATCTGAAGAACACCGTCGCAGAAAAGTTTTAGCCACGAAAAATCTGATTAACATCCGTCTCTAAAAACCTTTGGTGATGAAAAAGCTTCAAATTTCTGGGCAAAATAGCGACCGGGTATTTTATCGTTTAGCTCAAGACCTGTCTCTCTGTCCAGAATCTGTTCTACTTCCATAATCTCAGGTATTTTATCTCGCAGGCGGGTCTCAATTCCCATCTTTAGTGTCATTGTTGAGCTGGGACATGACCCACAAGTTCCTTGCAGTTTTAATACCACAACAAGGCCATCTATCTCATGTAGTGCCACATTCCCACCATCAGCCATCAAGCCAGGTCATACCTCATCCAAGACTTTCTCTACATTTTCTTTACTTTACATCTAAAATCATTCTAAGTTACATGGAAATATGTTATAAAACACCGCTGAATCGATGAACTTAACTTCTTTTTTTCGGGTCAGAATTTATTTAAGTGGGTTTCCATTAATTAATTAACTTGCTAATCTGCAATACATCATATGATCATATGCAGGGGCACGCAGCAAGATGAATTCCTTCAGGTGAGGAGGAACCAGCTGGACCTTACTCTGGAACCATTATCTTCATGCAACTTCGGATGCTTTGCTGCTTGATCATCAATCAGTACAAAAAGAACAAAATAAAACTACATATGTTGGTTTGGCTGTGTATTAAATTTCTGATTTCTTGGTAAATTTGAACCTAGACATTGCTAAGGCATGTGATCGCAATCCAATCATTGACAGACTGATTATCAAACACAGCCAATGAGGATTTGAACTTTGAAAAAATGTTCTATTTTATTGATGCCATAATTGTTGAGTAAATATATGTATGCTATAAACTCTATGTGTGACTGCCTTTTTGTCTAATTTACCAACCAAAAAAGAAAGAAATAATTGAATGGTAAATGAAGTTAGGTTATAGAAAATGTTTGAATATAAGACACTGTGGTTATGCACAAGAAAAGGAAATGGAAATATCATGTGAATGGAGTTCATATATACGAGAAAGGTTAACAGCTAGAATAACATATATCTTATTTTGGACAATTAATCCAGGGATTGATTTGACGATTATATCCCTGGATTTAATATTTTTTTGACAGATGGACTATTTAAGAGCACCCATATTAACATTAGAGAGCATAAGTGATACAAAAAAACTTTAAGGATGCAATCTGATAGTTTCACAGACGTCAGGGACGTTTTGTGATAAAAAACCTAATTATTATTAATACCGATAGTCCTATTTTTTTTTCCCTTCCTACATTAGCTACAAGATTTGCTATCTGACGTACGAATTGATGTTAGCTAGTTAAATTTGGGAAAACTCGCATAAAAGGAGAGCAAACACATAAATTAGTATGACGTACAAATACGATTGACAGAGATCAGTTATTGGAAATATACTCAAATAAATCATTAATTAATTAAGAGCCATGCCTAGTAAATTGGGGGTTTCACTAAAACACCCAAAATGGGGGCTGAAATTATAAAAAAACCCAACACCCAAAACACTTTATAAACACACCCAAAACCCATCATTACACACACTCAAAACCCATTTATAAACACACCCAAAAAATATACAATTGTTGATTTTGGGTGTGTTTCTATGTTTAAATAGTGCTTGGGTGTTTTTATAAATACATGTCTAGGATTGGGTTTATTTATAAATTTGTATAGTAAATTTTCAAGCTTGGATTAATGTCTAGACACATATCCATTCTGAAATCTTGCACGGATATATAAATGCACCTAAATTGACGTTAACACATTTGAAAATTTCTCCTCTCTTTTAAAGCACTTAAATTAGGGTTTCCGTTATTGATAGATATTTCTAGCTGATTGATTAAGGCAGCATTCAATTTAGTTGTCAATGGTTTTATCACCAACTACCTAGTAAACCAAACCTAGTAAACTTGCATGGACCTAAATTAGGGTTTGTGTTAGCTTAGATATATAATTAGAGGGGTGATTTCCCCACTCATTTTTCTCCTATTTTATCCACTTACACTCCTTTTTTATAACTAAAAAAGGAGTGTAAGTGGTTAAAATAGGACTGGGGAAATCATTGCCCTATAATTAACACAAACTCGCATGGACCATACCTCGTAAACCAACTATATTTTCAAGCTTGTATTAATTTACGTGGGTAGCCCATTTATGTGTAATATGGGACTTATCTCATGGCTTAGATTGTTCACGCAAACTTACATGGATGGTTATGTGCACAGGGCAGAGTGGGTGCCCACCATCCCAAATTTTTTTAAACAAAAAATAATTTCGTATCTTATAAGTCTAGCCCAACTCTCTCTCTCCCTCTCTCTCACTCAGTGGCGGATCCAAAAAATTTTCAGCGGAGGTGCAATTTTAAAAAGTTAAGAGCTCAAAATAAAAGTAAAAAGACAACTAAACATCCTTATAATTTAAACAATACTAATGTTATTCATAATTAATTAAAAAAGACAACTAAGCCTCTTCGTCCTCGAGTTTGCTACTGATTTTACTAATACAGAGAGAGCTAAATAAGAAAAAAAATTATTCAAAAAGAAAAAAAAACAAAAAAACAAAAAAACAAAAAAAGAATAAACAAAATTGGCGTTTGCTCAAGAAAAAAATAAATATGCATTCGACTTACTTTGGATTGGCGTACTCAAGAAGGAAAAAAAAATGCAGGATTCTTATGATGCACACACACTTTGATGAAATTGGGTAATGTTAAATTGGTCTTTTATGAAGAGAATTCCTAATCCTACTTAAATAAGGAATTCCCAAAACTCAATTGAATAAAGGGAACTCTCAATTAAAACCCAATTAAGTAAGGAATTATACAAGCCTTTGAAAAGCCCACGAAATGGCCAGTAGTTTCCCTTTCTTTTCTTTTTTTCTTTTTTTTTAAAACCCTGGTCCAAAATGACGTCGTTTTGGCCAGGCTTCGTTAAAAAAAAACAAGCGCGCAAGCTTTGCATCATTCCTGCTTGAAGGAAAGGGCCGCACTATTTTTAGCCACTCAGAGATAGCCTTTTTGATCTTATTGGCTTAAACAGACCATTCATGAGCAAATAAGATCAAAGAAAGCAACCTACAGTCCCATCCATGCATACTAACTATAAACAACCGATTTGCTTATTCAACAACTCTCTAATCAGTTTAGGCTAGTGGTTTGGGCATTTCGTCAAACAGGTTGTGTGTGTCCAGCAGAGGTGCAACTCCAACAGCTGTAATGGAGTTTTCCGGCCACCGGAGGTGCATCTGCACCTTCTTGCGCCTGCACAGGTCCGCCACTGCTCTCACTCTTGGGTGGACATCTTCTCATTCTCATTGTCAACAAAAAAGTATTCTTCTCATTCTCTCATATCCTATATATAATCATAGTTTTGATTAAAATTGAGTATTCTAGGAATTAATTAGGGATGAATTATAATTTGGAGATTTTGTTAAAATTTAAGGCTTTGATTTTAGGAATTTTGTTGAGATGTTTGATTTGTTGTTGATATTGTTGAGATGCTCTATGACAATTCTTTTGATTTTTTTGTTGGTATTAAAAAAAAAAAAAAAACAAATTCTTCTATAAATTTTTTTTTTCTATGTATAGAGATGTATTTTAGGATAAGGCTTATTATGTCCCCCATGTATCTTTTTATGTTTATTAATGAAATTTACTCGTACCATTAAATTTAGTATGTGAGTTTTGCCCATCTGACTTTTGAGTCATTCACCTAGTCTGCAGATGCGCTAAACGCTAGCATCCATAAAGAAGCTGTAAGTTTTTGCTCCAGAAGAAGACCAAAACTCCAGTAGCATCATCCTTATGAATGAAGTATGCATCGTAATTGCAAACAAAATGCATGATTTTATTGAACAAATGAGGCTGCATTTTATATAGCCCTCGAAAATCAAAACTAGAGTACAACGAACTTGGGATAAAGTAATCTTCCAAGAGATTCTTACCCCGAAAATGCCTACGTCTGTCCACGTTCGGGCCATGGCCAACTTGTGCATCACGGTGGCCTTGGCTTGATTGATGGAGCATACCCTATGGCAACTTGATCACCATCTTTTTCCTCCTCCCTTTCTTCTCCAGCTTGTTTGTGCCTTCTTTCTTCATTTTCTCCCTTTTGCCTCCCCAACAACCTCCTCGTGCAAGATATTGAGAGTAGACTGTGTTTTCTAAAATTTAAGAAATGAAAGGATAGAGAGGATATGGTGTGAGATGTTTGAGTTGAGGTTGTGGTTTTATAGAGGGACTTAGAATATAAAGATGACACGTGGTGTAATTTTAGAGGGTGACAATATTATCTGAAATATGAGATTTGTATTTTATAATAAATATCGACACGTGGCAACTGAGAATCTGATTTGAAATTTGAGATGTCAATTTTATAATAAATACGAACACTTGGCAATCAAAAATCTTATCCGAAAATTTTATCCTAAAATGTTATTAGAAATATGATATGTGAATTTTATAATAAATATTGACACGTGACAACTGAAGATCTTATCTAAACTCTTATCCAAATTAATTGTTGAAGTATAAAAAATTAAAAAAAATTAAGGGAATAGTAATTGCCCTTTACCATGCCAATAGGTGGAAACACAACTTGCCTTTTGTAAGAGCTGACATTATTCATGTTAATAGTAATAACTCTTGCATCCCCTTGCCCATTGCCATGGCAAATGGGTGGAAATGCTCTTTTATATATAATATATATATATATATATAATTTTCCTGGTTTATATTGAAAAGGAAAATACTTGCCTTCTTTTCCTAGGAATAGTAGCTCATCTTTCCTATCAATTACAAATACATGCGTAAATCTTTCCTTTTGTCTTTCTAATTATTTTTTTTTTCTGTGTCATAATGTTATTTGTATGAACCATGAATGTTTTCATCCAAAGAAAAAGGCAACCATCACCTTAAAAGAAAGACTATTTTTAACTACAACACGATTTACACTATAATAATAGTAGAGATATATAATTTTCTTGGTTTCAATATGCGGAAGAAAAACACTTGTCTTCTCCCCTAGGCGTAGTAATTCCCACTTTTGTGACAATTCTAGTTTGACATGTGCACATAAATATTTCTTTTTATGTTTATAATTGCCCATACGTCAAAATGTAACTTACATAAACTAGGATTGTCTCCATGGAGGAAAAGAAACCACACATACCCTAAAATCTATATTAACAAACAAATAAAATGTCTTTTAAACTACAACACGGCTTGCACTAAATTTTTATTTTTATTGATCATGTTTACTATTGTCCTAAAGAATAGCTAGAAGCTAGTAACAAAAATACATGATCAAATTTAATTTCAACATAATTCCATCCGAATTATTGGTACATCTTAGTACATCTCCAAGGATCAAATGAGGTTTACCTACTTTTTGCCTCTTCCCTTGGAGATACTCTTATAATATCATTATTTTGTTTTCCTTTCACTTCCATCGTGTTCTTGTTAAATGGATAAAATTTAGCACGTTTCTTGAGAAATTGAATTCATTTACAAAAGAAAAAACAAAAGTCAACATAGTATTTTCTTTTCCCTATCATTCTATTACTCTCTGCTATCTAGATAATCTCATCCTAATTATTTGTACATTTTATATCATCACACTAATTTTATCTTTGCAATTCTCTAGCACTGATTGCTTCTGTATAAGGGAACTATGCTACCCACACACACAACAACTTGCAAACAATCTGGGTCCCCGCCCCAAACCGCAACATACTCGTGGAAGATAGAGTCTTGGTCGTCGTCCATGCTGCGAACCTGAACATACTCTTGGGTTTCTATATCGAGGTCGAACGTGAACAAGCGGCCTTCTTGGGAAACTATAAGAAGCAACTCATCATGGTTGCTGCCCCTCAAAGATCGCAAAGGTGTCACGATATCTTCCAACGATGTAAAGGCAAATAGCTTGGTCCAAACGCCGCCACCACCAAAGCCATCATCCATTAGCCATAATCCCATCTATCTATCATGAATGGATGCATAAACAGCAACGGATTCATCCTACACAACGAGCTAATTATCTGGACTATAGCCCGAGTCGTATATGATGTCAGGAAACAATGTAGGATGAAAAACCTTGTCAACTATATCAAATGAAACGATCCATTGCCTAACTGTTTGGTTCTATTTCATGTCAAACACACTGATGAACTCCTTCAGTTGCTCATTTACCTCCCAATTGTTTCGCTAACTTGTTTCTTTTATATGCATAGAACAACTGAGATTGGCCCCATTGTTGATAAGGAAAGAATGGTGGCAGAAATCCCAAAAACAACTTCAGAAACTACTTCTATCTTCAAGACTCCAGTGCATGTCCATCATGAGGTCATTTCAAAGGTAGTAAGCACTGGAGATGAGCAATGAGTCCGTCAGACAAAAAGGTCTGAGCTGCCGATTCATATTACTTCAACTCCTCCTAAGCACAAGTTATGTATGTCTTATGATTTCTTAATATATATTTATCATTGAAAGAATCATAACTGACATTAACTATTTTTATTTTATATCAGCCACAGTATACTGATTTAGAGATGGAGAAGATGGGATCACCATTAGGAGTTAACCCCTCTGAGGGTCACTTTTCCTCCAGGTTTAATCCCATTATTGAAATGGTGAGGTCAGCAGGGATTCCAGCTTCTGACATCCAAATAGCCAATATAGAAGGAAGTGCAAGTAGTCCGATGGATGAGGAAACTGGCCCTGAGCAACTTGTAGTTGAGGAGGAAGTAAAGATGGAGGAAAATTAGGTTGATCTTGATCCAACATTTAGAACTCTAGTCCAAGTAAGCTTATTTTGTTTGTCCTTTGTAAGTCGAGCGATAAAAGGCAGACATATAAAATAGATACAACTGAAAAAATAAATATTAAAAAGAACTTTGTAAGTCGTGCGTGAATTAAAAAAAAACCCTCTGACATGAGCGAAAGTGCGTGCAGAGAGGCTAGTATATATAAAAACAGAAGGCCTTAAAAGTGAAACATTCAATAACCCTAAAAGTGCCCTTGATTAAATAAGGTGATAAGAGACAATAATTAATATAATGAGGGTAATATGGTAACACAATTAATATTTAAATAAATTAATTGAAAACAAATTAAAACACACAAACCCCCACCCCTCTTCCTTTTTCAATATTTGTTTTTAATAATTAGTGCTAAATTTAGAAAGAAAAAAACGCATAAAATTGCACGCCTCTTATTCTTTTTTTTTATTCTTTTTATATATATATTTGGTTTAATAATTAGTGCTAAATTAGAAAGAAAAAAACACATAAAATTATATATAAAAAAATATGTTAATTTATTTCAAAGATTCAAAATAAAAAAAGCCAATTGGAAAACCTCCGCATTGAAATATGTTGAACTGGACACCTAGGCAAACTCATCAAGTTCAAATGGGAGGAACTTGTTGAGCTCATTAGGAATTGGATTGTTGAGGAAATCAAAAAGTTTACATTTGATTTGTGCTTCAAGAAAGGGAATGCCCTCATCACTACAATCTACAAAATTTTCGTGTTCAAGAAAGGGTTAAGACCTCGACTGAAGAGTTCTTAAGGTGGCTGGATATTTCAGTAATTTTGGGTTGTGATCATAGAAGAGGAGCAAAGGGTTGTAGACTTGGGGAGCTAATTGATCAAGGAAGGAAAATTGGTATGGTGGCGGGGATGGTGAGGGGTTGGAGAAAATGGTTAAAGCTTCTTGGAGATCAATTCAACTTCAACCTTCAATCTAATTTTCTCTCCTAATGATCAAACCTTGATCGAGTTGTGCCAAAATTTTGAAGACATGAATCTGCTTGTATTGTGATCAAGCTTATACACGTAGGAACTTAGTGTTAAATATAAATGCAGATTTGTGTAAATATAAAACAGATTAAATATAACCAATTAAAACAAATCACAAGTAACAATAGGTAGATTAAAGGAAAAAGAAAGTATGGCCTGTGAACCCAAGAGAGGCACGATAACCGCTGTCCTAAAGCCGTAGACGCCTTCCTACGTGCAGGTTATGGCGGTGTCTACAACTCCAAGATACAACCCAAAAGCCTCACAGGATGTCTGGTCCGTTATGCACGCCAACGGCAGACAGGTATGCCAAGTGTTGATTGATTGCCAAGGAAATAGATAAAGAGAATTGTAGGAGATGGAGAATGATGAGTGTGATTCAGATATGGAGGATGAGAGTAACAGAGAATTGTTTGTATTATGTTATGAATGAGGAGTTCTTTATTTATAAGACTCCAGACACCCTTTTATAGAGTCACGTCTATTGAGTCAACAAATATGACTCTTAAAATAAATAACTATTACTGTTAAATATATAACAATAATAATAAGTTTTGAATTTTAATAAAATAAAACAAAGTAATAAATAACTAACAATCCCCCACAAAATCCAAAACTTCATAAGGAATAGTAAAGATGAAAAACAAGTAAAGACAAGGAAACTTGGGCAATTTGTATACCGTGCAATGGGTGTAGGTGTCTTCCGGACTTGAACCTACACTTAGTGTGAACAGCTTTCATATGAAGGAATCATAGTGAACTATGTCTTGAACTAGACCCCTTTGATTCAAATTACAACATGTTACACACATGGTACCAATCCATAAACTTGGCGTGGGTTAGCGCTATTAATGGCCATGCGCTTAATCTTGATTCTCATGAAAGTTATTAGAGAACAACCCAATTCTCACAGTCGCGGCCTCACAACTACTTTCACTTAGGTGAGTCCTCCAAGAGTACATGTGACTTGTACCCTACGAGAGTATGCTCGCCTCGAAACTCATTCAGGATAATGTCCTTCCTTAATGTCACATTCATCAGCACTAATGTCATAGGGATGAGCAGGAGATTTTAATTAATATCTTCTATTTTAGAGTGCTGGAATCTAAGTCACGCAATATGAATTGTTAATACCCATTGAACCTTCTTCATGGGATCTCCAATCACAAAGGTTGGGTTACCTCCCTAGGTGACTTCCTTACGGGCTTAGGCCCATCCCCCTCGACAAATCTAGGACTGCATTCCTAGATAGACCTTTGGTCAACTGATCAGCAATATTCTTTTCTGACTTCACAAAATCCAAGGATACCACTTCCTTATTTAATAGGCTTCTCACAGACTTATATCTAACTTGAATGTGTCTATTCATTTTCTTATTTGTATGAGCTTGTCTTACTAAATCTATGACAGCCTTATTGTCACAATGAATAGAAAAAGCTGGTATGGGTTTGTTCACAAGGGGTATCTCAAGCAAAAAATTCTCAATCCATTCAGCCTCAGTGCATGTAGTATCAAGAGCTATAAGTTCTGACTTCATTGTACTTCTTGAAATTATTGTTTGTTTCTTGGATGCCCAGGATATAGCTGCTCCTCCTAACAAAAATACATATCCTGAAGTAGACTTTACATCAGAACTATCTGTAATCCAATTAGCATCACTATACCCTTCTACTACACAAGGAAAACCTTTATAACATATTGAGTAATCCAAAGTTCCTCTCAAATACTTGAACACTCGCTCTAAAGCATTCCAATGATCTCTACTTGGGTTATGCGTATATCTGCTCAATCTTCCTACAGCATAGGCTATATCTACCCTAGTTTTATTTGCAATGTACATCAAAGATTCAATCATTTGTGAATACTTAAGTTGAGACACAGGCTCACCATTATTTTTCTTTAAGCTCACACTAGGATCATAGGGTGTTGAAACTGGATTGCTAGTAAAATAGTTGAACTTTTTGAGCATTTTCTCGATTGAACTAGATTGATCCAAAGTAAAGCCAGCTTGTGTTCTTTCTAATTTCATTCCCAAAATAATGTAGGCTTCTCCTAGATCTTTCATATCAAACTTCCTTGATAGATAAGACTTCACATCTTTCACAATCTTCAGATTTGTTCCAAATAATAATATATCATCAACGTAAAGACACAATATAACACAATCTCCATCACACTCCTTGTAGTAAACACACTTATCATGCTCATTTATCTTAAAATCATATTCTAAAATGACTTTGTCAAACTTTTCATGCCACTGCTTAGGAGCTTGCTTAAGTCCATAAAATGATTTAACCAACTTACATACTTTATGCTCCTGACCTTTCACAATAAATCCCTCAGGTTGCTCCATATAGATTTCTTCGTCTAAGTCTCCATTCAAGAACGCTGTTTTAACATCCATTTGATGAACTACTAAGTTGTGTATGGAGGCTAATGCTATAAGGGTCCGAATAGTAGTGATCCTAGAGACAGGGGAGTAAGTATCAAAATAATCAATTCCTTTCTTTTGAGTGAATCCCTTGGCTACTAATCTAGCCTTGTATTTGTCTATACTTCCATCTGGCTTCAATTTCTTCCTAAACACCCATTTACAACCAATTGGTGTAGTCCCAGGTGGTAAATCTGTTAATTCCCAAGTATTATTTTGTAAAATAGATTGACTCTCACTATTTATTGCCTCTTTCCAAAACGGAGCATCTATTGAGATCATAGCTTCTCTATAAGTTGTAGGATCTCCCTCAACCAAGAATGTATAAAAATCATCTCCAAAACTTTTTTCTACTCTAGGTCTCTTACTCCTTCTAGGTTCTGCTAGAGGCTCTGCTTCATTTACAACTGGGAGACTAGTACTAGTGGAGGCTTTATCAGAACCATTATTAGATCTAGATCTATCTACTACTTGCTTCTGAATTCTAGTCTTGAAAGGAAATATGTCCTCAAAGTAAGTTGCATCCCTTGACTCCAATATTGTGTTATTAGAAATTTCACTTATTTCAGAATTTATGACTAGAAACCTATTGGCATTGCTATTATGAGCATAACCTAAGAAAACAGAATCCACAGTTTTTGGTCCAATCTTCTTCCTCTTAGGTTCAGGGATTGCAACTTTAGCCAAACACCCCCACACTTTCAAGACTTGAAGATTATGAGCTCTCTTCTTCCAAACTTCATATGGAGTAGTAGTGTTGTCTTTAACAATAACTCTATTTAATATGAAGCATGCAGTCAAAATTGCTTCCCCCCACAAATTGCCGGGTAATCCAGAACTCAATAACATTGCATTCACCATGTCCAATAAAGTCCTATTCTTCCTTTCTGCAACTCCATTAGATTGTGGAGAATAGGGTGCTGTCACTTGATGTATTATACCATGCTCTTCACAAAACACACTAAGATCATTGAGAGTATATTCACCACCTCTATCAGACCTAAATCTCTTAATTCTCCTTTCTAATTGATTTTCTACTTCATTCTTGTAAACTTTGAATTTGTTAAATACTTCATCCTTGGTCTTTATCAAATAAATATAACAGTACTTCGAACAATCATCTATAAATGTCACAAAATACTTATTTCCAGCTCTAGTAGGTGGCCTATTTGAATCACAAACATCACTGTGTATAAGCTCCAAAAGTTGGGTATTCCTCTCAACAGACTTAAAGGGTTTTTTAGGTTGTTTAGCTTGTACACAAATTTCACACTTGTGCTTGAGGTTTAAGGCTGACTTCGGAACTAAGTCTAAATCCATCATCTTTTTTATTTTCATCAAGTTTATGTGCCCCAACCTTCCATGCCAAACATTACTTGATTCCATATTAAAAACTTTAGGATGAATAACCTCTGAATGTACATTTAACTTGAACAATCCTTCACAGATAAAACCTTTACCAATAAATACATTATTCTTGGTTATTACAACCTTATTTGATTCCAATACAACTTTGTAGCCTTGCTGTACTAAACAAGATCCACTAATTAAATTTCTTCTAACATCAGGTACATGTCGCACTTCCTTCAATACTAAAACCTTTCCAGATGTCATCTTTAGTTCTATATCTCCAATTCCAAGCACTTGTGCGACTGTGTCATTTCCTAGAGTTACACTTCCTCCACTTGATTTCTGGTAGTTTTTGAAAAAACCATGATCAAAACAAACGTGTATATTAGCTCCAGAATCTAACCACCAGTCCTTATTTTGATAAGTAAAATTGACTAAAGAATCATACTTAAAGTTTGTTTGGGAGGGCTCTTGTTCCACCAGCATATGCACTTGAGCTCTTGAACCATTATGATTTGACTTTGATCTGTACACCTCAGTCTTCTTATGAAAACAGTCCTTAGCCACATGATTGGTTCTTCCACAAACAAAGTCTTTTCAAAATTCCTATTTTGGTTGGTTTGTCTATCCTTAAAGTACCTTCTCCTTGGTTGGAAATTCTTCTTATTGTTCCGAGTATTGAACTTAGACTTGTTATCCTTATTTTTGTTGCTGTTGTTCTCAACTAAGTTCACAGTTGGTGGTTTCTCAATTTCTTTCTTTTGGCTTGACCTATGTTTCTCTTCAACTCTTAGAGAATTTATTACTTGAACCAAAGTAAGTTCTCCTTGTTTATGCCTTAAGGTTCTAGCAAATTCATCCCAAGATGGAGGTAACTTATCAATAAGACAAGAGACCTTTAAATCTTCACTAAATTTGGTTCCTTTCTTTTCTACTCCTCTTAATAGCTCTTGATACTCATGAATTTGTTCTCCCACAGACTTGTTTTCAAGTATTTTATACCCATTAAAATTAGATACTGTAAACCTATCAATTCCAGCATCCACAATTCCATATTCGGCCTCTAAAGCCTGCCAGAGTTCTTTGGCAGTAGATGTAGTAGCATGGTACACATCATAAAGATGATCAGACAGGGCACTCAAAATTCTATTAAAACTATGGTATTCAATTTGTTCTGGGTTTAGCCAAGAAGATGACTCTGTACTTGGTTGTGATTCCTCAAGGGCAGAAATTAATCCGAGGACAGTTAACCAATATTTCACTTGTTTTTGCCACCTACGAAAATTATGACCGCTAAATTTTTTAGGTTTAACACTATTGGCTTCTTCTAAGTTTGCCATTTGGTAAACTAATTTCTAAGATTAAGTGAGAGAGATCAGATTGCTATGACACTGTAAAAATAAAATAAAACAGAATGTCACACACTAGTTTGCAAGCAATTTATTCTAAACTTAGAAAATATTTGACAGATGTAATTCAAATTTGAGATACAGACCACAAAGTTCAAACTTGAAAGTGCGAATTAGGTTTTAATCAAAACTAAATGGCTATCTATTATGTTAACCAAGAAAACTAACATCCAGAAACTTTAACAATTATCAAAACCTATATTTTCCAGAAACAGTTTAATCTTACAGTTTTTCTATGAATCTGTTTCTAAAGTGACGAAACACAGAAGTGCAATAATTATAACAATATTTACACAAACTAACAAATTAAACACAAACAACCAGAAGACAAATATACGGCTTTAGAATGTTAAATATAAATGCAGATTTGTGTAAATATAAAACAGATTAAATATATCCAATTAAAACAAATCACAATTAACAATAGGTAGATTAAAGGAAAAAGAAAGTCTGGCCTGTGAACCCAAGAGAGGCACGATAACCGCTGTCCTAAAGCCGTAGACGCCTTCCTACGTGCAGGTTATGGCGGTGTCTACAACTCCAAGATACAACCTAAAAGCCTCACAGGATGTTTGGTCCATTATGCACGCCAACGGCAGACGGGTATGTCAAGTGTTGATCGATTGCCCAGGAAATAGATAAAGAGAATTGTAGGAGATGGAGAATGATGAGTGTGATTCAGATATGGAGGATGAGAGTAACAGAGAATTGTTCGTACTTTGTTATGAATGAGGAGTTCTTTATTTATAAGACTCCAGACACCCTTTTATAGAGTCACATCTATTGAGTCAACAAATATGACTCTTAAAATAAAGGGAGCTTTAGTAATATACCCAAAATAGGGACTGAAATTATAAAAAAACCCCACATGAAATGCACTTTAGAAACACACCCAAAACCTATTTACTAAATAAGAAATGAGTGTTGAAGTTCCTATAAATTACATCTCTACCATTGATTAACTTAAAACAAGCCCAACACAAAAAACTCAAAAAGAACCCAAAACAAGCCCAATCCAAAATTTTTAAAAAAACCCAAACTAAAAAAAAATCATGAAAATTAAGGAGCTGTCCTTACGACCCTTCTCCACTGAACTTCCGTACACTGTTAATACCATGTGATAGAAGTACATTGTTAATACCATGTGATAGAAGTACATTATTAATACAATTTCATAGAAGTACATTGTTAATACGATGTTATAGAAGTACACTGTTAATATCATATGATAGAAGTACATTGTTAATACCATTTCATACAAAAAAAAATTAAAAAAAAACTATAACAACCCAGCAAGACATCCGATATCTTTTGCAGAAACCACCTCCAATTGTTCATAGTTTCACTACATACAATCGCAAAGGCAAAATGAAATATCTTTACAAAAAGAAAAAAAAAGTACACTGTTAATACTTTGTCATAGAAGTACACTGTTAATACTATGTCATAGAAATGCAGGGTATGAACAGTTATTATACAGTTCATACCACTTACTGGAAGTTAACAACTACATCATTTCATTTACATAATCGGTACGATAAAAGTGTACAACTCCATACCACTCAAAATCAATTACATCATTTCATTTGCATAATTAATTGATCCTTCATCACTTCACATACCATAAACATTGAATCAGAGCGATTCCCACATATACTGCTCATCATCATTGTGCTTGGTAGTAACAATGACCTTATCTACAACAAGATATGCACCAGCAGCAGCCAAGGCTTCCATAAATTCCTTGGTGCTAGACCTTGCAATGGTACCAAGGTTGTTCACCAAATCTGACAATACGAAATAAGAACAAAATAATTAAGCATAATAGAATAATTGGAACAACACAGTTAACAATTATAAGCCCAAAGCGCATAACTAATAAGGTGAAATAGTACATAGAATTTGAATAGTCTGCTATTTCACTACAAACTATAGGGAAAATATGAAGCCATTCACTCCCCACGTCAAAATTTCAATATAAAGTTATTGTAATGCTAAGTGGTTACATATATTGTAATGTTAACTCGTTACACAATGAAGTAAATAAAATATCTCCTTTTTCAGGACCTCCATGGACCTACCAATCTCTATGAGTTTGCAACAAGAAAGATAGATAAATGTTTAAATGACAATAATTAAACTAAAGTTGTTGCTTTAACGGTCATTTTTATGTGGTCAACAGATAAATATGTAGAGATTAATATGGGGCACCAGAATACATAGTAGCATGGCAAAGCTAGTAGTGTGATACATTATTGAAACTTTATTCGAGAAATCTCAGAGGATTCTTTTTCCAACAAAAGTTTCTGGAGAGACAGAGAGAGTTTTTCAATTTGTATAAAAGATCAGTCCCACACATACACACGTACGCACACCAACCCAACTCTCTCTCTCTCTCTCTCTCTCTCTCTCTCAATAACAACCAAATAAATAAATATACAGAAGAAGAAGAGAAGAAGAAGAAGAAGTTTGGTTTGGTGCAAGTCCCCGTGTGCTGTATAGGAATATTTAAAATAAGTTGTTGCAGGCAGAATCTATTCAATATAAAGTTTTCTACCAATACATATTCTTAGTCTGAATTCCATAGGAGAGCAATCTCTTCTTTCTCTCATGAAAAAGGCAAGGCAAAAGAGAAACAAAAAGCATAAACAAAATGGGGGAAATGACAGTATTTTTTTAAATAAATATTGAGCAGTCTAAGACAATCATCAACCAGCATGCATATTAGTTAGAAATTAGGAATGCAAAGAGCATGAAATTCAATAGTTAATATTAGCACCATATATGACTTCAACTTCAGCTAATGTGACAAAATCAATCATCATCAATAAAGTAAGGAGCAAGGGCAAAACAAGGCAAAGCAATAGCATCTCAATTATGGCTAGGAACTAGAAAGGAAGGAGGACTACTGATTGAAAGTTGAGACAGAAGAGCTGCTAAGCTGAGCAATGATACGGATTCATGGCGAACTGAACTTTGGAGCAATTAGTGAAGCAAATGCCCGCAACCATATCCTCCGCCGCCACCTTTGGAGCTGTAACCTCCGTTACCACCACTGCCGCTTCCACAAGACTGGGCCTCGTTGACGGTGATGTTACGACTGTCGAGGTTCTGGTCGTTCATGCCTTCGATCGCATCCCTAATGGCCTTCTCGTTGTTGAAGGTGACGAAGTCGAAGCCCCTGGACCTCCAGGTTGTTGATGATCTGGAAACACAAAAAGAAACCAAATCAAATCAGATCCGTCCATCAAAACAAAAACGCTGGAGTATAATCAAACAAATACACAATAATAAACAAAAATGGAAAGGAATCGATCGATCTTCAATCTTTGGGAGAGAAAGATCAAGTAACGTAGAGAAACAGAAGATCAAGAAGCAGAGAGAGAACATGCATCAAACGACTCTTCGATTTGATGATCTCACCGAACGGAGAAAAGGCCCTCTCTAGCGCATCATTGTCGATAGCCCAGGCGAGCCCTCCGACGAAGCTTAGAATGATGAGGTTGAACAAAAACTAAAAATTGGGGTTGAAGATGAAGATGAGAGATTGAAGGTCGTGAAATGGGTTTTGATTTGTTGTTGATTAGAATTCCAATTTTATGTTAAAAGGGTAATAAAGGTATTTCATTTTAATAATTAAATTAAAAAATATACAGCTGTTGATTTTTGGGTTTATTTTGGGTGTGTTTATATACATTAAATAGTATAGGGTATTTTTATAGTTTTATGTCTAGGAATGGGTATTTAACTAATTTTCTATAAAATAAATAACTATTACTATTAAATATATAACAATAATAATAAGTTTTGAATTTTAATAAAATAAAACAAAGTAATAAATACTAACACTTAGGAAGTTTTCATTTAATCACCGTAAACAAATGAAGTATTTTGGTTTTGTTCTTTTGGTAGATAAAGTAAGTCTGTGTTTAATTTTATAATAGTTTGAAAGATTAAAACATGAGATAATAATTGCACATACCCTAATAACATAATTTTTTTCTATCAAATTGGACTGAAAAAAGTATATGTATACGTGGCGTCGCCTACAAAGAAAATAGAATAGTCTGAGATTTATAATGATTTCAATTTGTTAATTAAGCATTTTATTTCATCCCTTATCAGCAAAAAGTAAATCTATGTTTTTATGAAACTAGCTAGTTTTAGTAATATACCTTCGAGTTTCAAGCTAGTTGTCAACAACAAATACTTTGCCATCCAATTAACCACAAGGGAGAGAGGGGACATGTTTTGTTTATGTTTCATTAGCTTTTCTCATTCATGTGAAGTTAGTTTTGGAAACTTGTGTAATATTAGGTGGAGACTTTGGAACGATGTGCTCGAGTGGACACCAGGGGTACCTCTATGTCCATCTCAATTGTGATGAATGAATCTTCACCATAAACGATTCCTATTATAATATACGTCTGTAGAATTTGTGAATCACAACTAAAGTGAACATGAAGGTGCAACCCAATGTTTTAAACTTTGTATATACTAATATTCAAAGTGTAGACCTTAATTGAGAAAAGCTTGAAGAACGGGACTTGGTGGGTTGGTTTGGTTCGGTTTGGGTTGTTTGGCTTTCTTAGAGACAGAGAGAGAGAGAGAGAGAGAGAGAAGAACAAGAAGAACAAGAAGACGAAGAAGGGAAAGAAAAAAAAAAGAGGGAGTGAAGACATACGTAAGAAGAAGGAGAAAAAAAAATTAGAGAAAGAGGGACTTATGAAGACAAGACAAATGGAGAGAGAAGAAAAAGAAAAGATTGAAACTATGTATATTTTTTTAATACCATCGGTTTGGTTTGGTTAAACCGTGGTTTTGAATATTGCAATCCATACACCAAACCATATATTTCGGTTTGGTTTGGACGGTTTGACCGGGTTACCGGTTTGAATGCCCAGCCATAATAATATCATACCAAGAGAATGTCAAAGGGTGAAATATTGTTTGATTATGAGTGGTTCTGTCGATGAAATATCATGGTTTTAATTTGTATGATGTGTGGAGTCATGAATACAGTATATTTGGTGTTGTTTAGGGCTTGTAAATAAATGTTTACTATAATTGCAACAACTCTTCTGTATGCACGTATCATTCACCGTCGATCTAAATGTTCACTCATTTGTTATTTCTCAATTGTGGTATTTGAAATTAAATATAAAATACAAAGACAAAAGAAAATAATTTAATCATTCATAATTTTATGGGAGATTCATTATTATGCCCATTGTAGGGGTTCAAATTATATATATATATATATATATATATAACCATATGTGAAATGAACTTTAGAAACACACCCATATTCTTTTTACAACATACCAAAGAGGCTTTTAACTTCTCATAAATTATAAAACTATCATCAATTTCTTAAAACAAGCTCAACCCTAAAACTTCATTAAAAAAACCCAAAACACTCAATAGGGCATCAAAGTAATTTAATAACCAAAATTAAATTAATAAGGTCAACTGTCATTTTTTGGGTTTGTTTATAAAAATTAAATGATTTAGAGTTTATCTATATTATTACTAGCGCTAAGAATGAGTATATGACTAAATATCCCTAATTTTATTGTGTCACATCAGATTTTTTCCTTCATGAACAACTTTATTCAATCCAAAGCTTATAGTATTATACAACAAGAAGTTCTAAATAATAAATAAAACATAAAATACAAATCCAAGCACACTCATCCAACAATTTCTACCAGGGACTAAATCTAAGCATCTTGGGCTTGATAAGTACATGCCAGCAGCTGCTCATCCTCTTGGAACTTGGCCATGTCTTCCTCCTTCAAATTAACCCATGCTTCAATCCCACCACCGGACTCGGTATCCATGAAGACAACCAAATTCTTAAACGGGAGGCTAGCCGACCCGACCCACACGGGCTTTCCCCACCCAAAGTCCGTTTCATAAAGCGGGAACCTGCACAAGCTAGTAAAGTTCAACGACACCACTTCACCTTTCATAAGCTCTGCTGCTCCCTGCTTCAAAAAGTTCAAGTGTGCGTCGCCATCTCTCATCTTAGTCAGGTAATCACTGTCGATCGTCTTCAAGGCATCTCTCATCTGGCCAACCAGCCTATAACACGTGTCCTTGCTCCCATCAAACGACGGCGTCGCAATCGCAAACCGGCTCACGTTTCCAATATGATACTCGGGAAGTGGTGGGTCCATCCTGGTCCGTAAGTTGACGGCGTGAAGCACTTTGTAAATTTTTTTTGGGTTGGGCTCTCCTTGGGTGGAAGCTATAAACCGGGCCCATATAAAACATTACAGGGCCTCAATGCGGGTCGGGTATCTCTCATTCGAATTATTTTCTGTGTACTTTGACCTAAGAGAAGCAACCATAGAAGCACTAAAAACAAACCTTTTGGTCACAATGTTTTCTCTGGTGATCCCAGTGCTTGGTTTGAACCCAAATATGCTTCTGGGTGGGAAGAGGGTGGCCACATCAAAAAGTGGGGGGCTAATTGTACTGTTCTTGATATCACAATCTCCCCGAGATACTGAGACCCAGCTATGTAGGAACGTGATGAATGAGAAAGCATCGACAATTTTGTGAGAAATGCAAATTCCAATCGCCATGCCACCACAGTCAAATATGTTGACTTGGACAGCAAGAAACAAGTCACCGACATTGTCTAGGTCATACGGGAGTAATTTGTTGTGTTGGTTTGGGTCGGGTTGGGATATCACGTCAGATAGCGTGCAGTTCACTTGGGCTTAGACGTAATGTGCACCTTGGTCATTGCAATCGACGTAGGCATCGTCGATAACACATCCGGCTAGTGGATAATATTGTGTCAAGATATCCGATAGGGATTGCTTAACCCGATCAGAATATATTTTGACATCGTTACCACGACGACCATTATTGTTAGTGTAGAAAAGGATCATAGGCATGAAAATTGGGGTGGCGATTTGGTCAAGAAAAGAAAGTTCATGTTTACGGAGATGGGGTGGGGTTGGTGAAGAAGGCTTAATGCAATTGTGGGAGCAAATATTTTCGTCTCCAATCACAGCGCGCCACGTGGAAAAGAAGATCATCTCTTTTAATTAATTAATTGAACCAGTTTATCTGGCAAATTAATTAATTGGGATAAATATCTTAATTAACAAGATATTATCTTTATTTAATAAGATAATATCATTAATTAAGATATTATCCTAATAAAGAGAAGATAATGTCATTATCTCATATATTATCTTCATAAAAAGAGATAATATCATTTAATTCAGATATTATCTCCATAAAAAGAGATAATATCATTAAATCAGATATTATCTCTGTCCGACGCGATCCCTACGAATTTGGGTAGAGAATAAACTCAGCATATTCTCTACGAAACCCTAGCCCCGAGGCTCCTATAAATAGATGACTTCATTCATCATTCAAGGGACATCTAAACCTACTCCTTATACCCGAGAAAAATACCCGAAGCTCTTTCTCCCTCTCCACTCTCCATATTTTCTCCACACGGCTCCGGCTGCCCGGTTCACACCCTACATAAACACTACTCCGTACCCTTTGCTTAGCTATTGTTTTTCTACAAACACTCGAACTAACTTAGGCATCGGAGGGCCTTTGGCCAACACCCCCCGGGTGTGGTTTATTTACTCAAATCTGTTTTACAGGAATCAAGGAAGAGAGAGAAGGAAGATCGAAGGTTGAAGGATCTAGAAGCGAATATTCTCCCGTGAGATTATTTGCACAAACAGCAATCTCTCTCAATCACTTGGATCCTCATCATCCTATAACAAGATTGAGAATTAAGGATGGTCTGCAGAAAGTGGTTGTGCAAATGTGGCCCGGAATTGCGATATTTATAGTCCTCCAATGGTACCAATTAAGTCAGCCTACATCTTATCTTAATAAATAACGCGATACATGCAATATGGACGTACGTGTTCACTTTTCTCGCCACTAGAATGAAAAGAACATATATAAGCCGAATCAAAGGCGGTGCTAAGCTCTCTGTCTCTAACTCCATGCATGATGGCTTAGGCGGTGACTTTTGTTTGTAGTTGGTTCCTTCTTTGGCAGACAAAAGATGGGGGTAGTCGTACGGAACTAGGATTTGGCCATCTTATATATGCTTCAAATTTAGTTCACACTGATTCTCTTTTGTTAGAGATTTGTATGAACTTAATACGTACTTAATTTTTGTAAATAATATGATTATAATTGAACACTCTTGTAGCAATGCGGAGTTAGCTTTTCTCTGCGTATACAGTCAACCTACGAGTGTTATTATAATTGTCAACACAATCTAGAAGAGGTATGAACATATATATATATATATATATATATATATATATATACACACATCCCTAACCAGTTTTATATATCCATCTATATATATATATATATATATATATATATATATATACTCACACTGGCAAGAAATAGAACACTAACTTACAAGCCTTGAGCCAGCGCCCATATTCATTGACCAAGTCACCCAGAAATATTATATTCAACGACCCAAAATTTAGAATTCAGATGGAGAATAATAAAAATATGTCTTATATATCCTCTCCTTGAATTGCTAGTCTCCATCATCTTATGCAAAACTCTCCTCGCTGGACCTCAGCTGAAGATGTTTGTATGACGATACGGTGACGTTATTCTTTCGATTTCTGGGATTTTTCTATGGTTTTTAAAACCCCAGCAAAAAGACAACAACCAACTAAACAATATTAATCATACAGGTCTTAGTAAACCATCAACAGAGGCCTAAGCCAATCCATAATTTCCTCAATAAACCAGCAACCCAGGTCACTGTCGTGGCTCCAAGCAGCCAAACTATCAGCAACAGCGTTCTTCTCTCTGTAAATATGTTGAAGTTTACTTACACTGTCTTGTTTGTTATAGTAAAAAGTATTAAAAAATAAAAGGAAGTGTAAGTGGAAAAAGGAAAGTGAAAATATCAGCACCCTTTAAATATCATACGTTCAAATCCTCAGAGAGAGAGCGAGAGAAAGAGAGACCTTTCACATAAATTGGACAATTAAGAGTGTAAATGTATTGCAAATGACCTACTAGTGTAGTGGTTTAGAGTATTTATACCCTCAGGCAAGGTCCTGAGTTTGAGTCCTAGTATTCGTGTAGTATGTGTAAGAGTTTATAGTATATTACTGCTCCTCTCCATAAGAAAGGACCTTTAAAAAAAAAGTGTATATGTATTGAAATATAGATATGAGACCTGTTTTTCCTTTTTGAGGAGAACATAAGAGGAAATATTTTCTTGTATTTCTTATAGGAAAAGATTTCCTCCACAAGTCATAGTTGAAAATGATTAATTTGACAATTCTTGGCTAATTATTATGCCCAAGATTTCCTCCAAATGCGAAGATCAAATTTCAACTTTAACATATAATTCATGTTTTAACAAGTGGTATTGAACCTGATTAATTCGAAAATCAGGTCCCATCGCATTGATCAATTTTATTTTTTGCTTTTGGCAAGAATTTGATTGCATTTCAAACCTAATTAAAAGTTAAAATGTGTAGAGATTACGTTCTTACTGGAAATGATCACAGAACTAGTGATGACTTTTATAGATTTTTTGTCCGGCCACTCTTCAGAAACTCATCGGAAATCACTTTTGTAGACTTTCACGATGTAATTTGAGGCTTACACTCCAAATTTCTCTTCTCAAAATCATTAACAAAACTTACGTTAAGCTCCTCATCATTCCATCCCATACTTTCACTATGTATCCATGCTACTTTTCTTTTGTAGGCCCTCTATAATTCCTTCCCCTACATCTGGCAAATATAGAGGGGGGGAAAAGCGTATATAAAGGGGAAAAAAAGTGTATATAGTCTCCCCATACTAACAACCTAGGGATATAGAGTTTGGTATTTAAATAAAAAAAAGAACTAGCTAGGCATTCGTGCTGACATGGGTTTACGATGACATAATCATATTTTTATTTGTCAAATCATGTTAATTAGAATGCGAGTATTCAATTCAAAATCAATTGATAATGATTGAAGAGGTCCAATGTGAGACTCAACAACCTTCAACCTCACCCTAACTATTCTCATACTTTTCAAGTCTAATGTTTCGTTACATTCTACCAAATTCATCAATTAATTAGTGAACAACTTTACTGTTAAAACTAATTAATCAGGTATATCTATATTTCTCTTAAAAAATTTACCAAACTTTGTGGTGACAAAGGTCTTCGGAAGAACCACACCTATGCACGTATATATGCATTTAAGTATGCTCTACATTACTAATTAATTATTATTAACACCTTTTTTTTTCCTTCCTACATCAGCTACAAGATTTGCTATATGATGTACGAATTGATGTTAGCTAGTTAAATTTGGGAAAACTCGTATAAAAGGAGAGCAAACACATAAATTAGTATGACGTACGAATACGATTGACAGAGATCAGTTATTGAAAATATACTCAAATAAATCATTAATTAATTAAGAGCCATGCCTAGTAAATTTTCAAGCTTGGATTAATGTCTAGACACACATATCCATTCTGAAAACTTGCATGGATATATATATATATATATATATATATGCACCTAAATTGACGTTAACACATTTGAAAAAATTTCCTCTCTTTTAAAGCACTTAAATTAGGGTTTGCGTTATTGATAGATATTTCTAGCTGATTGATTAAGGCAGCATTCAATTTAGTTGTCAATGGTTTTATCACCAACTACCTAGTAAACCATACCTAGTAAACCAAACCTACACTACTACGTTTCACTATTTGCGCGACGAAGATCAACTCGTCGCGCAAACAATAATTGCGCGACGAAAATACATTTTCGTCGCGCAATGCACTGAAAATTTGCGCCACCAAACTATTTCGTCGCGCAAAATGTATATGCGCGACAAAAAACATTTTTCGTCGCGCAAACTGAGTTAAAAAAAGAGCGGGGAATTTTTTTAGCGCGAAACATTTGCGCGACGAGAAATATCGTCGCTGAAGGCAACATTGCGCGACGAACAAATTATCCGTCGCGCAAATAGGACAGTCCCTGATTTAGCGCGACGGAAAGACGTTTCGTCGCGTAAGAGAACAAGAGATATTTTATTTTTTGGCGCCAAAAATGACCTGGGTGGGATATTTTTTTGCGCGACGTACTGACGTTTCGTCGCGTAAAGTTCAACGTTTACGCGACGAATACCTTGTTTTGCGCGACGGAATTTTGTTTTTGCGCGACAATGTTGCGCGACGAAGGTTTGCGCGACGAAAAGTACCAGCGTCGCGCAAAAGTTAGATGTCGGCAGGTGTTTGCGCGACGGAAAAAAGGGTTTGCGCGACGAATAATTTGGTTTTTTGCGACGGGACTTTGCGCGACGAATAAGTATGTTCGTCGCGCAAAGTCCTTCTTCTTCATATTAGAATTCTGCCATTGCAGAGGCAGAATGCAAAAACAAAGCATTCTGCCTCTGCCTCTCTCTCAACCTCTCTGCTGCTGCTAGGATTTCAATACATTGATTGGGTAAGTATTTTTCGTCATTAGTTTAAAAGTATTAATTTAAGTTCGTACTAAGGTTTTTTAATTTGTTTTCGTTAGGGATATTTGTAATTAGCGATTGGTGGAGAACGATTGAGAAGGTATTTTATTTGTTTTATATATGTTTAAAATGTTCTTGTGAAGTTATATTTATATTATGTTGTGCGTAACGTAGTACAATCTGTTGTGATGTACGAAGTTAATTGAAATTAACTTCGTGCTTTTATTTTTATGTTTAGTAACACTTAGTTTCCCGTTCGAGATTAGTTGGATTTCGTGCATGGATGCGTAATGCATGACTGCGGTCCAATTAATTCTTGAATTGTCCCATTATTTGGACAGTTTGGTAATGCATAGTGTTGTCACGTAATCTATGGCTACAGGATTAGGTTTCGATTGTGG